TTTTGCTCAGGCATCATTTAAATTTTATTACGCAGGTTGAATTAAGATGTTTTTGATATTTCAGGTTAACATGGACACATGGAAAGGAGGGACAGCAGGTGTTGTTGGACATGACTAATGTTTCATGTTACGTGTCCTGTTGGCTGGTACTGCACATTTGAATTTCTCTCGCCAAGAGGCTGAGAAAGATAGGAGGTAACCCAAACTAAATATTTTTGATTTATTTATGAACTTTAGTGGTTATCTGTTAAATATTTCAGCCAATCCACAAGTTTTTAAGAGGTGACGTTTGACTGTGATTTCCAAAAGCAAACAAAGACCGTCAGGAACATGATTGACGGTTTTTCAGAAGTTCATCAGAGGATCTTTTTATCGCACAAAACAAAACTTCTTTATGAATAACCTCTGAGCACATCTGTTGCTCTAGATGTCCATCCATCAGTCTCCTGTGCCTTGGACAAGCACAGCAGCTGCTTCAAACTTGCATTTTACATTTTTTAATATATCTCGTCTCAGTCATGTTTGTTTTTACTTGACTTTTCTTGAAATCATTAAGACAAATCCCTCTGCAAACAAGTCCAAGGTCATGCCAATAAGTCTTTAAATTGAATATCTTTGAACTAAGAAGTAAAATGTGTGTAAAAAGTAAGTGGGGCAAAGGTACGAGGGTCTGTAGACGGCAGCTATCTGTAGGACAAAGGTAAGGGAAGCCAAAGAGTTCAGCGTCAGTGGGTGAGACACACAGATCAATACTGTTTGACCAGTTTCCAACTCTGACCTAAAAACTCTGGATCTCCTGAACTTCTGCACACCGCAGACGTCATAACTTGTTGGATCCATGCAGGGACGCTGACTTAATCTGTGCAAACACAAACAGTGTACAAAGTTGACTGATGTTCGGGAGCCTACTTGTCTCATGTGGGTGCAATACAGAAATAAACACTGGTCTGATCTCATAATCGGTGGTATTTTGTATGGTATGGAAGAGTTACCTCTCTGAACAAACATGTTTTAATAGGAGCATTTGTGTTATGAGTGACACTTTGGACTCTGCACGCCGGCAGGTTTTTTGGTCTCAAACTTTGTCCGGTTACGATAAGCGACTGAAGACGCTGTTCTCAGGGTGTTAAATGACTGAGATCCTCTCATGTGCATGCTGATTCACAAAGGGAGTTTATTACAGACACACAAACACTGTTTTCACTCACAGCGTGAATCCTCAACACCCTGAGGACTCCCATTGAACCTTTCCAAACATGAAATCTGTTCCTCATTCTCAGTTTTTTTTCTCTTCTCTGTAGAATCAACCAATCCTCCTTCTACCAGATCGTACTTTATTAAGGCCTCCTCATGTCTTTGTCTCCTCTCCGTTGCGACGAAGCAACACAACAAGAGCGTCTTAGTTTTCTTTGAAGTGTTTATTGTCTCAGTAAATCCTAAGAACAGACAGAAACAGAGCCTGCTTGTGGAGGGATACAGGGTCAGATAAATATTGGGGAGAGGCCCACTGTCTGGTTGGAGAGAGTCCAATAAGGCTCACAGGACCCTTTGAGAGCAGATCCGATGATATCTGTGCAGCTTGGTCTTAAACTGTATTTTTAAGGGTGGTTTAAACTCCTCACGGCAAACAAAAGTGTCCTTGTACAAACTCTGTTCCCCCTCCTCATTAGCAGAAACAGAGACTATCCCAATTAAGGACTGTCACATCGCTGTGCCAAAAACCCCCTCACAAGCTGTCAGCTGGAAACATTTGACAGGAGATGGAGACGGTTACAGTAATTAGACAAAAGCATATTAAAATATATGGAGCTGATCCAGGTCCGGACACTCGATCACGAACTGAGCGCGGAGCAGAGAGTTCATCCTTTTCTCTGGGAGTGCCGGGGGTCTTTGGGAGGACAGGTCAGATTACATTTACTGTAACAGGAAGCCAAGAGCATGTGGTTCTTAAGTGGGAAAAGAGGAACGTTAATTCAATGAACTGTGACAGTGGCTCGTTGTACGCTGGAACCACACTCTAAAAAACGAGGATTTATACTGGATTTCTGCGAAACTTGAAAACACCAGTTCACTGCTGCTGTTCGGACATGAACTTTCACTGTGAAACCATAGTACCACAATGAGAAATGGGATTCCTCAGTGTTGTTGTTGTGAGTTTTTATGGAAAAGTACAAAATTATAATTTTACCTAGCTTGTTGACTCAGTGGGGTGACGCAGTGGTGTAGTGGTTATCACTGTCGATTCACAGCAAGAAGGTCCCGGGTTCAAGGTGTCAGGGCGTTTCTGTGTGGAGTTTGCATGTTCTCCCCATGTCCCTTTCTATGCAGAAATGGGGTTAGGTTAACTGGCCACTTCTAAATCGCCCGTAGGTGTGAATGTGAGTGTGGATGGTTGTTCGTCTCTATATGTCAGCCCTGCGATGAACTGGCGACTTGTCCAGGGTGTCCCCTACCTTCGCCCTGTGATGCTGGGATAGGCTCAAGCCCCCCTGCGACCCCGAACAGGAATGGATGGATGTTGAGTTCGTGTGCACTCCATTCGTCCAAAACTCAGCCGCCAGACTTCTGACAGACACGCCCCAATCTGCTCACATCACCCCTGTCTTGTCGCTTCTTCACTGGCTACCGGTCAATTTCCGTATTAATTTTAAAATGTTAGTTCTGCCTCTCCGGGCGCTGCATGGTCAGGCCCCCCAGTATATCACTGATTTGTTGTGCCCCTACTCCCCAGGGCGCCCCCTTCAGTTGTCAGTTGTGCATAGATTGAACTCTTTTTCTTTTGTTTTAGATCATTCAGACACCTCTTTAAATGCGTAAGAGTAAAAAAGAAATCACACTTGCACAAAAATGTAAGAGTTTAGTACTTTGTTCAGAAACAAGTGCACCAGTATTTGTAGAGGCACTTGAACCAGTGACCCCAATTTAAGCGAGGGCATATTTACATTTTTTTTTCTTCTCCAGACTCTGACCTTGGGGAATATCTCATCAGCTGTAAATACAGTGAGCATATCTTTACTGCTGCTTATGTTTACTCTGACAGTCCTGAACGATAAAGGGTTCAGGGTGCAGAATGAAGATGTAGCTGTTCTTTTTTCACTTGCTGTAAGAGTTGGAATCAAATCAATTTTGATTTTATAATCACGTACTTTCTTAATGCAACACACCCAGTCTCAGCCTTGAGTCATCTTCACAGTTTGCATATTTCACAACTAATTTCCCTTCTAAGTGTGAGACATAGAAAGGGAAAGGGCAGGATTTCAACACTGTTCAACTGTGACAATGGTCTTTTTTTAAATTATGCAATGCAATAACAAATATGTATGTGAAGCTTTTCAAGTTTTTAAACACCATGAACAACGTTTTTATGTATTTTTTTTTATGTCCAACTACAGCCTCAAAGTGACCATATTCATGTATCACAAGCTCTTGAGTTATCTCCAGTTTAACAGCTTCCTGACGTCACATTGCAGGGCAGTTGCACAGGATTGCATGAGGCTTTTCAAACAAATATTTTCCACTCAGGTGATTCTTGTTTAGAGGCACAACAATAGATGACAAACAACAATGATATGAAAACTGAAAGTGTGGATTCAGTGTTGTTTTCAGGTAGCCTTGTTTATTCATTTGCTTGCACGACACATGAGCAACATTTTTCTGCACTGACTCCCTTTACTGAAGGTGCATTTCTCTACAATAAGCCACCTTTGTACCTTTAATTAGCCTGGTGTCTCCCTATCTCACTGCACAGCTATATTATCTGATAATCGAGCGTCTTATACTCCCACAGGGGACTATTATCTACCTCTACCTTTGATACTTTAAAATACTCATGTGCTTTTGTGTGGTAGGGGAGAGTGGGGTAAGATGAGCCATTTTTCATATTTCTGATCACTACATCAAGACGATCCTAGTTTTGTCTCTAACTCGTGTATCTGCAAATATTTTAAGATATTGTTCATTCCTGCAAACCAACAGAATGAGTGTAAACAGAACTGCCTTGATAATATAGCATGCCCAAAGAAAGTGGTCTCCGATAGACCTAGCCAGGCCAATAAACATTGATGCGGAAATGCTGGCACCAGCGAAGAGTTTTGGACATTTGAAGCCCGATGGTCCATTCCTAAGGGTCCTCACACACCGAGGCTGACGCGAATATAGAACGTGAAATTATGAAATATTCAGAGGTGACTCTTGACATGCCTGACAATACACATCAAACCCGATGTGTTTTTTGACTTTCTGGGGGGAGAACAGACACATCCCAGGGAAGACTTTTCCTGAGGAAAGTCCTGCCTCCTTTGCCTCTGATTGGCTAGAAATGCAGCCTGATTGGTTACAAATGCAACCCGTCACCAGAGGGTGCTTTTTTCAGAGTGGCTTTACCCATAGCTGACTATGTAGTGAGCTCAATCATCTGAGGTTTCGGACACTATATGGCAAGATGCAATGCCACCACCGGTGAGTGACCATCAGATGGTCACTACATTTTGCAATGCTCTATGGGAAATTTTGAGTCGCCTATATGGGGCGCTGGAATTGATCACTCAGTTTTCAGACCCCCATATAGTCGCCCATATAGGGGTTAGGGATCCATTTCGGACACAGCCAATGATTGGTGCCCATCTCCTAAATATTTGGTCACATGATCAATTTCTTTCACCATTTCCAAGAAACAGGGGGTGGCTCAACTTACCCCACTCTCTCCTATACCATTAACTCTACCTTTCTCTACTAAACACTGTCACATTTTCCACATTTTCACCTTGTTGAACTTGAATCTTTTCTCTTCAGTTACATTTTCAGGTATGATTGTTCGTTAAATGTGATATTTGTAATATTTTCAGGTACTTTTAATGGTTCCTGGATGTCTTACTCACCACAGCGTTTAACTTTATCCGGACTAACACGGAAACACTCGAGCCTCTCCCCCTCGGCCCGCACGTGCATCTAGTCAGATTCCTCCACTGGCAACTAGACTCTTGTGCGCATGCGCGGTGATTGTGGCAGTCATCATCACCCACATCACCATCCCAGAAGTTGTCTAGTCTCTGTGGTACCCTGAGCTGAAGCTGCTGCTGCTGCTGGTGGTGGATCTACGAGTGGACAAGGACACCCCAGACGACGCTCACACACACACACCGAACCGAACCGAACCTCTACCGGACGGGGCCGAACCCTTCAGAGTACCTCGGTGAGTAAAACGAGCAAAACGGCGGACTAACCGTCCCCGCGTGCTGCGTCGAAACAAAGAGGTATGAGGTGAATGAAAACGGCTCTATCAGATCAGTTTGTGTCTTTAACTTTTTAATTAGCTCCTCTTGCTCCTCCATTAGCTCCCTCCTCTCATACTTCCTCATGGCTGAATTAACGGCTTTTATTGGGCACTTTTGAACCGACGTCGTTTTCACTCACTGTGGCGTGATGCTGGCGCTATTTTTACATTCACATGTGAGGCTGACTGCAGTCTGCCCGCATCCGACCGACCGACCGGCCGGTACTGCCGCGTTTGACAGCCTGTCGCCCCGGGTCACTCAGCGAGCTGGGGGGTCGGCGCGGAGCCAAAAACCCCGGACAGCTTAGAGACACACGGAGGAGAGAACGAGGAGGAGAGAGAAGGAGATCCACTGGAGTCTGGATTTCTACTTGGTACAACCAGGGGCGTGTTCGGGGTTTTTGACTGGGGTGGCCCCAACCGAAGCTCTGATTTATACATGAGTTTGTGTCTCACATATGAAAGAAAGTGATTTATTTAACATTTCAGCTTTTAATAATGATAAGTGTCTGTTAGTTTGCAGTTTAAATGGTTTATAATATAGTCACAGTTGTGTTTAAATCAGTGTACAGTCACTTTACTGTAGATATTCCAGGGCTTGACGCTAACTTTTTTAATTCGGGAGCATAAGTTAAAAATGTAAGGAGCACACAAAAAACTGTAGAGGCACTATGAAAATTGATCAAATAATGTTTGTCTTCTTGGTCGACTATTATTAAAATCAATTTTAGGTCTTTTGGTAACATGACATGGAAGTTATTGAAGAAAAGGTTCAAAATTTGCCTTTAAATTTAACACAAAAATTAAGAGGACAAATTAGGGAAATAAAGACGTGTGTCTTATTGGTCGACATAAGTACTAGGCCCGCCCGAATCGGCCAATTTTAGCCCGTTTCAGACTAATCGGTAATCGGCCAAAACTCACAGATTTTAGCCGATATTTTCAGAAATAAAATTTGGAGAATTCGGAGTAAAAAGTAGTATATAGCATACTGTAGATATCTACAGTATAAAAATATTTTTTACAACTTCATAAAAAATGTAAAAAATTGGCTGATTAATCGGTAATCATAATTACTATAGATCTTGTTTTTTTACCCTCAAAAGAGCAGGTCACCTTCATTAGCAGGTTTCTACAGTGGCACAGAATGGACAAACTTGTATCAAAACATTTTTGTATTAAAGAAATTGCCGTTGGAAACACTTCAGTTGGAGGAACGAGAAGAAGAAGGCAGTAATAGTTTGTCCTGAGAGACATTTTTAGCCTAACATACAAGCCTTGCTTTTAGACCATACTGTTAGATAAAGCTAACACTACTAATCATACACTTTTAATTAATGGCAGTTTAGTAGTGACGAAATGTAACGTACAGGTGTAAACTTGAAGCCTGAAATTGTAAGAAAGTTAATTTATAATCTGCCTTTATTTGTTTAAAGAAATAAATGCAAAGAAAACTTCTAACACCGTGATTCAACATGACCCACATAACTGACAGTCAAAGTTCAGTGGGGCCCGTCCACCCCTGCCCCCCTTCGTGACACGCCCCTGTTCAGTGGAGGGCAGGGAATCCTCAATCACAGCTTTGATTTCCACTTAGCAGAGCGGTGCATGTGACCTCTAACGTGTTATCTGTTCTGCACAGAGCTGAATGAGTTTCACATGCTAGCTCTCTGCGAGGGTCAGAGCCAAGGGCATTAGTTTAGTTTCAGTGGAGGTGGGGGGACATAGTTCTGTTTGGGGGGGGTCTGAGAGTCCTCTAACAGGGTGTTTGGACCATCAAATCCATCAGAGCCCTGTTGTGACAGAAAGGAAGCGTACGTCCTTGCTTGTGGATCAGTTTGATGCAAATAAAACCGGTTATTTAAACTCGCAGCCTGGTGTAACTCTGCAGAAGTTTATCAGTGAAGTTAATGAACACTGATGCACCCTGGAGTCCAAGTCTTCTGCAGGTCAGCAACGCTTTCTATCAGAACTCTCATAACAATTTAAAGGAGAATTCAGAAGTTGCTGGAAGGGATACGTTCCTTCTCCCCCCTATCCAAATCTACACCCTTAGCCAGAGCTCATTGGAAAGATCACATGCCAGCTGCCTCTCATGAAGCCACTATTGTCCCAAATAAGCCAGAGCAGCTTGTTATCTAATAATAAGACTGTGACCAAAGGGGTTCTCTGGTGGTGGAGCACTAAGTGAGTGAATGCTGTGTCATTTTCCATCAGAAAGACAGGCGAAGGATCTGGGCTCATTCGAACATCTATGAATGGAGATCAACTTTTGACGCTTTATTGATCCCACAGTGGAGGACTCACTTTGTACAGAAGCTCAAGAGTCAGTGTAGTGGAATATACGAAGTACATAAAATAATAATTATAAGGATTTAAAGCATATACAGCATGTTTGTAAGAACAATCGTTTACTGGCAGTGGAACAAAGGTTGCAGATTGATATTGCACGGTGTGACATAAATATGACGCGTAAAGATACGAATGAAAGTCGACCTGAGCTACAAAGTCGCCGTCTTTGTGAGCTGGACTCTGACCCCTCTGGAGGACTGATAATAGACCCTTTTCATCTCGGTGTCTGTAAATCAGTTTTCGACCTTTTTGTGGTTTGTAGCGTCTCATATGTAAGTGTGTTTGGTAAGAGCATGCAGCCCTAAATTAGGTCATACTTCTGTCTTCATGGAGTTCACTGAGTCATGCTGGTTTATGGAGAACTGGCTGGTTTGGTTGGTGCTGCACCAAAGCTAATTCAGTGGAATTAGGTTGCGCAATTTCTGGTCATCCGGCTCGAGTGTCTGTGGGCGGTAAATGTACTTTGTAGTACGCCATTGTGAAATATTTATAGTCCTGTCTAATCTTTATTGTTATGCTGTTGAAGTCGTGCCAGCGCTGTTTTTACCATCAGCCTGATTCAGAAATTCAGGGAAAGAGCAGAGAATAGTTTCTCATGAGGAGGTTGTAGCTTAAAGGAAGAGACAGATGAGTGAAGAGGAGATGTTATCAGGACGTGTAACCTTTCATTCTTACCGTCGGTGCGTTAAAATGAAACCTGGTTTTGATTCAGAGGAAAAGCCCCTGGTTGAACCAGATGAGCGATCGGTCTCTGCCAGGTCTCATTCATTCATTCCTTCACATGTGGACCTGTGCTAAGATAAGCAGCTGCAGGAAAGAGGAAGGAGGCGTACAGATACATGCATCGACATTTTAATACCGCCATAAAACTTATGCTGCAGGGAAGCCAAGGAAAGAGTCCTTAAGAGAATGCAAACTAAAGCACTCAGAGCTTGAAGCGAAAGTGTTGAGCAGTACCACCTTAAATTTTAAACACCTTTTCTGTTGTTATGAAGGGGCGTGCCAAAGTGTCAAAGTCTGGAAAAGCCATAAAAACTATTAACTTTGGTAAGACGATGTCGAAGTGATTTGTGTTTCATACGCCTGAGTAATGCTGGCATCCCGGTGAAGTCTTCGCCATGCCGTCCCATCAGGTGAGATGCAAATTTACACTCACAGATGTTTGTCTTTCATACTACACATGACTTTAATTTTAGAGGTGCAGGTGCCAAAGATTCCGGTCCAGATCGGTTCATTTACGATCTTCGGTCGTTGTTATTCCACTAACTGACGGTCTCTCTCCATCCTCTCTCATTACACATATCTGAATGCAAAATTTCAGCATCTGTGCATCTGTTTTCTTCATTTGGTTTTCTGAGTGTGCGTGCTTGTCGTTGCCAGGCACATGTCAGAGCAGGTGAGCATGTATGACCGTGCGATCAGGATTACAGCGCAGGAGTGTGTGAGCGAAGGATGTATGGGGCCACATCATGCCTGTGAGGTTTAAGAGGTTATTAGTGCTAAGCTAGCAAGTATGACACAGGCGTTTAACAGCGGAGAACAATTACTGCACAGTGATCGGACTTGACTTGAATAAGTGTGTTTTTTTTTAAGTGTTGATCCTGAGCGGCTAAAAAAGTGTGAAAACTGGAGTCGTTTCATGGATTTCTGTGTTGGAGGAGAGACGTTTCACACCGTCATGGTGGCTCTGTCGAATCACACTCATTCATGAGGTGAAAGGACATTTCCTCTGCTCCCTCCCTCCCTCCCTTCTTCCTTCCTTCCTCTTTCCCCTCACTTATAAAAGGTTTCCTCGGAGCTGCTGCTGTCCTATCCCGTCTCTACACGCACTACCCGGAGAATTTGGAGAAACAAAACAGGCCGCACAGACACAGACAAAGCATCTTTAGTCACTGTTGTGCCAGTAATTATCCTGGAGTTGAACCTGCTTATGGTTGGATTAGTCAGTTAATCCAATAAAACAGTTCAGTAAACTACAGTGTGAGGCTTGAGCGCACTTGTCATTGTTGTGAACAGTTCAGCTTCTAGACCTGCTCTGTTGTCTGAAACTGTGATTTTTGACAATTTAAAGGGATATTCTGGTGTAAAATTAATTTAGGTTCAAACACAACGTAACACCGAGAGATGAATGTTGTCGACCGCTTGCTTCTCTAGTTATACCAACTTTAGTAACGACCGCAACAGAGAGCGACGCACTCAACCAAAACGCCACTCTATAGCCACAAATAATGCTCAGAACAGCACCTAACTTCATCAACAGGACATATAGGGTCACAGCCATAGTACTAGACACCAAACATCTTTTTAACTTTGACTCATTTCTTTAACAAAGAGACTAAACACAACTCACCTAATCTCTTCCAGCAGACGATTGTTTGTAGTGAGACCTCGGGCCGTGAAGAAATGATCAGAAATGTTCTTCCTTGAGCTGCGTCACCCCGCTGTAGTCCGTAATGGACTGGCCTGAGGTCTTCCTACAAACAAGCGTCAGCTGGAAGAGAGTAGGTGAGTTGTGTTTAGTCTCATTGCTAAAGAAATTAGGCAAAGCTGAAGTAAGGTGCTGTTCTGAGCATTATTTGTGGCTATAGAGTGGCATTTTGGTTGAGGTTTGTTTAATTTCCTCCTCAGACAGCTGTGTATTGCTATCCTGCGGTCGTTACTAAAGTTTGTATAGAGAAGCAAGCGGTCGACAACATTCATCTCTGGAGGGGGTGTCTAACTCAGTGTTACAGTGTGTTTGACCCTAAATTAAGTTTACGCCGGAATATCCCTTTAAGTGGTGGAATTAAATTCATTACGCAACAATTGCATCCAACACTAATGAAGGAATCAACACGACATGAAAATTCCCTACTGTACCTTTAAGTCGACTCCAGTCATGAGACGAGACAGAGGGTGGAAAAAACCAACATGGCTGCAGCTCCTCTTACTGTGAATCTTTTTTCTCTGATTCGACAATTTTTTTCCATGGTAGAAAAGTTGGACCTGCAGACAGACAGAGTTTAGCACCAGGACTCTTCTACTACTGAGCCGCGCTGTTGTAGTTTGACATAGTTTCGCATCATCTTGGTGGCAGTATATGGTTTAACTCGTGTTTGTTGTTGAACTGACCCTCCATGTGTAGTTTTTGGAAGTGATTTTGAGCCCATTCACTGATTTCCATTAGAAAATCATGTCTGCCCTCAATGTGGCGCTGCCTGAGGGCTCACAGATTACAGCTTCCAGTATCGGTTTTCAGGCTTGTCCCTTTTTTACGCCCCAGATTCTCTGAATAATGATTTTCTCCCAAATCTTTGCAGTTTTTTGCACATTATTGTTGAAATATCCACTTGGAGAATAGTTTGAAACCATTAGCTCAAAGTTAAGTGGTGGAAAAATAGACTGTGGCGACGGTGACTTGTATACAGCTACAGGAGTCTCAGACTTCTAACCTTATATAGGTGGAGTGTATACAGAGGGACAGCAGTTAATCCCACTCAGCTGTAACAGAGACACTCTAATCGAGCGGACGCCTCGGGTTCAAGGAAGTTTTCAGGTAACGGCAGCTTTTTTGGTAAAGGGACTGTTTGTTCCTCCTGGATGAATGGACTCATTGATGACTCTCCCATGAGTTGTCCTGCTTTGCTGGTACCCACACACACACAACCACACACACAGACACACACACACAGAAGGACACCTAACTAAACTCCAGCACAGAACAGAGGGACCTGAGGGGACGTGGAAACATAAATCCACTCCCTGTGGGGAAGTCTGCTCTCCATTAATGCCAGGCATCAATCTGTGTCTCACATTCCCCCTCTGTCTTTTTTCCATTTTAGCAGCTAAAGTGGGTCCGTCCTCAGTGAGTGTGTGTGTCTGTGTGAGTGTGACATTTCTGACTCCTAACCTGGACATTTATTAAGTTGGATCTCAAGCCAACAGCTCAGAGTTAACTGTGATTTTTTTAAACAAGTGAACTCTGTTTTTGGCGATTGACAAAAGCAGGTTTCTCGTCTCCAGCTGGCAGCTGTGTGGATCGTGTCGGCTGGAGGAACAGCTGTTGTCGGTCGTAGATGTACAGCTTTTAAAAACAGTTTTTAAAAAATCTTATTCCAGCGTGTATCTTTGAAATCGAGTCGAACAAAAAGGAACATAAAAACATTTAGTGAGGATTAATTCAGTGAAAGACCACAGTCTGATTGTCTCATCGCTTTACATTGCATCCACTGTGCAGTCTTTATAGAGACCTTTTGTTATGGTCTAATGTACCCACCCCCCCCCCCTTATTTGTAACTGAGAGGGCTGGCTCTCACATACCAGCTCGAGCTCTTGGTGACCTCTCTGTTCCCAAGTTCATATACAAGTCCTGGTCCTCCTGAAAGTCCCACTGAAAGATAAAAAGTTTAGTTTTATCGCCGCCTGATTAAAAATGTTCCCATTTCTCATTTACATACAGGAGTGGTCGAGTCGCATAGAGTTACAGTGAAGAGAGCGAGCGGTGCAAACAAAAACAAAGCTGCGAAACAGAAAATAGACGTTTGTTTGTTTCGTTTGTTTATTAACTGAATTGATTGTGTATTTTATTTTTCTCAAACTTATTTTAAAGCTTTTGAAATAATCCTTCGTCTCCCTTCATTGCATCACTAACCCAAACACAGACTGAAAACGACGGCGAAACTCTGTCCTCGCTCTCTGTTGGTGAAGTTTGGAGACCGCGGTCCGCTGAGGTGACTTTGAGCGCCGCACGTGTCCAGAGACATGTTTGTCACGCGAGTGAAAGGCGAACCTGAGAGTCAAGAGTTACATATATAACTTCAGTTCTGGTTAGCCGCCAGAAGCCTGGGTGTGTATGTATATTTATATTTATATCATATGGACCTCAACATGACCGAGACACGTGGAGCTGAGAGAGGGGCGAGGGTGTCGTTCCTCAAGGGCACCGTGGAGGGGGCTCTCAGGGAGGCAGCAGCGATTATGTAACAGCAGATAAAAGTACCAGACCTCAGCAAACGCCTCAGTACCCCGGTGTTTTTAAAAGGGAATAAAAATAATTTATCTTGAGAATTTTAAACTCTCTCCTTTGATTATAAAGTGCTCGACCAAACTGTGATAAAGTCAGCTTTGTGTGCGATCCTTTCAAAATCCATTTCCCATCACAGCTGTAGATATAAAAAAAAAAACATATCTCTTATTATTGACACAAAAACTGAGCGCGGCGTCTGTGCGTCGTGTGTGTGTGGCCTGAAAGCAGTTGACATGAGGCGGTTTGGACTCTGCACGCGGTCTTGAGCAGGAACTTGAACGCTGTGGTTTCACCCAGGATCCTGTTTCTGATTTCAGCTTCTCTGTTTAAATAAGCTTCCTGAAGTTTGACCTACAGCGTTTTAGAGAGAGCACACACAGCCCGGCTTATTAAACTGGTTTTGTTTTATTAATTATTATTCCAAATCTGGGAGGGAAATGTACGTTTTACACAGCGCCCCCTGCTTTTCTTGAACACTTTCTTCTCGTATCGATTCGTCGGCCGTCTTTCGTCTCGGAGAACCACCTTAAAGTTTCCAGAAGTATGTTTTTGACTCTAGTCTCGCAGCTTTTCCCCTCACGGTTAATGTCATAACTGAGGGAGGGTCGGTTTAAGCATTACTCCTGCAGTCATCACATTCCTCCGTACAGGAAGGAGGCCGTGCTGCAGCAGAGGTCAGGACCCCACGATAAGCAAACGTCTGCTGTGTAAATCACATAATAACTACGGGATCGTTTGTGATCACATGAAGTTTAACTTTCTCCTCTTTAATCTCATCCCTGTGAGGAACAGATGAAAGCTTTAGTGACAGCCTGGCAGAGGAGTGAAGCGGTGTTTGCACAAGCGTGTGAGGGTATGTGTGTTTGTGTGTGAGTGAGCTCATCGGAGGAACGAGGATATGGCAAACAACTCCGAGAGCAACATGAGAGGCCCGAGGAGACGAGCGTTCGCCACCCTCTCTCTATCTCTCTCTCTCTCTGTGGCCGATGGGTGACCTGTTGCTGCACATAATTTACCTCCTGCAGCGGGTGGTCGTGTTTCAGAAGTGTGACATTTAAGTGGATTTAATCACCATCCGTCAAAGCTGCTTGGGTGGATGTCTGAGACAGACAATGAACTCTTGAAATGAAGGTTTGTAATTTAAACTCTTTAGTCAGAGAAACCAGCAGCTACACTCTCAAACTGGTACACTTCTTAGAAAACAGGCTGATCGTGATGCAGCTATAAACAACTTCTTCAAGACTTCCTCTTCGCCATTCACTCTCCAGTCAGCAGCTTGAGAAACGATCAAGCGCTCAGAGTCAGAGGTGAAGTAATATTTACCTCCTTCGACATGTGCGCGAGATAAACGACACCAGAGTGTTTATATTCAGTTTCAAGCTCCTATAGGGAGTTTTTTTTTACCTTTTAAAGAATATAAAATTTAAAATTGACAACTAATTATGGCAATTAAAAGCAAATTAGACGATTTTTATCTGATCGTTTTTAACGCCTTAACAGATGAGAGGTGGTAGGTGTCAGTCAAGCAGCTGAAGAAACAAACCTGAAGTCCGAACACCCAGGTTTGGATTCATTAATTTAGATATTTGAAATTCGGGCTGAGTGATATATCCTTAAATCAATATCCCGATATATTGATCAGTTCACCTCAATAATGATAAATGGATGATAACTACTCCACAAGCTGCTCACCCCCTCCCACATTAACTTTGTCTACTTCAGCCGCTCCAACTTTCTCTCCGTCCTCCATCTCCTCACCTGTCTTTCCCTCTTTGTTACAGACTGGATGGGGCGGAGTCACGTCTCTGACGTAGGACAGCGTCTTAAAGGGACATGAGACCATAGCCTACCTACACACATCCAAAACAAACTTTGATTTATTACTTTTTTTGACACCAAATATATCAATATGGTCAAAATGACGTCGGTTATTGTCTTAAATTTCGGTATCGGTAAGTTTTTGGTTTATCGCCCAGCCCTAGTTTCTTATGAGTCTCAGTTTCGCTGTAAATTCAGGCTTCATCCTTATCAGCTTCGATGATATGTAACCAAAACAGAAGCTTGATCTCGTGTTTGAAAACGGTTCTGAAATTTGCTACAATATAAAAGTGAAAAGTTAAAATCTAAGACATGAACCGTTTCAGCGCCAGCCCTAGTTTCCCCTCCTCTCTACATCCTGGTTAGTCAGTTATCAGAGGACTTCAGTTACTAATTAAATAAATGTTAGAGTTGTACTGGGAAGTGTTGAGTGTTCGCTGTTATCTACTCCTCTGGATCTGGATAGACTTCGAGGACACGGCAGAGCGTCCAAGTCCAAGTCCAAGTCCACTTTTTAAAGACTGCAGGGGTTCATGTGGAGGTCTGGATCGAGTCTCTGGTCAGACTGTTAACAGGAGTTTGCTGTAAGTGACACCAACAGTGAGACGAGTTTGGAGGAAGTGAGAATTTCCTGAATACTGTCGCACATATCTGTGTGTGTGTGTGTGTGTGTGTGTGTGTGTTTGTGTGTGTGTGTGTGTGTGTGTGTGTGTGTGTGTGGGCTGACTCTCTGATTTCTGACGTCATCCCGTTTATTGTTTCTTAGTCAGTCTTTCTTGTCCGCACTTGTTGGTTCTAGTCAGACGTCTGTTGACCTAGTCTCTGTGTATTTTACATAAATCATGAGTGAGAATGAGGTCAAACTGTTTAGTTATTAAATCTTTACTCTTCTTGGTTTATATATTTCGTTTCCTCCTTTTATAGTGTATTTATTGTCCCACTTTGGCCTCTCTGCCTCTCCTCCATCCTGGACTTCTCCTCGTCCAAAATGTTAAAGGATTAATTCGGCGTTCAGCTGGACGGTGTCGGCCTGATTCTTTGGCTGCCCTCCGAAGAATTGTGGCAAATGCTCGTGGTCGCACAGATCCGTTTCAGTCGGCGTATCAACAATTTGACTCATCTGCTTTAAACATAAAACCAAGTGTGCCGCATGTTTTATTCCTGCAGAGGCATCGCCTTACTCTTTGTTGACTTACTGGTCACATGTTGGTGGAAGTGAAGCCAGTCTAGCAGCTCTGATCCGGTAACGCCATAACCAACGTGCAAGTTGACCTGTAACTCTGGGAGTATAAAGGAAATCAAAAACCAGTTTGGCTTTGGATTTCAAGGTCAAAAAATGACGCCCAGTCCAGTTCAGAACTGGTTCTTAATTCTCCACATTTTTCAGGAGCTTGTCAATCTCTTAAAATAACAACCTCATGATCCACTGGACCAACGCCAAGACCTTTTATACTGTACCGGCATGACGTGAAACTGACCAGAACAAGCCCCGCCCACAAACAGACGCTCCTGCTCGCTCGTATCGTTCCAGTTAAATTCAGATATAATGCAGATAAATACTTCAGATCATTACAAATGGGGCCCAGTCAAGGTGAAAGTCAAAAGCATTGGTGCTACTGTAGATGCCAACAGACTACCAGCAAACACAATGTTTGCAGGACTTCTACAACGAGGATAAAGTGACATAGTCCAGGACCCGAGGGAGGACAGTTTAGCGATGGCGCTACAACACGCTACAGCAGGTCCGTTTGACAAGAAACACTTCTGTTACAGACACTTGTCTTACTTTGTTAAAGCGGTTTACCTGTCCAGCAGAAAGGTTACAGGGTCACCAAGATCCCCAAGCGTCCCCCATCGTTTATGTTGACCCGGCTTTTTAGCTCTTGTCCGGTCTACCTCCGTTTTAAGCGCCCGTTATTCCTCCAGAGTCTCCGGTATTTACTTTGTTTTCTTGCTTGTAGCACCTAACTTTGTTTGGACTCTCAAAAATGTTGAAATGTTGACTCCACAGACAAAAAAAAACAGTGATATCATTATTTTACCAAATGTCATCAATAACTAATAACTATTGACTGATATTAAAAGCTCTTTAGTTTATACACCACAAAAAAAGATGCTTCTTTACCAGAATCCTGCCTTTAACAACCTTGAGTTGTATTGCGGGTGTAGCGACTTTAACCTTGCAGGGTTTTGCACAACACCGCCCCTGCAGGAGAATAGAGGAACTGCAGTTGCAATCACATTTTTACTTGCATCTTAACAGTCCGGTTTCAGCTCAGCTTACGCAATAAATTAATTTTTTGAACTTGTAAACACGAGGCAAACATGAGAGATTTATCAAATAACAAATTCAGAGTTTTGTGATGGGATTTTCCTGGAAAATAATGTAATCAATTGTCAAGGACGCAGCTTTCTAAGTACCTTAAAATGATCATATGGGTGTGTGCAGATCAAGTAAGAAAGGTCGAGTTTGAATACTATCAGTAACTCAGTAACTGACTCGCGACTATAAACATCTGCCTCGACAAAAACATCCAAACAGTTCCTGCTGTTGTTTGCAAACGCCGTCCTCTGTGGTGAAGACACAGGAAATACTTAGAGAAGAAGAAAGAAGTGAAAGCTGCGTGCAGCCGGAGCATTGAACCACTCACTATGACAGGCTGACTGTGTAATGATTGTACGAGCATGGTTGTTTACAGCGTGATCCGGTCTTAATGTCATGTAGAGGCTGTTACACCTGGCTGTTCATTAGTCGTTTCAGGGCCGGCTGAATCTGATGTTTGTGTGCAGGAGAAACTACAGCTGCAGGAAAAGTGACGTTTTTCTGCTGTGTAAGAAAATGTAATAAATCCAGAAGAAGAAGAGAAGCTCTGAGTTGGTTTGTTTCTGTCCCTGCTCTCACTTCCCGGCCAGGATTACTCAGCTCTTTTTTCTCAGATGATGCATTTTTAATGTGAAGTGCCTGCGTGCGTGGTTTGTGTATCTTTATCCAGAGTCCATTTAAGGTAACCGTCCTAAACAGTGGCTGTGTTGATGTCAGAGGCGGCCATAAATAGCTCTGTTCTGTGCAGCCTGAATGAAAAAGAAGACATTTAGATAAACGCACTCATTAGACAGGCCCTGGGACTAACAGCTGTTTTTATATGTGTCTGTGTGTCATTGAAATATTTAACCCTCTGCTGCCGTTACTCCCGCATCAGTCTGGGGCGGTTTTGCAGCTTGCGTGCAGGAGCAGGATGTGAGATGAGGTCGCGTTGGCTCCGTCACCAGAGAGGTTGGAGCTCGTCAGGGGCTGCTGGGTTTTTTTGGCTCGCATCGACGGTTTTCCTGCAAACATTTTGTTTACAGGGACCAAAATAAGAGGTAGCTGCCCCTCTTTGGATTTCCACGAATCATAACAAAGGTTGGTCCACATCAGCAGGTACACCTTTAGTTTTGGAGGGAAACTGTAGGAGTAACAGTGAAGCTTATTAGATTAGAGATGATAAGTCTTCAACTGTTGTGGTTAATGATTAATTGTTGAAAGGATTTTTCTATGTTCCCGGATTTGCAGCTATTCTGTGTCTCATGTGATGCTAAGCTGACTGATGGGTCATAACACGTCTGTGAGCACGCATCCTCAGGCTTTGGCGAATTGTGATGGATATTTTCCACTTCTGGCAGACGGCCTGATCAGTCAGGTGGTTTGTATGGAGAACGCTGGCTCAGCAGAACTCACTCACTGAGGACAAAAGAGTCATCAGTCAGGTCGTTGTTCAGAGCTGCTTCTTATTTTGACGTGTCCAAAGCCCGGTCACATTTCTGGAGAACTCAGGACAGCCTGTCCCTGAAGTTTAGACTGACGGGTGGAGAGGTTAGGGGGTCTCAGGAGGGAGAGGGTGGTGGTGGTCACCATGAGTCTGACGCTGTGAATGAAGGGTTTTCTTCCTTTATGTCAAAGCTGTGTGTTATCCACTGATTTAAAGGGTTTATTCAGTGAGTGAGGAGCGTATTTACTCTGACTTTTACCTGCTGCGTTTATACACTGACTCACCTGACCTCCTGGAGAAATCTTACATGAGGAGAAAGTCCAGACAAGGTCAGGGTGAAAAACTCTGCCTTTTACATTCCTATACCCTGAAAAATAATAGAATATTTTCAGGAATAAATAAAGAGATGAGTGGTCCAGATACCACACCTGAGCTGAAGCTGGTTTTAGATCCTGATGGGTCACAACTTACATTTAATACCAACCTTTGTAATTATGTAAAATACAGTATTGATCTTATCGTATCATATCATATTGGATCGCATTATATCTTATTGTATCAGATCGGATTGTATTGTATGGTATCCTATTGGATCACATCACATCGTATCGTATCAGATCGACTTGCATCAGATCGTATTGTATCGCATCGGATCGGATCATATTGCTTTGTATTGTATCTCATTGTATCATATCGGACTGCGTCATATCGTATCATATTGTGTCCTTTTGGAATCGCATCATATCGGATCTGATCAGATTGTATCTGCTCTTGTTTTATCAGATCGTATCGGATTGTATTGCATCGTATTGTATCTTCCATTTTGGGGACCGTGCTGGTCTTTCCGCTAATTCATTTTAATTTATTTTTTGCCCTCCAAGAAATAAACCTGTTTCAATTAAGTAATTTTATGGTTTAAAAAGATAATAGAATGTCATTAAGAGTGTATTTTGTTTTTAAGGCTGTATTAGAATCTGTATTGGAAGGGAAATTCAATTAAAACACCTTTTAATTATTCAGTCTGATCTATAACAGAGTAAACACTAAATAAGAATCTTTGAAATTCCTTGAAATATGCTAAAATCATCTGTGGTTGTTCAGAGTTTCTGTCCTCTTTAATACTCTCTTCTCTGCAGTTTAATCATCCTGCAGAAACCTACAAACACCAGAGGGTGAAGTTATGATGTAAAAAGCACATGTTCTTGTCATGAGAGTGAAAAAAAAAAGAAAGTTTGAGGTGCTTCTCAGGTCAAGTTCTTCTTCTGGGAAAATCTGTGTTTTCAGATCTCAGACTGTTTCATTTGTTCAGTAAGAAAAACATCAGCTGCTTGTCAACTTTTGGTCCTCCCTCCTCAGAACTTGTTGATTTTGACTCCGTCTCTCCTCGTTCCTCCCACAGGTGCATCTGCTCCAGCCTCATCCTCTCCTCTGAACACAGATCTCCACCAGGAACCCTCTCCTCCTCCTCCTTCTTCTTCATCGTCTTCCTCCTCCTCCTCCTCCTCCCTGTGAGCAGACATGCCTCCAGCGATAGGTGGGCCTGTGGGTTACACTCCCCCTGAAGGGGGTTGGGGCTGGGCGGTGGTGGTAGGAGCCTTCATCTCCATCGGCTTCTCCTACGCCTTCCCCAAATCCATCACCGTCTTCTTCAAGGAGATCGAGGTCATCTTCAATGCTACGCCCAGCCAGGTGTCCTGGATCTCCTCCATCATGCTGGCTGTTATGTACGCTGGAGGTGAGTGGTGTGGTTATCAATTCACTCATCACCGTCATCTATTCGTCCTCCAGGAAACAGACACGCAGAAAAATCTTTTCTGTTTTTTTAAGGAGTCAAATCAGATCGCTCATCTCTAATCCAGGTTAAATAGTCTCTCTTTATTTAACGTTACACACAGCAGCCATAGGCTTGTTTTGGGTCTTATATCAGCGGCTAATCCAACCTTGTCCGGTTACGGATCTCTGACTCTCAGCCTGTAATCCCTGATTTGCCCAGACAGTCTTAAAGGTGTGTTGTTGTGCCTGTTGGATGTTCTCCAAAAAGCTGACTCGAGTTGCGCTGGCGAGAGCGGATTGGGTGTTTCCGCTCGACTCCTCTGGTTTGGAAAAGACTTCACATGTCACGCATGTTGACAGCGGTTGCTGCATGGCATGTGGAAAATGTGCGGGGAAGACACAATCATAATTTCACATTTCACATGACTCTGACGAGAAACACAGGCTGTGGAGCAAACAACCAACTCAAACCTCATTTGTTTAATACAGTTTAATTCTTCTGAGGGCTCCCAGGAAACAAGCAGGTTATTGTAGGTGAAACCTGTTGTAAAGAGCTTTTTTTAGCGCCCCGCTGGATGGGCCCCGAGGTGAAACTTGGATCTTTTAAGGGGTTCTTAGTGGATCAAACCCTCGAAATAGTCGAAGAGTCTCGATAGGTTAAACCCTCTTTAATTCAACCGTAGCTGCAGGGATGTAAAGATCATCCAAACACGCAGGTGAAGATCAGCATATGAAGCTGTCAGGAGGGTGTTTGAGTCTGAAAACTGAACTCTAAATCTGGAATATTCATTTTCCTGTCAGCAAACCCACATTCAGCCGTTATGCAACAGGAAGAATCTCCATCCCAGTGTTGATTTCAAGGCTTGAAGCTCCTGTAAGGGTCACACCTTGAGGCTTTTCAACCAGGATTGAATCATGTTTCCATGGAGACGAGCTGGAGAAGTCTTAAAGGTCCTTGTAACAGCTGAGTACAATTAGATAAGAATACGACACACTTTGAGGATGAAGCTGTAGATATCTACAGTATATATATTTTTTATAACTTTAACTTTAAACAACTAAAAGTTAAAAAATCAGCCGATTAATTGGTAATGAGATTTTTATCCCCCCCTAATAATCGGTATCGGCATCAGCCCCAAAAAATCCATATCAGTCGGCCCTAAAATAGAGGATAAAAACTGAACGGTATGGTATCAAAACATTGCCTTCTTGTCAGTGGTTTTCACACATGATGTTGAAAAAAGGAGGAGAAATCTTTTAGCTGTCCTCTTAGAAAATGAACGCTCGGGTTAAAAGTTTCGCCGCTCTCCGCTATTCCGCCGTCTGCCCAGGCGCTTTTGCATTGTTGTGGGTAAGAGTAGGCGAAGCAGCATACTGTGAATCAGTACATCATCCGGGTATTTTTGGCAAATTTCGGATTTCTTCGCCTACTGGAAACCACATACTAAATTTGGGCAAATCAGTTCGTACTGCTAGTATAGTAGGCGAATTCGAAATCAGTCCAGGCCTTTTGTTTCTATTTTCTCTCTCTCTCTGTTCTCGTCTGTCACAGCTTCAGTAACACTTCCCGCTGAAGGGAACATGACAACAAGCTCATAATATTTCTACTGGATAATAACCAGGGAAAAGACGGGCTGAGTAAACACTCCATCATGAATATAACAGCTTTTATAAAAGTGTGTTTGAGCCCTCGGCTAAAACACGGTCCATCCTCTGTGGAGCATCCATTCAGGATCCCGTCTCCTCCTCTCTGCTGCTTGACCTAAATAACTCGTTTTGTGCCTTGAAATCATTTAAAGAGATCGGTTTATTTGCACTGCTGGAACAACGGCCCGTAAGAGACGGATTCTGATTCTGATCCAGTTTGAGATTAGGCAGGATTTCAGGTCAGGTTTCCCTCTTTTCTGTGTCGGAGCACAAAGGAAGCTCTCTCCTCATTCACTCTCTCTTCCTCTCTTTTGAAAAAAAACATCTTACAGTCTCTTAAAACCCTCTGTTCCCTCTTTTTACTCCTCGTCCTCTTTAGGGCTGCGTGCCAACTCGCAGTCTTACTCAGCATGTTTCCGCGTTTAGGAGAGGAAACTGCCGAGGGAGAGGCAGAAAACCAGGAGGAGGAGGAGTGAAATTGCGTAACGGGAGCCAGATGTTAGAGTAGTTTCTTTTTTTTCTCTCTTTAATTTTGAAGTTCTCCTCCGTCTCCTTATTTCACCGCTCAGCCAGATCAGGTAGTGACGCCTGGTGCCCGCTTGCTCCGAGGAATTATTGGCTTAACGGGGGCATAAATTACCATAACCATATTACTCACCCCCCACCGCACATGAGGCGACGCACGTACACTCAGAACGACTTCCACAAAGCCTCAGACACGTTTTAATTTTATCATGACCGTGTGACGTCGCAGACAGCCGAGTCACGGTGCGAACCGGTTATGATTGGGCAGGATGTTCAGCAGGAAAAAAGACGTCTGTTTTATTAGTTTCAGGGCGTGAAAGAAAGTAACAAGAAAAACAAGTCGCTGCATGCTCTGCTGGTAAAACAGGCGGCATAATTATTAAACATTAAAAACTGTTATGGCGATCAACTTCAGAGGGGGAGGAAATGAAAACTTTTGAGAGTTTCACTTCAGATGTAAAATTATGAACCAGGAAGAGAAAAGTATGAACAACAAAAGAGTCAGATCAAGAGTTATGTTGAAGATTATCCAATCAGTGCAAAAATGGACATGTTTAGTTCCTGAATCTGCAAAAAAAGGAGCACATGTACTTGTTATTGTTTCCTTCAGTGTCTTCTCTTGTATTTTTAAGAGTTATTTTTTGAGGGCAGTATGAGAAGAGCTCTTATTAAAAACACCGCCCCTTTAAAAGCCCGGGGATTATTTTTAAAAAGTGTCCCGTCGCTCGCTCCTAATTTGCCTAATCTTGGTGATTTGAGAGGTGTGTCTGAATCACAAACACAAACATGTTTCCTAACTTTGTAATTCCTCCAGCTCCACAAACACACACACACACACACACACACACACACACACACACACACACACTCACTCACTCACTCAGTCAGGCTGGATAAAAGCCTTTTTGTTGCTTCATGTTAACATGAGCGCTGATATCAGAGCTACGATCCTCTGGTGTGGGAGGTGAAAGAGCCGGAAGAAAGAAAGAGAGATGTGTGTCTGTGCGTGTGTGTGTGTGTGTGTGTGTGTGTGTGTGTGTGTGTGTGTTTGTGTCTGCGCGACTGTACGAGTTTCAGACTCCAGGGTCAGCGTTAATATGAGTCAGTGTTCAGTGTGCATGGTGATTTTAGCAAATAAATGAGAGAACACATCAAAATCGCTCTAGAGTGTGAACCCACACATGACAAACAGACGTCCCTCTCTGAAGTACACACTCACACTCACAGTTCGGTTTCACGCAGCAAAACGAGAACATGTGAAGATAAAACCCAGAAGCGTTATCTGACTTCACTGATTATCTTCTGGCTTCTTGCAAATATTCTGCACGAACAAATGTTCACCCACGCAGGATGAAGTAGGTCAGTGTAGGGCTGGGCGATATGGCCTCAAATCAATATCACGATATATTGATCAGCTCACTTCGATAATGATAAACGGATGATAACTACTCCATGAGCTGCTCACCCCCTCCCACATTAACTTCGTCTACTTCAGCCGCTACAACTTTTGAACCGTCAAGTAGTATTTATTTATTTTGACACCGAATATACCGATATGGGCAAAACGACGTCGGTTATTGTCTTAAATTTTCGGTATTGGTAAATTTTTGGTTTATTGCCCAGCCCCAGTTTCTTATGAGTCTCAGTTTCGCTGTAAATGCAGGCTTCATTCTTGTGTGCGTAAGTGGAATGTAACCAAAACAGAAGCTGGATGTCCTGTAGATGTGTAAAAGGTTAAACTCCAAGATTTGTCAGGTCTGAGGAGACATAAACTGTTTCAGTGCCAGCCCTAGTTTTCCTTAGCCCTTGTAGTATTCATATTTTTGACACCGAATATACCGATATGGGCAAAATGACGTCTGTAATCGTCGTAAATTTCAGTATCAGTAAATTTTCAGTTTATCGCCTAGCCCTACATCAACGTCTGCTAGAAAGTTGTCAGATTGGCGCAGTACAGTTGGTCAGGTGCTCATTCTGACCCCCCAGAAAAACACCCACAACTGACATGTGAAGGCGGCCTGGAAGGACACGAGTCAAGACACTTGGTATTCAGATTCTCCAGATGTCAGTCCAACAGGTCCCCGACTCAGACCTCCTACTTCTCAGAGACTGTGTGGAGTCTGCGGTCTAAACTAACCCTGACCTGATGGATAAACTTCAGCGTCATCCATCCTCCTGTCAAACGTCCAGCGGAGTGATTATGCGCATTTCCCAAACTGTCCAGACGAAGGGATGTTGATAAGGCGTGATGCATTCGAGTGTTGGGTCAAATCCAATCAGCTGTTTCTCCTCTCCCTCATCTCTTCTATTTAGTTTCTGGCAGGACTCGACCCACCAGCAGCTGCCCCTCTCACTCTTCTCGCTCTCACACCTCAGCAGCCCTAAATCCAAACACTTGATTGTTTTCTAGAGTTAAAAAAAATAAGGTTTGCAGCTCGTCATCACAGAAGGAAAGAAAAGGAGCAAATGATGAAGAAGAGAGGAGAGGAGAGGAGGGGAGAGGAGGGGGTCGTTTAAATAATATCTGGGAGAACTCTGCTCACTGCCCTCTTTGTGATTTGCCAAACAGCAACAAAGACTGTCACTGCTGATTTATTCATGCCGGCCCGAGTGTCGTTGAGTGGATGCAGAGTCATCCCTCTCCTTCTGCAGGTTTACTTCACCTCGTTCATTCAATCACGGCGACCCGCCTCCCTCCCGAAACATGGCGACCCACCGTGACGGGCTCCGTGCCAGCCAGGCAGACCCTCATGACGGACTCGACACAGAAACTAGGTGTCCCAGAGGGAGAGAAAAAAAGAGAGAGAGAGGTATTTAGTGAGTGCGTGAGCGAATACTCGAGCACTCGGCGCCCCCGGACATTGGGTCAGCTGCCAAGTTTCAAGGGCAAATCCACCATGATGAGCGTGAGGGGCCCAGCTCTCGCGGGACGACGATCATTTATCTGTTTTATCTGAATTTACCCACTTTTTTAAAGCAGCCAAGAGGCTTTTGTGAGTTTCTGCCTCTTATTTTATTAAAAAAGTGGAAGTTTTGAATGTGAGCAGAGGAAACGGTCTGCTGGGACTCACAGACTGACGGTTTGTTGACTGACTGACCGCTCTGACTGACTGTTTCCTCTGCTGACGTGGGTTTCAGCGTCCCGTCCCTCAGAAGCTGCAGGCTTTAGTTTGTATTCGCGTCCAGCAGAGCCAGTGTCAGCCTCCGTCCATGTGAAGCCTCATTCATAGAGAGGCTGGCACGCAAACTCAGGCACGTGGAACGCCTTGACTTCACTCCTCCCTCCTTTCTCTTCTCCTCCCCTCCTCTCTCTGTCCTTCATCTTCTGTCCTTTGTATTGTCCTTTGTCTCCTTGTTTCCTCTCTCTGTCTCTCATTCCTTTTGTTGTCTTCTTCCTCTTCACGCCTCTTTTGTGGTCTCCTTTTCTTTTGTCATTTCATTTAAAACTCTTTTTTTATCTTCACTTTCCTCTTGTCTTTCTTTTTTCTTCTCTCCTCCTCTTCTTTTCTGTCATCACTCAGAGTTTCTGTTGTTATTCTTTTAGTTGACTTGACTCATTTCTGTCTCTTTACCTCCTTTTTCTCATGTCTCATATCTTCTGCTCTGTGTTGCCTCTCTTCCTCTTTTCCTCCTCAATCTCTTTTATCTTTTCTTCCTACCTTCACTCTTGACCCTCTTATCTCTCTCTCTCTCTCTCTCTCCTTCCTCACCCTTTCATTCTGACCTCCCTTTTTCCCTCCCTTGTTTCCTCCCTCCTTCCTTAGTGCAACATGCATTCAACAGAGCGCTGTTACACAATCGGTCCTGGTTCACTCTGTATTTTTGTCACCACAGCACCTCCTGCTGGTGAAAATTGGAAGTGACGGTCTGTTGTTACACAAGCAGAAATCCTCTGAGTTTGTCCGCTAGTTTTCATCTTGACCAGGGTGACAATATTCTGAATTCCCAAAAAGACGACACAGCTACATGGGGGCGGAGTCACAGAGTCGCACAAAGTTAATTTTGAGAGTTTTTTGGGTCGGATCGAGTGTTTTTTTGCGCTTCTATCTCAGTAAATCCACGTGACACAAAATTGAAACTTTTGTACAAAACTGTGAACATTTTAAAGATTTTATAAACTTCCTCAGACAAAGTCGGACAAGCCCCCAAAAAGAGGACATGTCCGGGTAAAAGAGGACACATGGTCATTCTAATCTTGACTCTCTTAACTTCTAAATGATTAATTTATGGACTTTAAGTGAAATGTATTGATGAATTTAACCATGTTAGGTATCATGTTCATGAAAATGTCTTAATGCAGGAGTTTAAAAACAGAAAATAAGGATCTGTGAGTTGCGATCTGGACTCCTCCTCGGCTGACATAAATCCTCGTTTGAAGTAAACCTCGCCTCATTGTCCCGTGTCTCTCCGTCTCTCCAGGTCCGATCAGCAGCATCCTGGTGAACAAGTTTGGAAGCCGACCCATCATCATCCTCGGCGGTTGTCTGGCGGGGTCGGGTCTAGTCTCTGCGTCTTTCTGCAACACGGTGGAGCAGCTCTACTTCTTCATCGGCGTGGTTGGAGGTCGGTCTTGATTATTGAGAGTCGAGTTTCTCTGACGGGGTCTGAAAAATGATCTTATAGACAGCTTCTCTGGTTCTCCTCCCTCCAGGTTTGGGTTTAGCATTCAACCTGAACCCCGCCCTCACAATGATCGGTAAATACTTCTACAAGCGGCGGCCCATCGCCAACGGCATCGCCATGGCGGGCAGCCCCGTGTTCCTCTCCACGCTGGCTCCTCTGAACTCCTGGCTGTACGATGAGTTCGGATGGAGAGGCAGCTTCCTCATCCTGGGAGGACTCCTGCTCAACTGCTGCGTGGCCGGCTCCCTCATGAGGCCCATCGGACCCAAACCCCAACCGGCCAACGCCGAGGCGAGCGAAGGAAAGGACGCGGGGCCTCAGCAGAAGAAGACGTGTCTGCAGACCATCAACTCCTTCATCGACCTTACGCTCTTCAAACACCGCGGCTTCCTGCTGTACCTGAGTGGGAATGTCGTCATGTTCTTCGGCCTCTTCGCTCCCCTCGTCTTCCTCTCGAATTACGCCAAGAGCATCGGCATCAGCAAAGAAAAAGCCGCCTTCCTGCTGTCAGTGCTCGCCTTCGTCGACATGTTCGCCCGGCCCTCCATGGGGATGCTTGCCAACACAAAGTGGGTCCGACCCAGAGTGCAGTACTTCTTCGCCGCCGCCGTTCTCTACAACGGCGTGTGCCACGTTCTGGCGCCGCTGTCAGTGGACTACATGGGCTTCGTGGCGTACGCCATCTTCTTCGGTTTCGCCTTCGGGTGGCTGAGTGCAGTGCTGTTCGAGACGCTGATGGACCTGGTGGGGGCTCAGAGGTTCTCCTCAGCTGTGGGTCTGGTCACTATAGTGGAGTGTGGACCTGTGCTGCTGGGTCCTCCTTTAACAGGTGAGATATCAGACGTGGAGGTTCTCTCAGGTGGTGAAGTTCAGAGCGATCAGTCTGAGCTTTATGAACCACAACAGGTGACACTACTGACCGCTCAGTCGTGTTGTTTTTGGCGTCCTGTTTTCATTTTAGTTTTTATTAGTTTTAGTTCAAACTCTGTTTTGTTTACTCAAGTTTTAGTCAATGATTTTAATCTTTTTTTAGTCATTTAATTCTGTTTAACTCAGTTAATATAGTCTAATTACCTCGTTTAGAATAGATAAAACCAACTTAATCCACAAATCAAACATGTTTATTATGATATTATTGTTACATTATAGACTCAAGAAAACATCGTTTCCAGCAGTGGAATATACTCTGAGCAGACTTTTTACACACAAGCTAGACACACACACACGCTGAGCTAGACACAGGTTACACACACTCTCAAACACTTAAGATGTCTTTTTAGATTCGTTGTGTCTGAGCAGGGCGACACAAAGCCGATGAAACAGAAAACAAAAACAATGTGACTAAACTATTTTGTCTCGTCTTGTTTTAGACAACGAAAATGAAGAGACATTTACCGCATTTTTCGCACTATAAGGCGCCCTTAAAATCCATTAATTTTCTCAATAATCCTCAGTGCGCCTCATATATGAATTCTGGTTGTGCTTACTGACCCCGAACCGATTTTCTGTGCTACACAGCGCTCAAAAATCTGTCAAAATGTTTTATTAAGACTTCAGTAAACTACAAAGACGCACAGCCTGATGGCTTGTCGGAGCACTATGTTTGGCTTAATGCGCTTTATAATCTGGAAGCAGTTTTTATTTATGAACCACAGTAAGTCTTGTTTTTATCGTCAACAATATTTAGTTATAGTAATTGTCACAAGACCACCATTTACGTTTCGTTGACGACGATATTTCGTCACAGTCGTCACACTACCTCTCAGAACCTTCATGATCCGGTCCAAACCCGGTTTCTTTGTCTCTTATTGACAAAATGAAGTTCATGCTGTAACAAACGAGACTTAAATTAACTGTGTAGACTTTATACTCGTAGTTTACGGAGGTGATTCTGTGTGAAATCCTCTTATGAAGCACACAGATTGTCGTTTTGACGCTCCAGCTGAGTTTTCTTCTCCCTCTTGCGCCCTCTACAGGTAGCTTCTATAACTACTACCACCACTACGACTACACCTACATTTCCTCCGGCATCATCCTCATCGTCGCCAGCGTGATCCTCTTCATAGGAATGGGCATCAACTACCGCCTGCTGGACCGAGAGAAGAAAGAGGAGGAGAGGAGAGAGAGGGAAGAGCCCAAAGAGGAGCGCACCGCCATGTTGGCTCCTCCTTCCCCTTCCAAAACCGGGGAGGAGGCGGAGGACAACAACGTACCGGCCGCCGTCACGCTGGCTGAAATCTCCAAGATGGACGAGGACACAGTGTAGGAAGTGTAAATAAATGAACTTGAAGGACACACACACCTAACAGAAACACACACGAGAGCTGCAAACACACGCTGTCTTTGTAGGGAAGTAACAACCTGATCCACAACCCTGAAGCCATAGAAATTACTGCGGTCTTCACAGACTGAGACCTGCTGCTGTGACCTCAAGCTTCGCTCTCAGTAAAGCTCGTCAACAGCTTCTCTTTTTTTATTTTTGTTTCACCGCGTTGAGACCTCTGGTTTTGGTATTTGACGTGCCTTTTTGGTGAGTCCTCCAGGAGCACACACACGCCGCTTATATGAACACCAGACGAGACGCACAACAAGACAGAAAGACTGTAACAGAGAATTCAAAATCCAGACAACTAATGAGGACTTTACTCTCAGGGTCATGAGCTGCAGAAACACACACATATTCACACACTCAGAGTCCAATAATGCAGTTTTCGGTTACAGTACTTGGAGATACTGTAAAGTTCCCTCATCCTTCACACTTTTAATGCTTCATTCCCTCAGGGCCGAACACACCCATGCTACTGTCATCGCAGTAGATCTGTCACTTCACATGCTAGTTTTAGACGCTCATGAACGGTTGATTTTAGTTGAGTTTTTTTGCCTTTTATTGACACTGAAACCTGAAACAAGACGAAGTTTAGGGAGAAACAGGAGAAGATGATATTCTCTACCTGAGGAACGATCAGGGCGCTCCTTTATCGCTTGTTTATCAGCGGAAACATGCAGCTCTACTCTATTATAAAAGTGCAGTGTTTGGTATTTAGTGGAATTTAGAACTTTTTTGGTCATCAGAGATTTGCTGGTTGGATGAAGAAGATGAAAAACAGGAGAAGAATTTGTACCTCTGCATCATGGGAGCTTTTTGAGGTGGTTCAAATCTGTTTTTTTTCATCTTTGCACACTGAACCTGTCAGTAACAGTTTTTATTCATGAAAGTCAGAAGTAAAGTGGCTGACACTCTAAATGATCACAGAAACTCAAATAATTAGACTTTAAAAGAAAAGCATAAATACAGAAAGAAGTTTAACATAGTTTTGAGTAGGACAGAGAAGATGAGGTCCCACAGTCACATGTTTATGAATTTTACTGTATATTTCATGAAGCGTCAAATTAATTCAAGTGTTTTTGTAACATTAACACTTTACTAAACATTTTAAGGCTGGTTTAAAGGTAATAATTTAGCTTTTTAAGGCGTTTTGTCTGTTTTTTAGCGGTTAGCAAAATAATGAGCAAAATTTGATGGAAGGTAAGCAGCAACCTCCAGTGTTAGAGAATTAGGCCCATGGCTAAGTGCAAAAACCCAAAATGAAGCATTTGAGTTATGCTTCAGTCAGATTTGACTGACAGGTGGACACATGGACTCATCTCCACCTCTTTCCACTTAAATGTCTAGGGGTCGGCAGTTTGAATATGGCGACCTCGGTCTCTGAGACGAGGGTATGCAGTCTGTGGAAGTTAGGTGTCATTGCAATCTTCATAAAAAAGACCCTGCACTTAAATTCAAGCTCATGAGGACACTTCCTGCCTCGCACTGTTTTTAAAAACCATAAAAATAAGCACTTCACTGTTTCCATGACGCATCTTCACACTTGGGAGAGACTCAACTCCTGCAACAGGCCAACCAGGCTGCATCAAATGTGTTCATTACCCATAAGGCCACCTTCTTTAAAAGGGGAAACTTGATTAGAACACTACCAGCAGGTTCAACAGTCAGACTTAATAATAAGCTGGATCTCCTGGTTGGAGTTTGAGGCTTTATTTTCTGCAACTAACCGACCGGTTATTTTCTTGTTTGATAAAGACGAGGGGGCAGAAAAAGTTTTGAAGAATTTTATAAAAGAAATAAAATGTAAGCGTCCAATTTTTTTAACCTTTACTTGTTGACGGCACTTAAAATGAGAACTGAGAGCAAAGACACAAAGATATAGGAATGTAAAAGTAAATTTATGAAGGAGTTTTTTTTTTTTTTTTACGAGGATCAGGAGTCTGTAAGCGAGGAGACCAGAAGGTCACGATGCCAGCAGTGTAGATGGTGCTTTAACGCTGTGCTTGTACATAAATAAGTGAGCACTTTGTGTGTGTATCACCCCCCAGCCAGAGCAGCTCTTTGTTCGCCTTTGTGCTGATAAAGACGAGACAGATTCGAACAAAAACGCTCACACGGTAACTCTTCTCCGCCCTGCAGATTTTCCCGCTGAGTGACCAGCAGGACGAGACCGCTCGCAGTATAAAATGACACCACATGCTGGTTTTTGAGGGGCAACAAAAAGAGGCTGTGATCGCACCCGATCAATGGGTTAACGGGGTGTGTTTGAGCATGTGTGCTTAGACCTGCCTGGCTGTGGTGCCAAAATAGGAGAGATTTCACTCTGAATCACACACACACAGGATCCTAACTCTTCAGGATGTTTGATTAGAGACGTCGCAGTACCCTAGTGTTGTTTTTTAATTGTGAATAACACTCAGTAGTTTACAGTTATATCAACAAAACCTTTGTAATTTAAAAGAAATCTATATTTTAGCTCAGTGTATAAAGACAATCTGACGATGAGTAATCTTTGTAAAGGATTTTGATTCATGTGGATGAGAGGAAAATGGTGTGTGAGTGAGAGAGAGAGTGTGTGCGTGTGTGTGTGAGTTAAAAATGTAATTATTTCATTTGTTTGCTGCAGTATCAACACGTGTCTCTCTGTGCAGTTTGTCTTTAAGCCATTTCAGAATGTGTCATATCAGATCCACAACGTTTGAGATCCAAACCGACCTCAGATCAAATATGCACCGATCGATCAACAGCTGGTTTCACTGCCGACAGTTATGGCTGACACTCTGGTTCGGGGACAGTTTTGATGTAGAATGAACTTCAGGCACGTCTGAAGAAACTTTCCTTAATTTCTCTTGTGATGAAATAAACCGAGGTTTTTAATCCAGATTTATTTAAGACTTTTCACCGCAGCAGTTCTAAACACTGCTCGATGGAAAATGTTGAAGGATATTTCACTGTTTTCACTTTTGTTTGCTGGTTTGATTTTGCTTCAGCCTTTTGTGTTCAAGTGAAGACTGTCATTACGGGCTTAAAAGCACATAAGAGAATGGTTGTGATGATTTTATATAGTTTAATTTTTTGTCAACAAATCCTACAAAAAATACAAAGTCAAACGAATCTCAAACTTTTATTTCATCTCCGCAGGATTTAGAGCTGAAAATAAGTCAGTGCTCTGGTTAACATGTGCTCATGTTTTCACATTTCAGTAATATCCTACATATACTGTCCTTATTTTGTATACAGTAGGATTCATCTGCAGCAGCAACAATGTCATTCCTCCTTATATTTCAGTAAAAAATACTATTTTGGAAGAAACACTGATGCATACACTCACATGATCGACTTTTCAATTCCATCAAGTATGAGTAGATGGAATAAAAGCTTTTTCTTTTGTTTTGTTACAGGATTTGTTGACAAAAATAAAAGACGATTAAACTACTTAAAGAAAAAAATATATAGTGTTTTTGTACCTGAGCACTTTTTCTCTAACTCTTCTAATGCCCAGCTCGGCGGTCATTCAGTCAAACGTGTCATGTCATAGGAAAAACAAGTCTCTTCCACCTCTCAAACACATTTTATATTTAACTAGGAATGTAAATGACTGTGTTTCGGGGTGCTCCTGTTTAGTTAGGTTGAACATTTGTTGGTATTTATACTAAGACCAAATGTAAGCTCTCAATGTTTTGTTCTCAAATCAAATAATCACACCATGTTAATTGTTGTCTGAAAGGAAATGTATTTTAACAGGAGTTTTATGTTATTGTTGGTTCTAATGTCCTTCTGAACTATCGACCCGTCTACAGACATGAATTTGAAGTTACTTTCTGTACACTTTGATGGAAAAGGACGGCTGCTAACAGGCCTGCTGTCTCGGCGCTCTGACCTCAGATTTTCTTCAGTTACAGAAGACGGACTTAACACAATTCTTCTAACATTTTTACTCAACAGGCATTGTGATAAAAAAAAGAGAAATTTTCCTAAGACCTTCACTTATTTTGCCTTTAAGAAGAGCGTTTGAAAGGCTGTATTACAAAAGACTGTAACTGAACCCTTTGAAACACTGAATGTGAGTGTTATTTAATGCAGGGGTTTTAAAAAAAAAAACGGTACTGTTGAACCACAGCAGCTTTGTGTTAAAAAAACAACAAATCATTATATTACATTTCTTGAAAACAAGGTTTTTATTTTATTTGAGTTGCAGTAGGTGTTTTTATGTTTGTATGTGTGAAATGTTTTTATGACTGCAGAGTGAATGAATAAACTGTTTTTAAAACAATTTCTTTTTGTATTTTTTCATATCTATCAAAAAATAAGGAAAATTAAACCAGAAAAATCACTCGAATACATACATTTACAACAATTCCACATTTTAAAAACCTACTTCAGCAGGTATATCTCATCAATCGGTTTGACCTACAAATAGTTTGATGATTTGGGAATTTTCATAGACTTTATAGAATAGTATATACAGTCTATGGGTATTTTTTTTTATAGATTTGCCTAGAGAGATCAATAATCTATAAAGTGAAGCTACCCGCTGGCAGTGCCTAGCTTAGTGTAGCATTGAAAGCAGTGTTGCATACCTGTGGTGTCACTCAAGTAAAGCCAAATCTATGTCAATTTTTTAATTAATAGATCCATAACATTTGATTTATCATAGTGAAAGATGAAAATGTGCCATGTTGATTAGAAATAAAAATACTTCATGTAAAAGCAGGTGGTAGCTCTATGCCAGGAAATAGTGGGTTACCAAAATAAGTTAGTAAATCATCCTTTTTTAGGCCTTTGTAGTGTTTTTTATGTTGTGCCACTTAATAAAGGGTTTCAATAATACTTGGTGAGCTTCACAAAAGCTGATAGTTTGGCCTGTTTTGCTCGGTTTTTAAACAATTTCCGTTTTTAACTCAGTATTCCTACTCAGATTTGTAGTGCCAGTGAGAAAGGTTTATCCTTGAAAAAACACCTCCAATAACTCCTTATTCACACGTGAAATATTATCTGATTAAGTTTATTCGAAAACAAAGTGAGACTAGATGACTTGCAGTTTTAAAGTGGTCATGTATGTAAGTATTTCCTGGCTAATTTACACTTCCAAACCTCTGGGTGGGCGCTTCTTTGTTTCAGAAATTAGTCGGACACAAAATCGCACGCTAACGTTTGTGAAGCTGGGCGCTTTAGTTTTGTGGTTTATTTTTTGACGCTACGCCACACAGTGATTTTGTGTGTACCCATGAGTGTGTTTGTGGTTTATTTGTGTATGATGTGTTCAGTAGTTAGAGTTGTGTGTGGTGCTGGAGTCTCACTTTCAAGCACAAGGTGAGACAATGACATTCAGTTTTGAAGTGGTCATGTACTTGGGTATTTCCTAGCTAATTTACATTACCTAGCCGTAATCATTACCTCTGAGTGGGCGCTACATTCTTTCAGGAATTAGTCGGACACAAAATCGCATGCTAACGTTTGTGAAGCTAGGCGCTTTAGTTTTGTGGTTTATCTTGTTGACGCTACGCTTAGTGTGTCCCCATGAATGTGTTTGTGGTTGACTGTATATGATGTGTGTATTTCCTGGCGAATTTAAATTACCTAGCCGTAATCTTAACCTCTAGGTGGGCGCTTCTTTGTTTCAGGTATTAGTCGGATACATAATCTCATGCTAACGTTTGTGAAACTAGGCGCTTTTAGTTTTGTGGTTTATTTTTTTTGACGCTACGTTTTGTGTGTGTCCCCATGACTGTGTTTTTGTGGTTGTGGTTGATTGAGTATGATGTGTGTCTTGTTCAGTAGTTGGAGTTGTGTGTGGTGGTGGAGTCGCTCGGTAAGGAGCCTCGGCGCGGTGAGCGTTTTCGGCAGAGCAGCAGCAGACGGAGCTCCGGGGAAACGCTGCTGGAGAAGGCCGAGTAGATCCAGGGGTTGGTACAGGAGTTCAGACTGGCCAGCAGCATCAGCAAGGTGAACACTGCACCTGTACACAGCAGACAAGAGAAGGTTTGTGAGGATCCAAGACAGAGTAAACTAACTCCTTAGTCATGATCCAGAACATTAAAGAAACTAATATCAGTTTAACAGTAACTTCTTGTAATTTTAGGTCATTACAATATTATGGTGGCCAAGAAAAACTAGTGGAAGGTGGAACCAAGTTGTCCGTAGTATACACAGTCTATGTTGATGACGAAAAAAAGTCACGATGGGAAATAAAAAGAAGTTACTTACAGCAAAAATAAAAGGATGCAAATAAAAAAAGCCACAACGGAAGTGAGCTGCCAATAATGATGATGCACCGGTGTTTTACGATCTAGGCACAGAAGACGACGGCGAGAAGACGTGCAAAGAGGTAAGTGGAAAGGTTATTGTTTAATTTCGCTTTGTGTGCTTTTCGATGCGTCATTTGGTCAGGCCATGTGGCGCCTGAGTCGATATGAAGTTGAACTGAAGTTAAAACTACACCGGCATCCTCCATTTCAACTTCCGTTGTGGCTTTTTTTAAATTTGCATCCTTTTACTTTCACAGTAAGTCACTGTTTTTTTGCATCGCCACTTTTTTTCGCATTGTTAACTTCCGTTGTGGCTTTTTTTTTTTTTTTTTTTAATCTGCACCGTTTCTGTTTTATTTGCAGCAGGGTTCGTTTTTTTTTTTTTTTTTTTTTTGCATCGACAACTTCCGTTGTGGATTCTTTTTCCTCTTTTTTCTGCATTCTTTTTTTAGCAGCAGTGGCGATTCTCGGCCACCATACAATTTCATGTTAAGAAGTAAAAAGTTAAGTGCAGCAAATTTGCAACTATCCCATATAGTGCTGCTTGAGAAGAGGATTAAAAAAAGGTCCAGTATAAAACTTTTTCATTATTAGTCTGAGAAACTGAATTCAGACTTCAATCTCAGGATTGTGACTTTTTTCTGGGATTCTGACAGAATGATGAGAAAATGTTAGAATACAAAACTGTTTGAGCACCGTTCATTGGTGGGTTGGGGTCCCACGCAGCCCAGAGTTGGACACTGAAGTACGGAGCCCAGCACAGAGAGTAAACCAGCACTATGACCAGAGTCATCCTCACTGTTTTGGACATGGCTGCTGTCACCTCTCCACCTTTAACAGGGGGTGCTTTGGGCGGGGTGCTGTAGACAGCAGAGGGCGCTGCAGGGTCAGGCAGCACATCAGGCTGCAGCTCAGCTACAGGAGAAATGAGACTTTTGTTCATTCACGTCACAGTTTCATGTGAATTTTTCAAACCCTCCACCTCACATCAAATCTCTAGATTATTCTTCATGTTAACATCTAAAATAAGCAAAATACTCTTGAAAATATACAACCTTTATAGAGCAGAACAGAAGAATAAACAAATATAGATCTGCTTGGATGTTACCTGGGTGCACAGCCGTGTAGGTGTGAATGTCACAATGTGAAGTCATGCTGTTGGACCTGAGTGGACCCATAGGCAGGTGTGCAAATGTGGATCCAGGCTCTAAGCTGGTCTGACTTCCAGGGTTGTTGAATATGATCGGCGCTGCATACAGAGAGAGACTGGACCTCCCTCTGCCTCCTCCAACTCCTCCTCCTCTCTGGCTGTCCCGTCTGGATGGAGGGAGGGAGGCAGGGGACAGGCGCCGGTCTGACTTCAGATATAGATTGTTGTGGATCTCCTTGAATATTCGCACCTGAGGAAGAAGTTTGCAAAGTCAAGTCCGTGTACTTTATAAACATATAAAAGAATAAATGTAAGGAGTTAAATGTGTTTTCTTCTTCACCTGGCAGACAGTGATGATGAGCACCGGAAGGATGAAGACCGCCAGGGTCATCCAGGTCACGTAGGCTTTGAGGCCCCAGGACTCGGCAAAGTTTCCCCAACACTCATAAACACCTGGAGCCACTTCTGAGCGCGAGAAGATAAAAACCTGGAGTGGAAGAGAGGTGTGTGAGCAGCTACATGTTCGTTTATTTGCGTCTGTGATAGACAGCTGATGACATTTGTGACGTGGAAATCCAGGGAAAAATCTGCACTTTTCTGCAAAATCGTGCACAAAGATAAAAAAAGATTAGATTTTGAAGCCAAAAGAGGTATAATGGAGCTTTTTTTTATCAGGATGTTAAGACAAAGTCACCATCAGCTGTGTTCAGGGTTTAGAGGCTAAAATTAATGTGCAGAGTCCCACCTGTGTCCCCCTACCTGTGGCAGGCTGAGCACTAGCGACAGCCCCCAGGCCAGTAGTATGAAGCTGTTCCAGCGCTGAGTGGCTCCGCTGCGGTGCGCCTGCAGGGGGCAGCAGATGGCGTAGTGTCGGTCCATCGTCATGGCAACGATCATGTAGGAGGAGGCAAACATCCCGAGGACCTGTAGGTATTTAACCAGGCGGCACAGGATGTCCGGACCTGGGAAACGACCTTTGGCGTCCCAAACGAGCTGAGGCAGCACCTGAGAGGGAGAAAGGGGAGGAGTCTGATTGACGAAGAAGTGTGCACGTTCTCACCTGTCATGTGTTTCTATTACCTGGAACAGCGCCACCACCAGGTCGGCCACGCAGAGGTTGAGCATGAACTGATGCAGCGGGTTGTGGTGCCGCCTCCGCCTCAGCAGCACCACCAGTACCAGCCCGTTACCAAGCAACGCCATCACCAGGATGACCGCCAGCACCACCACCTCGGCCACCGCCAGCAGAGCGTCACGCTGCCAGCTGGTGACATTTCTGCCTGCTGGGGTCACAGGGGCTGACCAGTCGAGGGGCGGGTAAGAGTCTGTAGCCATGGAGACGGACATGCTGACTGGGAGCTGGAGCGGAGGTAGAAATGAAGGAAAATTTTATCATAACGCTGAAGAAAACCTGATTCCAGCAGCTCAAGGAAGAACATTTATGATCATTACTTTATCATTTCCTTGACGTTATAATCTTGATATTAATCATTTTCTCTGCAGACGCTGTAGTTCTTCTGCCTTAGCGTCTCGGTCTGATTGTATTTCCATGAAGAAATGATCATAAATGTTCTTCCTTGAGCTGCGGCACCCCGCTGTAGTCCGTAATGGACTGGTCCGAGGTCTCACTACAAACAAGCGTCTGCTGGAAGAGAGTAGGTGAGTTGTTTTTAGTCTCTTTGCTAAAGAAATGAGTCAAAGTTAAGAAGATGTTTGGTGTCTAGTACTATGTCTGTGACCCTATATGTCCTGTTGATGAAGTTAGGTGCTGTTCTGAGCATTATTTGTGGCTATAGAGTGGCGTTTTGGTTGAGCCCGTGGCTCTCTGTATTGCTATCCTGCGGCCGTTACTAAAGTTGGTATAACTAGAGAAGCAAGCGGTCGGCAACATTCGTCTCTCGAGGGGGTGTCTAACTCAGTGTTACCGTTTGACCCGAAATTAATTTTACACCGGAATATCCCTTTAATTAAAGTTATTGGTTTCCTTGAAAATAAAAGGAATGATATAGAAACTCACCTTTATCCAAATTGAGCTGATCCAGTTTTGTTCGCTCGTTTACAAGTTCATGCGGCAGCTTCCCTCCCTCTGCTTCACTAACACACACCTGACCCTTCAGCTTGCTCAAATGCGGTTTTTGATGTCAGTAACAAGCCTCTTCCATGAAAACACTTAACTGCGGTGAAAAGCACAGCTCTCAAGTAAATGTATGGACTCATCTCTGTCCCTCCCAGTTAATTTATTTCCTGATTTTTCACCCAATTAGTGAGCTCCAATTAGTCATTTCCATGTGCTCTCTGTGGTCCTCCACCATATTGCCGTTAATGATCATTGATTGTGTTGTGATGGCGGGGATTATGAAGCAGGCGTTAGCATCAGTAGGTCCATTCACAGGTCACTCATTCCTCTAAATGTCCACTCTGAATGTGTCTGTGTTGGGGTCAAGGTTGATACCGTGTCTAATTCACTCAACTTCTATTGAACGGAACGTAAATAACTCACACACAACCACACACACACACAGCTGAAGTTAACAGGGGTGTATGTGCAGGGTCAAGCTTCCGTGAGCAAATTCTAATTATAAAACAATGAGACGTGTTTACAGCGGTGCCTCACACACTTTTACAGTTCAACACACACAGGCGCACACACACACATACAGAGAGAGAGCCCTCCCGTGGGAATATTTAGTGAGGGCGAGTGAGCGCTCTCTAATAAGGTCACAGCCATTTGACCAATCTCCAGTGATCAGTGTTACACACTAAGTTGCCGTTAAGGTGGAACTTAAACAACAGAGGACATCTGTTTAAGGACAGTTTAGTAATTCCACCTTAACAAACTTCCTGCCTCTTCATCATGATAGTTTATAGGGGAATAGATAGGCTGATAGATAACTTTTCTTTGACCCAAACTTTTGTTTTGTTTACAGTTTAGTATCTCTGATTAAAGTTTTATCTCTGAGTTTACTCCTGGAAATGTCTCCTAAACTAATCAAAAACTAGAATATATATATTTATAATGGTATGTTGTAAAATGTAGTAATGACAATAAAAAATTTTTAAAAAAATTGGAAAAAAAGCAAAATCGGGGCCCTGAAACAAGATGGCTACATCTACGAAAGCTATTTTAGCGCTTGCCTTATGTTCGGACAAGACAAGCGCTAAAATTAAACTTCAGCTCTTGAAATGGTAATATAAGTTAGCAACACGTAAAGTATTTATTATTTCATTGTTTGAATGCGTACTCCGTTGTAGGAGTAGGGTACGAGTTATTTGTTAATATTATACGAGACGTGTTCGCGGTCTCTGTCGTACGCCTATATATCGCGGGGTGGGATTTTTTTTTTTTTGTATGATGGTAGGGGAAGGTCCCGCCCTCCTTTGCCTTTGATTGGCTAGAAGTGCTGGGCTCCGATTGGTTATTCCTTATGGCTGTGAAACATCATCATCTGTCGGATTCAGAATTTCGACAATGATTTTTGATTTTTCTAAATTTATACTGGTTTTTTATTGATTTGGGAGACATTTTTAGTGAGATAATCTAAGATAATTCTTAATATGCCTATTAATATAAGTATTTTATCTGACCCCATCAAGATTAGGGAAGGGTGAGTTACAGGGGAGTGTGTTTTTCACTGTTTTTCGATCAGCTTAAAGCCTGCTGGAGTCAGAAACTAACAGATAATGTCACAGAGACTATGTCCATGTGTTTATGTTATTACTCAACATGTTAGTCGATTAATTTAATATAAGAAATGCTTCTTAAAGTCCATGAAAGACTTTAAACCATCTAATATTTTTTAAAGTGCTGCAAAGATGACAGGAAAGTCTAAAATATGAATCCTGTGACTCTTTGAAGAGGCGTCTTATCTGTGTTTGAACCATTTGGATCTCTGTAATTGAATTAATGAGGTGAAAGTGGGTTCACCTCGAGTTAACAGGAGTTAAAGCCGCCAAATAAGAGATATTTAGCTGCTAATAAAAGTGATTGTTGTCAGGTGTTGATACTGTGACTTCAGTGGGAGCCCTGAGGACTTCCTTTAACACTGCTGACACTATCATCCGTCTGTAACAACACAAAACAGGCTTTCAGAGCTCGCCGCTGTCCTCAGCTGTCCTCAGATTCATCGGTCTCATATTGTAAAAAAGCTTTTCACTCTAATCCTGCCCTCAAACACGAGGAAGGGAACGGTACGTTTAAAGTCTGCCGCAGTGAAACCTTGAAGAGAGAGTTTGTTTAAAAACCTGCAAATCAAGTTTTCCTTCGTGGAGATCTGCATGGTCTGCAGGATCCAGATCTTTTATTGGCACGTCGAGGATGTAAATATTTTAGTCTGAGAGGTGGAAAGGTGGGTTATTGCTTCTATGCAGCCGAGGGATATACTTAAAAGGACAGTGCAGGTGCTTCAGTCAGATCTCCCTCCGATAATGGAGCTTATTACAGTCCCTCCGAACAGCCGCAGCACGGCACAGAGGAGTTTGTTGACATCTTTTGGTTTTGTTAATCCAATCAAAAGATTAGACACCTGCTGCTCCGAGCTCATTTTTCTCTCCTCAGAAGAAAAAGCTCAAATCAAACTTTCTCAGACCTCTCAGAGTTCGTATTTCCACGATTTATTAAAAATCACCCGTTTCTTCCCAAACCTCACCAGAATATGTCCTTTTAGTGTCGAACTTTGACCTTGCATGACTTTATGAAAGTCACACTTCCTTCAGATAAGCACAGCATGATGAGGAGAAAATTCACCTGTTGCTTTTGTTCGGATATTTGAGATTCGTACGAAGCATGACGACCAAGTTTGTTGAGATCTTTAGACTTTTGAAATATCAGACGCTGCTCAAAACAACTCCGTTTCTCTCTCTGTGGCTCAAACTGAACCTCTCTCGTTAAGAGAGTGCCTCCTCTTGTATTTTAATGCATTTTGAAGTTCAGTCGATGTGTTTCTTAGCAGATAAATCGTCTCAATCATCTGATTTTTAATCCATTTAAAGAGAAAAAAAACAGGCGGAGAAAATCAGAAGCAAAGCATAAGAAAACATCATCGATCCACTCACCTCGTCCTCGTCCTCAGCGTCCCGTGAAGCATCTGTAGGAGCCGGGACAACCTGATCTGCTGTTGCACACACTGGCTGCATCCATGCTGAGATTCTGGGTGTGTGTTTGAGCGTATATGTGTGTGCGTGAGAGTTTCCTCTCGCTTATTACTCCGAGGGTGACCTCTGCCAGCTGACTCCTGTCTCCCCATCTCCTCCCTTTCGTCCTCTCTCCTCCCCTCCACTCCCTCACAGCCCTCCCTCTCCTCTCCTCTCCTCTCCGCTCCTCTCCTCCTGGATTTTGCTGAAAAGTGAAGGAAGAGCGGGGTCATGTGCGTGGAAAATGGGTGTGTTGATCAAAGGGCGTGATGGTGGATTAATGTAATTTCCTGCTGATTGTTTTCGATGTGAAGCGCGTCGCTGTTGCCCCGACTTTGATCCTCAGACAGAAACAAGAAGGCCGGCAGATCAAATCAGATCTCTGTTTTTGGGGGATCAAAGAGCGCTCATTCATACACGCACATTAAACTGATATGAGGACGTGTGATTCGGCAGCAGCGGGTGTTAGAGAGGGCTGGGAGGAGAGGCAGAGTCGGATGTTGTGACAGATGGTTTTTGGAGAGAAATGAGAAGGCAGCAACAGGAGGAGAGTTTTCTTTCTCACCCCTGCTTCGAGTTTTTCTTTTTTCTCTTTCTGTCTCATACATTCCTCTTCCTCCCTCTCTCTCTCTCTCTTTCTGTCTCTCGCCTTGTGACGCTGCAGTAATCTGTTTGCTTCCCCTCATTTGGAGAAGCCTCTCATTATCGAGGGGCCCGCTGGGTGACCTTAAGCGAACACACAAAAACGCCATCGCACACACACACATTGACAGAAGAGGTTGCTCGCCGCTCAAGCTGTTTCTGTCTTTCTTTTTCATATTCTGATGCTATTGAGAAACAGTGAGGGACGTCTGCGCTGAGACTGAGAAGAACATCAGCGGTAAACACACCCGAGGGCATTTTTTACCCCTAAGAGATAATACGCTCACTTTTTAAATTAGTTGTAGATTTCTGAAATCCTCCCCAGACATGACAAAACACAGAGCTACCGATATATTACAAAATGTCATCAATAACTAATAACTATTGACTGATATTAAAAGTTTTTTTTGTATATAAACCACAAAAGAAAAGATGCTTCTTTTACAGAATCCTGCCGACCCCACCTTTAAGTATTTGCATGGCGGTTTGGATCTGTTCAGGATAAGGCTAAAGCCTGCAGCGTGCAGAGCACACCTCCTCTCTGTCCATGTGCACAAGGCAGGTAGAGCAGCAGCAAAGACAATTCAGCAAATACAGCATTAAAAAAGTGCAGCTGGGTGCAGCAGGAAGCAGAAATGGAAGCATTGGGAAACAGAATAGCACAGATATCTCCTTTAAAAAAATAAAAATAAAAAACCCCAACACAAATTAGAAAAAAAAAATGCAGCAAAAAATCTCAGATTTTTTCAGACGTTTCTGACATGAAATCTGGTGAAGCCGATCTGTACTTTCATGTTTGCTAAGTAAAAAATATCTGCTCTTTAGATTCACATTTTCAGGTCAGTTTTGAGGCCACATTGAAGGATTGTTTTTTAAGAATTAGAAACATTGAAAAAAGTAAAAAGTCAGAGCAAAATCTTATCAAAGTTGATAATTTAGTCATCGGTTAGTCACATGATGCTGGTTTGACGCCACATGTCTCAGCTCTTTCTTGCACAATAGTCCTTACGCTGGCCGAGAACCGCCACTGCTGCAAATAAAAAGAATGCAGAAAAAAAAAAGAAACCACAACAGAAGTTACTGATAAAAAAAAAAAGAAAGAAACTGAAGCCCACTGCAACTAAAAAAGAAACGGTGCTGATAAAAAAAAAAGCCACAACAGAAGTTAATGACGCAAAAAAAGTGGCGATGCAAAAAAAGAAAGAAAAACATTTAGTTACTACAAAAAAAAGTGAGCTGACGAGGACCAATAATGATGATGCACCAGGGTTTTACGATCTAGGCACAGAAGACGATGGCGAGAGGACGAGCAAAGAAGTATGTGGAAAGGTTATTGTTTAATTTCGTTTCGTAAACTTTTTAATGTGTCATTTCTCGTTGTGACTTCTTCTTTTTGCATGTTTTTTTTTTTGCAGCAGTGGCAGTTCTCGGCCACAGTGAGTCCTGATACTGAAAACAAGATGCTGCCTTTTACTGAGCAAGTTCAGAGATCTGAAGTGTTTAAAGTGTCTCCTGTTGTCTCACAGGCTGCATGTCTTTCTCCAACACTGTTTTTTTTCTTTCCCTGTTTAAACGTAAAAACAAATACATTTCTTTCAAACAGCTGACTTCCTCTCTCTCTGAATCATGCAACGAGGATAAGATGGGATCATACACGGATAAACAATCACTGCTGACACCGGAGCATGTATGTTATTCACTGATGCTTATCCGATACACAAACATATCCCTGTTGTTGGATTTGGTTGACAGACAGATATCGGGTCTCCATCTCCACTTCCATTCGCTCTAACCTGACCACCACTTTGGCTCCAGATATAACCAACACTCCCTGATTTCAGTATGTAAATCCAAACTGTGAGGAGCGCTGAGGTTGGAGCCTATACGCCAAACATAAATAATGCGAAGCTAACCATCATAAACCGGACTGAGTCCTGAGTCAATATCAGCTCTGCTGCAGACTCAACACTAAAGCTACTCCATGGAGGCTGTTAGAGAGCGACGACAGACCCTGTGCAGAGATTTTCCAGGACAATGTGGCCTCCCTGTGGTCTGGAGCGGCCAGTGCTGTGTTCATTCAGTCAGATAGAAGTGATTCAGCAAAGAGGCGGGCACTGATACATGATGAGGCAGTCTTTATTAGAGGTCCAGGTGTCAGATCAGCTGTCCAGAACATTCAGCAGAAGGACAAACTGAATAAGTTAAACCAAACACTATTAAATATTTCATTAAATATAAACTAATCAGATTAAAAACAGAGAGTTTCATACAAACAATCTAAGATAATAAACTTCTGCATAGATGCAAAAACTGTTTTAGTCACATTCAAATGTCTATTTTTAGAGCGGACTTGCATAGAGGAGTGACGACAGCGAGGCGCATTAATTCATACGTCTCTGCTGTGAGAGAGAGCTGAGATTAATATGTCTGCTCTATATGCTCAGCGTCTGCGGCCCCGTGCTCTGAATGGCGTTCATGATGGACTGGACCACATCAGAGGTGGAGCCTTGGCCCCCGAGGTCGGCGGTGTGCAGCTGAAGAAGGATGAAGAGGAGGGAAACGGTGTGAGCAGAATAATCTGTTTTAATTCTTTAGGACTAGAATAACTCGGGTTATTGTTATTTTTGAGCTGGGTCGTACCCGGGTCTCTGTGACCGTGGACAGGATGGCTCTGCGGATCATGCTGGCGTAGGCGTGGAGCCTCAGGTGATCCAGCAGCAGGCAGGAGGCCAGCAGCATGGCTGTGGGGTTTGCTGAGTTGCGGTTAGCGATGCTCTTCCCGGTGTTCCTGGTTCCCTGAAACAGAGATAAACATGCTCCGAGTTCATGAAGAAGAAAAACAGAACAATAAAGGAGCTTTAAAGGGATATTCCGGTGTAAAATTAAGTTAGACCCCCCCTCCCAACATGAATGTTGCCGACCGCTTGCTTCTCTAGTTATACCAACTTTAGTAACGACCGCAGGATAGCAATACAGAGACACAAGCGCTCAACCAAAACGCCACTCTATAGCCACAAATAATGCTCAGAACAGCACCTAACTTCATCAACAGTACATATAGGGTCACAGACATAGTACTAGACACCAAACATCTTTTTAACTTTGACTCATTTCTTTAGCAAAGAGACTAAACACAACTCACCTACTCTCTTCCAGCAGCCGCTTGTTTGTAGCGAGACCTCCAGGCAACTACAGCGGGGTTTCTCAGCTCAAGGAAGAACATTTATGATCATTTCTTTATCATTTCCTTGAAGTAATAATCACCATATTAATCATTTTCACTGCAGATGCGGTAGTTCTTCTGTCTTAGCGTTTCAGTCTGATTGTATTTCCATGAAGAAATGATCATAAATGTTCTTCCTTGAGCTACGAAACCCCACTGCATTCGATGGACTGGCCTGAGGTCTCGCTACAAACAAGCGGCAGCTGGAAGAGAGTAGGTTAGTCTGTTTTTAATTGTAACAAAAGAGGCGTAAAAGAGCAGCCTTTCACTCTTTGTAATATGACTCCTCCTCACCGTCTCAAACACGGCGTAGTCCTCTCCATAGTTTGCTCCAGGGACCAGACCTGGTCCACCAACCAGCCCAGCACACACGTTGCTCACGATGTTGCCATACAGGTTGGGCATGACCATCACGTCGAACTGCTGGGGCCTGGAAACCAACTGACACACAAACACAAGCAGCTGAAACGTCATTCAGGAACATCTACAGAGGTTCGAGTCAACCAAGAGAGAACAGAGGAGCCACCTGCATGGAGGTGTTGTCCACAATCATGCTGTCAAAGCTGATTTCTGGGTAACCGCAGGCAACCTCCTTACAGCACTCCAGGAAGAGGCCGTCCCCCAACTTCCTGCTCCGACAAACAAACAAACAAACGCATCAACACCGATCTGGATTCACAGAGGAGAAAAATGTTCGTCCAAAGAGAGAAACTGACATGATGTTAGCTTTGTGAACAGCCGTGACTCGTCTGCGTCCTTTAGCCCGAGCCGTCCTGAAGGCGTAGTCAGCGATGCGTAAAGATTTCGTCTTTGTGATGATCTTCAGGCACTCAACAACGCCCGGGACGTTCTGCGGGGACAAAGATGAACAAGCGAAGGTTGGATTTGTCAAGATTCAAAGACACGGACGCCGTTTCGATTCCCGCTCGCTCACCTCGTGCTCCAGGCTGCTGTACTCTCCCTCCGTGTTCTCCCTGATGATCATGATGTCGATGTTTCTGTGGCGTGTCCTCACTCCGGGCAGAGACTGACAGTGCATCACGTTGGCGTACAGATCCAGAGTGGTGCTGCAGAGAGAGAGAGGGCAGAGGTTAGTGGGTTAAGAGAAGAGGAGACATGATGGAGCAGGTAGAAGTTCAGATGAAAACAGCCGACTTACCGGAGAAGGTTGTTCCTGGATTTGTAGGACGGTGGCAAATTGTGGTTGGTCTCAATGTTTCCTGGATAAACAACAACGATGTTACAGTAAAACAGATGAAGATTTACGAGGATACAAACAGAACTAGACTGAGAAAGTGTCTCAACAGATTTGTCCTGAAAGTTTTTATCAGAGAGGAAAACTGGGAAGAGAGAGTAACACATGAATCAGAACTTCAGTGCGACTGCATCTTTGACACGTTAGAAAAAGCTGCTGCTTCAGTAAATAATCATTTCTCTTCTTTTTTCACTACTTTTTCCTCAAGCTTCGATTTTCTTATTCTGTTTTTCACTCCTGGCAGTTTTTTCCCTTAAAACTCATGAACTCAAGAGGATGAAAAGTAAAGATCTAAAGGGCTTAAATTAAATTTAGCTCTCTTTAGGGTTATCTTTGATCTCGTCTTAACTTTCAAAACTTTTGGATCAAAAGTTATCGACTGCTCTGGTCTGTAAACATTATCCGTGTTCTCATCGGCATGCTAAGAAGCAAATGTCCGCATGCTTACACACCGAACTAAGACGATCAGGATCACAAATGTATGACTAGACCGGCGTTTTAGCATTTGTAGTTGTAATATAATGATGATGATTCACGAGTGTGATTCAGAGCAGAGCTGTGGGCTTCACTGAAGAGTGTGAGTCATCTTTTTCAGTAATGAATACTCTCAGCTGTCAGTGTATGGAGCACCTAAATAAAACTGATCTAGTCCAAAGAGAAATCCCGTCCACATGAAGGCCATGATGGTCCGATTAACTCCACGATTATTTTCAGTTTGTTGAGCTTTAGTGCATTTAACAGAAAATTGTGAAGTGATTGTTTAAGAGCATGAAAGTACCTTTCAGTGCAACGCCATTGCGTCTGATCGCCATAATTGCATTATTGATATCATCCTCTGATGCCATGGATGAGTCCACATTGACGACTTCAAAATCCACCGGCACACAGCAGAACCTGACGATGAAAAGCAGACGGAGATCATCTCGACTCTGCGTGTCAGAGCTGAGTCATTTAGTGAGAGTGTGAGCCGCTAACAGGCACAACGCCGGCAGCCCTCCTCTCAGTATCAGGGAAATGAGCGGGATTACTGTCCGGCCATTACACTAATTATAATGTGTAACAAACACAGTGGTATTGATCTGTCTTCGACCAGCAGCTGTGTTAACGCAAGAACAAATCAGATAATAGAGACAGAATCACAGACAAGGACATCGTAGCTTAATTAAGAGCATGTTCAAATGTTCAAGCAGAGCCGGCCCGAGCCTCGATGGGGCCCTAAGCAAACTCTTTGATTAACATTCCCTGACATGCAAACAAACCTTTATCTTGTCGTTTTTTCTCTTCTTCCTCTTTCTTTTCTCTGCTCCTGAAGGATATGTCCTTGTTTGTGACATTGTTTTGTCCCACAACTACCTGCTCTTTGGATGCTCGGTGCACATTTTACAGCAGAAGGCACATAACCGTAGCGGAGATTTGACATATCGGCAGTAAGAATTATAGGCCTACATCAGCAGCAGCACTAAAATGTTTTTATATTATTTTATCTTATTTAATTTAATTTCTACAATACTAGATAGTTGATCATTCAGAAAGCATCACTCATACATGCAAAAAATAAAAGATATTTACATTTTTTTGTTATTGCGCTTGGGGGCCCCCTACTGGTCGCAGGGTCCTCAGCAGGCGCTTAGTTCGCTTATGCCTTGGGCCGGGACTGTGTTCAAGAATAATCCAAAAATCTACAAGGTGCATCTGAAATGTTAAAACTTACTTATTTTCTATTTTAACTTAGAGCTCCTGTGAGAAACCTTTTATTTGTGTTGATTTTGGCGCCCCCTGTGGTTGAAGCGATACCTCTGATCTCTTGAAGGGGTGGTATAATGCTTTTCCACATTTACAACAAAAACTGTGTTGAAACCTACCCCCTCTCTTCAGTGTCAGACATTCAAAATATAAATATAGAAATCAAAGTTTTGTTGCTGACAGTCTTTTACACTTTTTAAGGTCATTATGAAACATCACTGTCAAACTCAATCTCATTTACAACCAGCTGAAAACTCCTCACAGGAGCTTTAATTACGTATTGTCCTTTTTTTTCCCCCTCATGAAGAATCTAATGTGATCTGATCTCATCCGTGTGTGTGTGTCTGTGTGAATTCTCACCGGAATAGTTCACGCACATGGTTGGCCAGCTCTGGTCCGATGCCATCTCCAGGGATCAGAGTCACAGTGTGTCGGCCTCCATACCGCGCTGGTGGAGGCTGTGGTGAATACCCAAACACACAGATTTAAACTCCTCCCAGAGCAGCTCTGTCAGACAGAAACTCTTTTCTCATCGTTCTTTAAAACCTCTAAACAGCTTTACTTACGATGGTCTGGCGTGGGTGGACAGATGGAGGTGGGATTCAGTGCGGAGGAGAGAAAACAGGGAGGTTAGTAGGACAGAGAGGAAGGGGACACGCACAGCCCAGCAGCTTCCTGGCAGCATCACGAGCATATCGATGAGACACAAACATTGGTATTCATGTGCATAAGCAGTGAAGACACGACATGTTTCAACTGGGGGGTTCCTGTGGGGTTTAACAGCAGGGATATCAGGTGAGGAAAACCACGAGGTGATCAATCAAGAGTGGGTTTCTTCTTTAAAGACACTTTATAACCTGATGACTTACTGCATACGTCGACTTGTGTCTCTGATTACATGCAGATACACCATAAACCTGTGAAAACATAAAGAGGTCATTAGCTGAGAAAGTTTAAGCCGGAATCCAGTTTTTAGGTAGAGAAGGTTTTTAATTGATCCAGTGTTAAAGTAGCTCTGTGTTTGGGTTCCTTAATTAAGCTTCAGGTATTTGTTTTCTGAAAGAGAAACAGCAACAATTCACAACTGAAGAGTTTAATCGAGACATTCTGGATGTGTTTTCTCCTCAAAATGACTTTGCGGTACCTTATTTTGTTGCTAACTGTTAATTAAACGAGAAAATATCGTTTAGCTTTAGTTTGTTAATGACTGCTTTGTCTCTGTCCACTCCTTGTGAAGCTCTTCTAAAGTTCTGACATAGCTCTTCTGGACAGCTTTCCCAAATTATCAATATGCTTTCGTAGAGACCTGTGTACAGCCAGCTTTTGTAGCTTACCCTCCCTCTTAGGAGTGTCAATCATCAGGACATCTTCGGGACAACTATCAAGTCAAAAGTCTTATTTATGAATCTATATTTAGTATGTTTACAGTAACTTTCTCAAACTTCATTCAAGTAGACATAAAAAAAATGATGAAAATCTATGAAAAGCCTTCTCACTAGTGGAAAATATTTAACTTTTTCATGACACCAATTTCTAAAGATGCAGTTTTGATTGTTTCAGGCATGAAGTGTAAACGTAAGGATAACCTACATAGGGGAGAGTGGGGTAAGATGAGCCATTTTTCATACTTCAGATCACTACATCAAGTCAATCCTAGTTTTGTCTCTAACTCATGCATCTGCAGATATTTCAAGATGTTGTTCATCCCTGCAAACCAACAGAATGAGTGTAAACAGAACTGTAATCTTGATAATATAGCATGACAAAACAAAGTGGTCTCCTATGGTCAACTTACCCCGTGTATGGGGTGAGTTGAACTGTATCCCTGAACTGCTAAAAAGCTGTTTAGTAAAAATCCATTTTGACATGAGAATGTCTTTAAGTGGTTCAGAACATTCACAGATCTGTATTTTAGAAAAGAAAAAGTCAAACATTTCAACAATCTGAACGTTTACTCTGATCCTCTCATCAGACTCCTTTACTTTCTCAGTTACCCCTGAACTACTATGATGACTTTATTAGTCCTCTAAACTAACATGGTGGACTTTTATGCTCATCGATACCACAACTGATGAATAACACTAATTTAAAATGATCTTTTTTTGGTCTGAACACTTTCTTTTTTTTGTAAATAAATGTCTAACCCCTTCACCCATGTGATTCTAACTTTCACAGACTCCATGAATTGATGCCCATCTCCTAAATATTTGGTCACATGATCAATTATTTTACCATTTCCAAGCAACAGGGGGTGTCTCAACTTACCCCGCTCTCCTCTATCTATAATGTGCCACAGTCAGCCTTAACAGTGTGGTTTTAATCTTTTTATATCTACCAAATTCTAATTCAAACCTTCCATCCACAGCATAAACACAGAGTGTGTTTAACAGAAGTGTATCTCAGTTCCTGTTAACTGGAAACCCTCAGGTTGTTGTATTATTCATGAGTGTAGGGAGCAGTTTCTGAATGCATCAGTGTTTTTATCTCGCTTGAATGAAATAAAAAGAAATGCTGCTGAAGTAGTAGGATTTTATTCTGCAGTGAAACCGAGTTATCAGCAGAAAGAGGAAAGTGTGGTGCTGAAAAGACAGCGACATTAACCCAGCTAGCTAAGTTAGCCAACTAACCAACCGACCGTTAATCTGCTTACTGACTCTCACTGCTGCTCAGTTGAAAGAGCTAAAACACCACTTTAAATGTCACAAAGTAAAGAGAGAGTAACTTTCTGTTTATCAACTCAGAGACTGCTCCTACCCTGGACAAATGACCGTTGAACAGCGGCTTCAAAGCCCCGGACAGGGAGCGCAAAGATCGGGTCGTCATGTTTTTCTCTCACCGCTGATGGATCATCGATGGACGGACACGGGAGCGTGCTGCGCGCTCACGGTTAATCTCTCACTCTCACACGCACACGAACTTGCACATCGACTCCTCCACAAAGAGACCACTGTTTAACATCAATTGGTTATCTTATAATCACGAAAAAAGAAACGAAGACTAAACGACTTGAGCACAAAGTGAAGTCTTCGAGTAAGCTTCGTGTCGCCATGGCAACCGTAACAGAAAGCCTCGAGGACCTGGTGTCCTAGTTAGTTTGGTCTCCATTTTAAAGAGGTCACATTTAAAACTCTAAATGACATTTACCCATCAAACCACTTCCTACATATAAGATTAAATTGGGATTACAATATGTGTGGATTCTGTGATAGCGACATTGAAACAGTAGAACATATTTTGTTTGAATGTGAGCATGTTGTACACTTTTGGACAACTTTAATGGATAAACGAACTCTGAATATACAAAAAAAAATCTTTGAACTACATGAAAAACAAAAAAAAAACTGTTTTCTTTGCTCGACTTATTTACTATCCTAGAATAAGAACCTCACATTCTCTTTTCTTTTGTTGATCTAAAAAGCTGGTTCAGCACTTTACACTGTAAGTATTACGGTGGCCGAGAACAGCCACTGCTGCAAATAAAAATAAAAAAAGAATGCAAATAAGAAAGAAGTCACAATGGAAGTTACTGATGCAAAAAAGAAAAGAGAAATGGTGCAGATAAAAAAGCCACAACGGAAGTTAACGTTGCAAAAAAAAAAAAAAAAGTGATGGAAAAAAAAGTAAAAGGATGCAAATAAAATAAAAAGATCTGGAGGATGTCGGTATAGTGTTAGCTTAAATTCAACTTCATATCCACTCAGGCACTACATGGTCTAACCAAATGACACATTAAAAAGTTAACAAAACGAAATTAAACAATAATCTTTTCACTTACTTCTTCACTCATCTTCTGTGCCTAGATTGTTAAACGCTGGTGCATCATCATTATTGGTCCCCGGCAGCTCACTTAAGTTGTGGCTTTTTTATTTGCATCCTTTCATTTTCTCAGGAAATTTTATTTTTTTATTTTTGCATCACCATATTTTTTTGTGTCATTAACTTCCATTTTGACTTTTTATTTTTTATAATTTTTTATTTTTGTCTGTACTGACTCTTTTTTATTTGCAGCAGGCTTTGGTTTATTTTTTATTTTTTTTAATTAGTAACTTCAGTTTTGGCTTCTTTTTTTTGCATTCTTTTTTATTTGCAGCAGTGGCAGTTCTTGGCCACCGTAAAGGATCACCGATGTGCCTTAATGTTTGTATTTTGACAAAAAATAAAACGTTTACAAAAAATAAAATAAAATAATAATAAAAAAGTTTGGTCCCCATTTTTCCCCAAAGCACTATTTTTTTGTCTGAAAGTAACCACAGGGAGGCGACAGACTCACAGGTTTAAAATGAACGGGACAGAACCAGTCTACCTGTTACACCTTTTAATACATTTAATGTTATTTTAGCGACGATATAGGAATATCTTAAGTTCGTGTTTGTTTCGTACTCCCTGTTATCACTTTGGAGTATTTAGCTACTTCTGCTGAGCATCAATACTGCTCCCCCGCGATAACCGTTAGCTTGCAGTTATTTTAGCAAATGTACCAGTTAATGTGAAAAAGAGATTTTCAGAATAACATCTGTGTAAAAAAAACAGCCAAATAACGGCTCTGACTCTACAATCACTTGTGGGCCACTTGGAGAAATTCTACACTACTATTTTTTCATCCCCGTGTAACCGTTGACATCCTCATACTGGTAGATGTAGTTCCTCTGTAGCCCCGACCCGATGTGTCGAAATCGTACGTGATGTGTCAGCAAAACTACATTTCCCAGCCACCCCTTCTGCCGCGCCTCCTCCCTCCCAGTCCCTCCACCTTCCCTCCCACTCCACTGGGCCGCGAGGAAGTCGCAAGATGGCTGATGTCGCTTGGAAGTAATGTTCCCCTCTGCAACATGAAGCCGTGAGTGTGGAAGAAAGCGAGGGAGGCACCATCGGGCTTTTATTTTTATTTTCTTTTAGTTACTTTTCTTTTATTTCGTCAAACATCCATCTCATTCCGCGTCGTGTCCGCCCCGGACTTGTCTTCGGGAGTTGACGCGTCAAATCACGCCGGGGACCCTGCCAGCAGCAGCAGCTAACAGCTAGCCACACAGTTAGCCACAGACAGCCAGGCGCAGAGCTTGTTAGTTTGTTTTTACATTGATATTCAGACACCTGCGAGACAACAAGCCGCCGCCGCACAGGTGCTCACATTTACCCGCGGTTGCGCAACATTAAAGTCGGATATTTTCGCTGTCAGATGAGAAATAATCCCAAATTCGCAGGCTGCTCGGTGAAACATCATGTCCGCGAACTGGCCATCCAGCCTGTGGGTTGCTAACTAATGCGCAGTATTGCATCTGTTTAATGTGCACAAATCAGCAGCAGGATCGTTTTGTAGACATTTTTCAACAATATCCATCACTTTTGCTGCATTTCCGTTAAATTACTGCCAACTGCATGTGTGGAGCTGGTTCAGTTAAAGCCAAAATTATGGGAGCAGGAAAAACGCTGAACTTTTTTCTGGCTGTAGGTAGCTACACTGGCCTTGCTGGCATCTAACCAAAAATCCACAGGGATGGACACTAAACTGAGCTCAGCCACGACCAAAAGTGAGAGATTCTCATCGGAATAGGTAAGGATAGCAGACACACACAGGTAGAGAGGCGCACGGTGACTCATTTCACTCGTCTAGAGAGGCAGAGAAGTTGTGTTTTTTCCAGGGTTCACTTTAACCACACTTAGTCACTACATCGGAGACCAGTTAGCTTTGCCTGCAGTGCACAGCTAGCTACTGTCTCGCCCCACATCACATCACAAACACGGCGTACAGAACGTATTCCGAGCCCGCTCCCGGCCAGACGCACAGGCTCAACAACACAGTCATGGGAGTTCAGGGCTTCCAAGAGTATTTAGAGAAGCGGTGTCCCGGGGCCGCTGTCCCGGTGGACCTCCTCAAGCTTGCCCGCACCGCGGCCCGCCAGCCCCCTCACCACCATCACCCACACCACCACCCACATCACCCCGGGCCCATGCCTCCCCCGCCCCCGCCTACCAGGATCCTAATCGACGCTGACTCCGGCCTGCAGCGCCTCTACGGCGGCTACCAGACGGACTGGGTGTGCGGGGGCGAGTGGAACGCCATGCTGGGCTACCTGGCTGCCCTGTCACAGGCGTGTCTGTACCAGGGCGGCCTGGAGCTGGTCGTGGTTTTCAACGGCACGCTGGGGAAGGAGCGCTGGCCCGAGTGGGCGCGGCGAGCTCAGGGCCAGCGACAGACCGCGCAGCTGATAGTCAACCACGTCGGCAGCAAGGCCACCCCGCCCCCACGGGCATGGTTCCTGCCCCCGGCCTGTCTCAGCCACTGCGTCCGCCTCGCCATGTTCCGCTTCCGAGTGCGGGTGAGCAATGTGATCATGGCTGTGTGAAAGTGTGTGATTGTGAGGCTTCATTTAGCACTTGCACTGTCTCTCTGCACGCCCATGTCAGTTTACATCTCTTTAAGATAACATAAGATGTTCCTTTAATTCCACAAAATTACAGCAGCTAGTATAGATCCAAAAAGACAACAATTCAAAGATAGAGAAATTCATGTTTACATCTGTACAGAATTCACATAATAATATGGTTTACTGCACAACTATTCACAGCTTTACTATTTGTGAGTGCCGCTGCAGGTCTCAACTGGAATTCAGCTTTTTATTTTTACACAGAAACGCAAAATTTGGGAGTTTTCCCATGAAGCAACATCACTGAATAAGCCACCTGCTTAAAGGCAGAGTAGTAAGTGTCTTTCCACATGGTGAGATCACATAGATATTCAACACAAACCTGCCCAGAAGCAGAGTTTTTATTCAGGTTTAAATTTATGGTAGAGTGCATCTCTTCTCTAATCATGTAATTTTTAACACTGAATGTGTGTAATATCTAAGGTTATGTTTATTATCTTGTTATACTGTAGTTTGACATCGTCCATGCACACCACTGCACCGTCTCTCTGCACGCCCATTCTAGTTTACGTCTCTTTAAGATCATATTTTCCTTTGATAGTCCCACAGGGGAAATTCCAAAATTACAGCAGCGTAGTATAGATACAAAAAAGACAAAAACTAAAAGATAAAGAAATTCCAGTTTACATCTGTACAGAATTCACATAATAATAGGGTTTATTGCACAACTATTCACAGCTTTACTATTTGTGAATGCAGCTGCAGGTCGAAACTGACATGAGCTGGATATACCTGGAATTCAGCGTTTTATTTTTATTCAGAAATGCAAAATTTGGGAGTTTTCCCATGAAGCAACATCACTGAATAAGCCACCTATCTTATCTTTCCACACGGCGAGATCACATAGATATGCAACACAAAACCTGCCCAGAAGCAGAGTTTTTATTCAGGTTTAAATCTACAGTAGAGTGCAGCTCTTCTCTAATCATTTACCTTTTAACATTGAATGTGAGCGATATCTAAGGTTATCTATATGATCTTGTTACACTGTAGTTTGACATCGCCCATGCACACCAAGGAGGGGTTGCACTGTAGGGATTAATATGCATGATCTTAGCTTTGCAGAAAATCAAACCCCCCTACTGTTATTTTTTCTCTGTTTGCTTGAAAACTGTAGATATGAATATCTGTTTATCTTCACACACTGCATTAATGATGAAGGGAAAGCAGCATGTGAAACTAGATCATGTTTTAAAAAACTGTATTATACTTACCTTATATGTATTTATGCACTTTTTCTGCATTTCCTTCAATGAACATAAATCTGAACTCGTTTGTTGCAGTAATTATTTGCATTTGTCGTATCAAACACAGAGATTGCATGTGCATAAAACAAAAACATGAATTTGCACCGAGCCTGAGAATGTAAGACTTTGTTTGAACGCCCCTCTGATCCAGCAGAGAAGCTGTTTCTCTGCAGCAGATCATAGATTTCTGCCTGTAGCTGCCCTGCGCTGCTCTCGTGGATGTATTTGGGATGGTGGCCTACTGGGAGAACGGATGTATTCAGTGAAGCTGATCTTTTAAAGATGTATGAAGCAAGAGGAACCGGCTACAGAGAAAAACCTGTAGTGTACAGCATGAGGATCTGGTTTAGCCTATATATTACATAACATGAACTCAGTGAACCTTTCATACATTGTTGAACAACTGCTGAGTGGAGGGACTATTTATAGGCCTCTGGTGCCTGACAGTGGTGCATTTGTAATGAGCTTTTTCATCCAGATCTGTAGAGAATATGTGAATAAAAAGTGACTCCACTGGTGGTTCATTAGGTTTTTGTTGTAGCTGTTGCTCATTTTATCCGTCTTACTCTAATATTAGTCTGCTGTTTAGATGAAAGTGAGGTAAATGTGTCAGCAGGGTCCTTAAAGTCGACATCTTCTGGAGCGGAGAGTATCATAATAACCTCTGAAAAGGAAATGTGACTCATCAGGTTATGTCAAAGGCCTTCCTTAAACGGCTGAACCGTTGATTGCCTCTCTCAGTCCTCTCCTGTCAACTTTACCCAGCTGCCTCTTTAGCTGCTCTCCAATCTGCTTGTATGCTAGCATTAAAAAAAAAACACACACACACAATGTGACTGGTAGTGAATAATGTTAGAATCAGAAAAAAGAAAAAACACCACCCACATTTCAGAACAGCACATTCTGGTGCCGCTTGTGCATGTGCAGCATGGTTACTCACACTTCCCATGTGTACCTGCTCGTCTTTCTGAGAATCAGGACGATTTCTGCTGCTTAAAGTGTCTCACTTCAGCTTGAATTACACCGTTTACTTACACCGAGTGCAGTAATCCGACTGAGCGTTACATCTGCTGCTTGCATTTAGTTATTTAAGTTGAGTGCCTGTGAAAATTCATTACTTAGCTCTACTTTACTGGAGTGATAAATGAAAATCTCTGCAGTCTGTAATCAAACGCTTCCACCATAACCAGATTATTACTAATTAAATAGATTTTTAATGAAGTAACTGAACTGAATGTAGTTATTAAGTCTCGACTGTAGCTCTGCTCCAACACTCTGGTATAATAATGTGAAGTTCTCCTAACATGAACCTCAACCACGAGCTAGATTCTGCACGAGTGTGCTCTGAGGCTAAAGTGTTGGCTCATGTACAGCTGGAGCTGGAGGTATCACTGCCAGTGTTAGAGAGTAATTGCTGCAGCAGAAACTTTTCACAAAAGTATTTTTTTTTTTTTTTGCTAGATTGCATTTTAGTAAAGCTATGAAAATAAATAATCCAGTAAAATGCAGTTTCAAGAGTAAATACTGTCGAATTTTTATACATTATTAAACGGGGGGTAGTCAGGATCTGAGGAAGTTCCAGTTTTTAGGAGAAATCTTGAATGTAAACTCTACCCCTCCAAACCAGTTTTCCCCTCGGCTCCTACTCTCCTCTCAAGCCCCGCCCACAAACAGACGCTCCTGCTCGCTCGTATCGTTCCAATTAAATTCAGATATAATGCAGATAAATACTTCAGATCATTACAAATGGGGCCCAGTCAAGGTGAAAGTCAAAAGCATTGGTGCTACTGTAGATGCCAACAGACTACCAGCAAACACAATGTTTGCAGGACTTCTACAACGAGGATAAAGTGACATAGTCCAGGACCCGAGGGAGGACAGTTTAGCGATGGCGCTACAACACGCTACAGCAGGTCCGTTTGACAAGAAACACTTCTGTTACAGACACTTGTCTTACTTTGTTAAAGCGGTTTACCTGTCCAGCAGAAAGGTTACAGGGTCACCAAGATCCCCAAGCGTCCCCCATCGTTTATGTTGACCCGGCTTTGTAGCTCTTGTCCGGTCTACCTCCGTTTTAAGCGCCCGTTATTCCTCCAGAGTCTCCGGTATTTACTTTGTTTTCTTGCTTGTGTCGGCAGTCGTGGCCAAAGGAGGATTCAGACAATTTTCCGAACTTTCTGGTTGGTTTCTACTGTCCGATATTGTAGCACGCTAACTTTGTTTGGGCTCCTGAACGACACGGGGGAGCAGCGTCTGCCTCACAACCAATCAGGTTAGAGGAGGTGGAGAACGGCTTTGTTTACAGTCAGAAAGAGAAAATGTTGACGACACAGACATAAGAGAACACAGAGATATCGTGATATTACCAAATGTCATCAATGACTAATATCTATTGACTGATATTAAAATATTTTTTGTTTAAAAACCACAAAAAAAGATGCTTCTTTAATGAAATCCTGCCTACCCCACCTTAAAGTGATCAAACAAATCTTAATTTAGTGAAGTAAGTTCACCACCAGTTTTAAAGAAGTTATTTTATACTGTTTATTTTGTCAGACTAACACAGCATGCAAAGCTATTCGGTTTACAGTTAAACACTACAGTGAAGAAAGGCTTTTAAAAACTTGAGTTTCAACCTGCTTAAATCACCAAAGAGATTTTTAATGATTTTATCTGCTAAATGCCGCTTTTGTGTGAACTTGTTCCAGGTTTCTTCTAAAAGGATGACTTTGTTTTAACAGCAGCAGGTGTCTGGTTTGTGTCTTTCAGTCAACAGCAGCCTGACTTTGTCCTCTTTGCATCCTCAGGTTGTACAGACTTTGGAGGACCACCACCAGGAAGTGCTGTCTCTGTACAGGGACTTTGGATTCGCCGGCCTCATCGCTCAGGATTCTGAGTTCGCCCTCTGCAACGTACCCGCCTACTTCTCCTCACACGCGCTCAAACTGAGCTGGAACGGCAAGAACCTGACCACACACCAGTACCTGCTGTCTGAGGCTGCCCGGCAGCTCGGGCTCAAGACACAGCACCTGCCCTGCTTCGCTGCTCTGCTGGGTGAGGAGCCGTCTCCACACATGAAACCACAGAAACAAACACAGATCCCACAATTGTTCTCTGACGCTTTTTAACTGAAACACACACGCGTACACGCCCCTCGTGAGTTGTATTTTTGGCACCCCTCTGCGTCTGTCGTCCTCGTTCATTGACAAACGCTTAAAAGAGTGTCTCTTGCAGGAAATCATATTCTGCCTGATGAGGACCTGGCTGCCTTCCACTGGAGTCTGCTGGGACCAGAACACCCACTAGCTTCTCTCAAGGTAACATATGTTCAAAAGTCCAAAGTGCCCCGCAAACCGCTGCTTCCTCTTAGAAAATACTCGCCGCAGTGATCGTTTAATGCTGGACTTTGACCACCAGCGAGGAGAGAGCGCTGAGTTCACTTGTATGTAAAGAGAGCAGGAACTTTTATTCTTGGACCTCTGTCATTAAAGAGAGGCTGTTTCAGAGTTAAATCCAAATAAGTAAAAAAAAAAGCTCAACCCTTCAGCATCCTCAGGGGGTTTTGTCTTGTTTACATTTTCTGATTAAATCCCCTCTCACTGTCTGGCTTGTAAACTCAGTTTTCAGTTGACAAAAGCGTGCTTCATGCTTGTTTCACAGATCTGGATTTACACCTACCTCCACCAGAAACCTTTCTTGTGAAAAAGATGTCCAAAGTCGTTTATTTTTGTTCTCACAAATAAACTCCTGAGGCTCTGAAATTGATGGGAATTGAGGTGCTGAAAAGACAGATGAAAAAGGCGTCTTTACTCAGTGAAGATGATATAAAAATCTGAACTTATGCATCAGAATTAAGAGGTTATTTATACTTTTGTCCTCTCAGTGGTCTGCAAACATGAAACATAAGGAAAGTCTCTCTTTAAGACCATTTACGACACGGTCCACAGATATTACACTCTCTCTCTTTTTCTCTTGGTGTTTGGTGGTCGGAGTGTAAGTGTGATATCAGACGTGGAGGTGGTGCGATCTGTGAAAACACAACCTCACTTGTAGCTTCGGCGTCCGTGACCTTCATTTCGTCTCATTCCCAGATCTGTGGACACGTTGTTGTTTGTCGTAGCGCTCAGCGATGGCATTAGCGGCCTTAGGAAGGCGTCGCAGTTTGATCAAGACTTATGTTGTGTCTTAGGTTAAAAGCTTAATTAAATTGTCTGCCGACCTCCGTGAATAGAAGCAGCGTCCTGTAACAGCGGAGGGACTTTAGCATCTGCTCTAATGAGAGCTAACAGATAAATTAAATGTTTAACGGTGTTAGCCTAACGAGAGCTGAAGCTGCTTATGGAGGTGTGCCGCAGGTAGGAGAGTAAATCTTTGAGTCCAGCTCGGTTTTTAGATGTACAATATGAGTTTATGAGTGTAAATATGGGATGGAGCGATGCAAGTCTGTGAAAGATAAAATATTATTAGAGAGTGAGTTTATGGTTTTTGCTGTTTACAGTTCTCGTTCTCACAGACGGCGTCATTAAAGGTGGATGATAAGTTGGATTGATTCAGTGCAGCTCGTCCGTCTGGAGTTCGGCTCACTCCGGTCTCTGCTCGTAGTCTCTCCCCAGCCCGGTCAGCGTCCTAAACAGCTGATTGATTTTGAAAAACATCCAGAAGTGTGAGAGCTGTGTGATTTGTTTCCGATGAAACCGTTTATGGCCGCTGGTGTCCAGGGAAACGGCTCTTAAACGCTGACGAGCAAAACCAGAAACTTTGTGTGAAAAAGAGGACGGACTTTAAACGACTTCCTCTGAGGTTTTGATCATGATGCTTTCAGGGTTTGATTACGGTAATATCTCCTTTATTGTCTGCGCTGTACTCGGGTTTTAACTTCAGTCCTCTGTGTTTTTAATCGACATTAAAACAAGACGAACTCTAACCATGTGCATCCCAGTCTCCTACTTTTTTCACTCGTCCTGCACGTTTGGCGATCAGACCGTGATGTTTTTACACACCTCTCAGAGCTTCAAATAACTTAATTGAACATTTTAATTGAGGTTTGCACAAACGGGAGGACTCACGTTAAGACTCATCCCGCTCAGAGTGGGATATCATGTTTATAGACCCCTCCTCAAACCTTCTCCCAGCAGCACCGTCGAACAGGTCCTGCTCCACTTCTGTTTGTATATGCTAAATAAATTCACAGCGCAGATAAATATCAGGGTGTGACTCTCGTACGGCTGAGCAGGTAAACGTAGATTCAAACCCGTGTGTTTCCCCCTCTCAGGTGCGAGCTCATCAGCTGGTGCTGCCACCCTGCGAGGTGGTGATCAAGGCCGTCTCAGAGTACGTCTCCTCCATCAAAGACCTGGGAAACCTCGACGCCATCGCCAGAGATGTCTTCAAACAGTCACAGGTGAGCGTGTGCACGTCTTCAGACCTAAATGATACCTTTTTTAAACTGGTTTGTTTGACAGATATTCAGAATTCGCTCCTCACTCCGAACTGTTGTCTACGGTGTAAAAGGTCATTAGTGTTGACAAAAGACCTGAGTCAGCCGCTGCACTTCCTCTCTCCTGCTTAGCTATACAATCACACCACACCCTATATAAACCCACGTGCTCAACTGGATGATCTGGTTTCATTTCATCGTTTAGAGGATTATCTATAACAGAAGACGCAGTGATGGGAAAACCTGCACAAACGTAGCTCTCCTGTTAGGTTAAGTTTTTCACTCGGAGCGATTAAAATTTACAAAATATCTCAAGAGTGGAGAAAAACGTTTTGTTCAGAGGAGGAAGACAGCCTGTAGTTTCTCTGACTGATGTTGTCACAACAGAGGAAAAGAAAGCCGTTAAAACATGAGTCACGGATGAACAAGAGGCTCCTATTGTCTGATTTAGTCGAGCGGTTTTCAAACTCATCATAATGTCAGGATCCAAAGGGGGCTCTCAGGCTGCTCAGTCAAACCCGGTTTTAAATTGTTTTATCGGATCAGTTTGAAAAGCAGAAGAAAAGAGTCTCTGATCACAAATTAAATGTTGTGAAGTTTCACAGATATTCGTGTGTTTTTAATGATTTGGATGAAGATCTGACACTCAGCAGGTTGTTAAGTTAAAGCCCAGCGGTGCCTTTGTTCACTCTCTGTTATTCTCTCCTGAAAAGTCTGATTTTTTTATGTGAAGTGGATGGAGTTTTATCAGTTTGAGGCTGCAGATGTTGGCAGATTTAAAACTGTTTTTTTTGTGGGAGATTATTACTGTTTTATCAGGGAAATCCTAATCTAGAAAGAGTCTTCAAATCTTCTGTGCAGTGGCCCTTTAAGAAAACGATCACATAGGGCTGGGCGATACAACGATAACGATGTATATCGAAAATTAATTTCTCTTAATATTAATATTGAACACGGTCAATACACTTTTTGATAGTTGGCATTCTGACATGTTTTGGTAGACTTTACGAATAGTAGGGCTGGGACGATATGCTTTTCTCATGATTCGATTCCTCTTATGATTTTTTGGAGACTGATTGCGATTCTACGATATAGTTGATTTTTAGTCTTCATTTTTAACACCACTGTAACAGCTGAATGATTCTGATTTTCGACTGATTATTCCAGGAACCATATTTCCCCAAAAAATACACATTACATGTAAGTCAGTTTTTAAGATTTATTCTTTAAAAAAAAACTCAAATTTTTTAACATAAAATTGATTTAAAAATTGTAAAACAAAAAATTGCGATACTTACGCCAATGGATTTTTTTTCTCTCACCTCAAACGAATAACCAATGAAAAGGGGAGTTTCTGGGTCCACTTCGCGCTGAACCAACCATGTACTGAATTAGCACCACGTAGCAAACAACTGTTTAGTAGCAGACGGCAGCTACACACAACCATAGCACTTAAACGGTGCAACGCCTTACGACAAAACATCTCAGGCTACGTTCACACTGCAGGTTCTGATGCACAATTCGGATTTTTTGTTAAATCCGATCTTTTTGTGCGGTCATTCACATTACAACAACAAATTTGGCATCTAATGTGAACGGAAAGCGTCTGTGAAGTGACCCGCATGCGCACAAAGCACAAATTGCTTTGATGACGTATAGGTCGATGAACGCGACCTGAGCGTCCACACTGCAGTCACATCGGATACATATCCGATTTATATCCACATACAAAAGAGGCCTGGGAGGATTAGAACCAATCAGAATTGACCTGTTCACACTGAGATGAAAAAATCAGATATGAGTCACAGATGGTTAAAAAATCAGAGTTCACCTGCAGTGTGAACGTAGCCCTCGAGACACAAAGGCCTCACAGATGCAGTAGATTATTATATTGCAAAAGACATGCGACTAATACACACTGTTAAATTTCATTTTTTATATTGTGATATATATCATGATAAACTTTTTCCCATTTCACTTAGCACTAGGATCATGATTCTGTTTCCGTGTTTTTAACGATATTCTTGAATTTGTTTGATGATATCAGTGTTTCAGTGAAGATTCAGAGGCTTCATACAGGTTTCAAATAGAGACGCATGGTTGTTTGCAAATTCATTATTTTTGCATGATGAGATTTTGCAATAAAGCGTGACAGACAGAAGAAGACTTCTATGCCTGAGCAGGTTTGCACAATAAGAGGAAATATGGAGAGTGTGATAATATTGCATAAATGATAAAAAGAGAGCACGCCGATGAGAGCCGAGATCCCCTCAGGTCTCCATCTGGTCAAAGGAGGAGTTACTCCGACAGCCCGGTCTGTCATTGAAGCCTTTTTCTTTCCTTCCTCCTCAGTCTCGTATGGAGGACAAGGTGGAGCGATTCAAGAAAGCTGTGGAGTATTTCTCTGCCGCCTCCAAACCACGCTCGCCCAACATGGGGCCCTCGCCTTTCATCTGTGAGTAGAAGGAACTGAACCGTCCGCCCACGCCGTTATGTAATCATTTTACAAGCAAATTTACATCTTTGGTTTGTGTGTCCGGTTCTGCTCTAGTACCTGGGTTTGGACCCAATCCTTTCGGGGGACCACCTGGCCACATGGGACCGATGCAGCCTGGAAAGAATCAGGTAGACTCCTTTTGAACTCGTTGATGTGTGTGATCTGTAATTTTCTCTGAAATTCCTGAGTGGCATGTGCTCATTTAGGGAGGGAGGAATTGGCCCAGGAAGTAGGGGGCGGGGCTTCTCTGCTGCCTGTTCCTTATTTTCTTCCTTATTCTCCTCTCCCCCTCCTCTCCAGTTCCCTCCTCCCCAGGTTCCGGGGTTTAAGCCACCCTTTCAAAATGCTCCATATGGACCTGGCTCCACCCCTCTGTTCCACAACCCGCCACCGTCCCAAGACTGCAACGACTCACTGACAGGCAAGATGGGCTTCTCTGATTGGTCCGCTCCGTACGATTCCACTCAGGGAGGAAGTCGACTACCCAACCATCACACCGGCGCTCAGTCCGGTCCTTCTCCCTCTCCTTCCTCGTCATCGGATGGAGACGAACCCAACGACAGCAACGCAAAGTAAGATGGAACGGAAATTGAATGAAATTCACCGTCCTTTACTTTTTATTTTAAATAACGACTTTATTCTTTCGTAAAATAACGACTTTATACTTTTGTAAAATAACTTTATTCTTTTGTTCAGTAACAACTATATTCCTTCGTTAAGTAATGACTTTATTCTGTCGTAAAGTTACGCCTTCTTTCTTTCGTGAAGTTACAAATTCATATCCCTGTAAAATAAAAACTTTTGACTCGGTCCTAAAAACATGAGATTCTGGTCACAAATATCAACAGCTGGGTTTGTAAATAAAGGACTCTGACTGAGGTGATCAGGAATAACAGCAGCTCACCTGGCTAACACTACGTAGAATTAAAGTGATAGATTTGTGGAGCTCCGCCTACTGGGCGTATCCTGACCTCGGCGCCAGATTTCTCTAAATGAGAGTTTGAGTCTTTTTGCTCAGGTTGACGTTACTGAAGAGAGCGCTGAGAGCTGAAGTGATCTATTGACTGATATTAAAAGCTTTTTTTTGTATATACACCACAAAAAAGATGTTTCTTTATATTGTGTCTTCATCCATTCATGTGTCTGACATATGAATCCATGAATGTGTAGTTGTGTTTGCACACTCTGGTTTAGAGGTGGTTTTCGAAGCAGCTGGGTGAGTTAAAGGATGAGGAGTCTGTGGCTGTGGTGAGGTGGAGAGGAAACAGTCAGGTTCCTCCGGTCCCTGTCTACAGGTGTCATGTGTTACATACATGTCTGCTCCTGAATGTTGTGAAATGATCTGGAAATATCCAAAGTTAGTCTCAAGTGTTGAAAAGAGTGAGCGGTGCTGCAGCTTTAGAGAAACTCTTGTGTTGCTCTGAGTTGTAGCAGCGCTTTGATTTCTCACTCCTGCAGAGCCTCAGTTTCCTCGAGCATGCTCGGTGTCAGATGTCCCTCTCTCTTTCTCTCTCTCTCTCTCGCTCCCTTTCTCTCTCTCCCTTTCTCTCTCCTGTCGTGTCTGAAATTAGCTAGAGGAAGAGTTTGTTGAAACAGAGAGTGTCTGCAGGATGTAAAGCCTCAACTTTAAATTAAAGATCAAATCCAAAAGTTTGTCGTACACGTTTCAAAGTGAGACAAAGATTAGAAAGAGATCTGCCTCCTGCTTTACAAACGTTTTTAAACACAGGAGCTGAACAAGATGGCAGTCAGATCTATAAAAGCATCTGGATTAAGTTAGATTCGCTAAATGATCACTTTTCCATCGTTCATCTGAAGCAGCTCGGTCTGACACTCACCTGTAGACTGGCTGACTTTTTGTCAACAAGCTTACAGAGTAAAGCAGCCAGCCGCAGCTTAGCGTTTTAAGGATTAAATCTACAGAGGAGGAGGAGGAGGGTGAACTACAGAGTCGGGTTAATCAGTGAGTGTTTTTGTCTCCATTAGAAAATAACAAATTTAAAAAATATCCAAAACTCAGAAACAACCGACTCTGGACTCGTCAAAGAGTTTGTGAAGTTTCTGTGAGGCTGACTTTGGTGCTGATTTCTCTTCCTAAGTGTGTGTGTGTGAGGAAACGCTGCCTCAGCAGAAACTCTGTTGTCATGTAAACACACACGCAGACACACACACACACATGCAGACACGATGAGTGCCAGACCAGGATGACTAAAACGATCCCTGTCTTTTCCAGCCATTTGACAGACAAGTCCTCGCGGTGGGAGGATCCTGCTGGAAGAGGGGGCTCTGCCTCTGGAGACGGTTCCCAAGGCAACGGGAGCGGGTCAAACATTCCGTCACTGTTGTCTATGGCGACGCGGAGTCACATGGACATAACCACACCCCCTCTGCCTCAGGTGAGGAAACACTTATCTTGGTAAAAATATCCGTCATGTGGAGGTGTTTGATTCGGTCTCAGTGATCTCTGTGTCTGTGTTTCAGGTCAGTGCTGAGGTTCTTCGTGTAGCCGAGCACAGACACAGAAGAGGACTGATGTACCCACAGATTTTCCACATATTGACCAAGGTACACACACTTCCTGTTCTCCCCTGAGGCTCTTTTAGAGTGTTTCTTCTTCAAATTCAGGGATGTGAAGTTCATTTGTTGTCTCAAATGTCTCGAAACATGGCGTGTTTTGCTTTTAGTTTGATTAGCACGTCATTTTAGGTCTTTAAAATACCTAAAAAGCTTTCAATGTGACCAAAAACACTGATAAAGACGATACAAAGTGGACGCTGCAGTTTTCATTCACTGACTGGTCCTCCTTTTCTCCGTCTCCACCGCCTCAGGGAGAGATGAAGATGCCAGTGTGTATAGAGGACGAGTGTAACTCTGAGCTGCCGCCTGCCTCTCTGCTGTTCCGTGCTGCCAGACAGTACGCGTACGGCGTCCTCTTCAGTCTGGCTGAAACGCACCGCCGCCTGGAGAGGCTCGCTCTCCGCAAGAGGGCCCCTCTGGAAGGTAGGTTCCTGCGACGCTTACGGAGATTACAAATGACGAATCTCACAGGTCGAGGGTCTATTTGTAAAACCTTTATTTCAAACCATGAGCGATCACACGACATCTCAGTAACATCAGTGTCCTAAAAGTGTCTCTTCAGCAGATTTCCCTCATGCTGTTGTGTCTCGGTGAATTTAACGGCCGCTCTAATCGCATTTTGGGAAGTAAATCGAGTGTAATTATCGTTTCCCGTCTCACAGCAACTGCATTGTTGGACTCTGACCAGTCGCAATGATCAGTATGTTTTTATCAGTGAAGGGTGAACCTGTCTGTGTGTCATCCCTTCATCTGTGAACGTGTGAAAACTTGAATGTGATCTGGTTTTCACCCTTCTCAGTGCAGTGAAATGCAGATGTGTGTGTTTGTGTTTGTGTTGCTTATAAGTCTAAAGGCTCGTCGAAGGTGTTTGTCTTGGTACAGCTTACTGTTGTTCATGATGATCTGTTCATCTGAGGATCACTCAGCTCAAACTCTGATCTAGGGCTGGACGAGAAACTGAAAATTTACCCATACCGAAATTTACGACAAAAACCGTCATCGTTTTGCTCATATCGGTATATTCAGTGTCAAAATAAATAAATAAATCAAAGTTGTTTTTGGATGTGTGTAGGTAGGCTATGGTCTCATGTCCCTTTAAGACGCTGTCCTACGTCAGAGACGTGACTCCACCCCATCCAGTCTGTAACAAAGAGGGAAAGACAGGTGAGGAGATGGAGGACGAAGTTAATGTGGGAGGGGGTGAGCAGCTTGTGGAGTAGTTATCGTCCGTTTATCGTTATGGAGGTGAACTGATCAATATATCATGATATTGATTTGAGGCCGTATCGCCCAGCCCTACTCTGATCTATCGCAGCAGTAAATGGACTCAGATTATTAAGGCTGAAATCAGAAAACTAGTCTAAAGTTTCTGTCCTGATGTCGGAGATCTGAAATCGGATACTTTAAGACTCAACAGCCAGTTTGTTGAGAAAACCTTTTGTTTCATTTTTATTTTTTATTGATGACTCGTTTAAAAAGTGAAAACCTCCAGGTCTGTTGGTTTGTTGGTCCTTTTTTAAAGAGGCGTCCACTGAGGACCTTAAACTGCCTGTTTGGGTCCTTTTTAAGACTTCAGACTTGCTCCAAAAACAAGTTTATCACCGTTAGATCCTGTCTCATAAATGATAACTATCCTATGGTTAGATTTTTACATCACTGTGTGTGTTATTAAATACACTGAGGCTCAACGTTGTGCTGGATTATTCTCCAGCTCATCCAAACAGGGTCTCTTCTCGCTCCAAGAGCAGAGTGGAGCTCGGGCGTCTTTCCAAACTCTAAAAAGTTCAACGTTGTCGTCGAGTTACTCCGCAGTCCATGACGAGAGTATTCGATTTCAGCTCGACGTGCAGATGAAGTGTTCAGGAGCGCCACTGTGTGCAGAAAGCCCGTTTCATGAATGTGCTCTGAAAAGTGAAAGCTGGCCGTTTTTAAAAACCACTTTCTGCTCCGTGTTCGAAGAAAGGACTCGACCAAAAACTCGCATCAATAAATCATAACGCTGCCAGCTGAAAGTTGTCAAACGTTGAATCGCTGCGCTGCGTTCTCCGGGCAGGACGCTCAGTGGTGTACCACAGGTTTATAAGTGGACTCGGACCCGGGTGCAAACTTAAACTTTCTCACACTGTCTGGAAATGAGATATTTTTATTTTAACAGAAAAAGTTTGTAAAGGGGGTTCAGAGTGGGGCAGGAACTCTGCAGGTGAGCTGATACTTCTGACCACAGGAGCACAGATTTGGAGTTTCTCGAAATGTTCCTGGTCAGACTTGAGGAAAATGAAACTCCAGAAACAGCGGTGGCGTGTTACACGGTGACGGCTGATGTATCTCCAGTGAGAGAAGTCTGTCCTCCACAGAGGGGACTTATTTCTCGTCACACTGAGAAGGTGATAATGAACTGATAACAACAGGAACATCCCATCCTGTTTATGAAACACCTTTACTGTCATCTGCAGACATGATACTTCCATATTCCATCAGATCCGTGTACCTACATCCATCTTCTCTTCTTCTTCTGTGTTTCAGTTCCTCCGGTGATCGTCAAAGAGTGGAGCAGCGGCAAAGCCAAGTCGGCCCTGACTCCCGAGCTGGTTCCGGCCCTGTGTTTCCGGGAGTGGACCTGTCCCAACCTCCGGCGGCTGTGGTTGGGTCGAGCCAGCGAGGACCGCTCCAGAAGAACCAGGGCCTTCCTGGCCTGCCTACGCTCTGACTGCCCAGCCCTCCTCAACCCAGCTCAGGTCCCACAGCATCTGCTGCTCATGTGCTGCGTGCTCAGGTACGACATGCCCCTCCAACGCCACCGCTTTTGTTTGAGTGAAGTTAAAAATATCTGTGAGGGCGGCCTTCAAACAGAGTCAAGAGCTCGGTGAGAGAGATTATTTTGGGGCATTTTGGCTCTTATTAGGTAGAAGCAGCTGTCAGGAGAGAGAGAGCGGGGGGTGACATTTAACTAAAGGTCTGCTCTGGATTTTCAAAAGGCAGCTGCATGACGGACTCGGCTATATCGATGCAGACTCTTTTAGGTGAGCATTCAGGTGAAATATATGAGGGTTTGAATTGTGGCTGAGTCTTCGGTGGCTTTCTGACAGAGTCCTCAGTTTTGTGTCTCTGTGGGAGAGACGGTTCGTAGGAGTAACTACCACTTAACCCTCATTATGACTGACAAAGACGGTATCACAGCAAAACTGTCGTCGTCGTCTCATAGATCGTCTGTTTTAACTTTGTCTCTCTGTTACCAGCAGAGTTACTGTGGTGACAGAGAGACAAAAACAGATGCTAACCCAGAATTTCTACCGCATCCAGCAGTGATTTTCGCTGTCCGACAATTCCTACTGGATCTGTTTGTGAGGTGAATTTCGTGGTGGATTAGGGACAGCAGGAATCGCGAGAACTCACAAGAACCCCCCGGATTCACGTGAAATCGTGCGATGACAAGTTGTCTCTATAAAGACAGACACATAGACATATAAGCAGTAGATTGTGTCCTTCCAGAGGAGGAAATCTACTTCTAGACTTCTAGAATCAGCATCTCCTCATCCATGGTGTCATCGGGGTGAAATGACGTCTAAAAACCTTTCACTTGTTGTTTTATTTTGTGTCTGTGCCCGACTTCCTTTCCAGCACGGGTTAATCTGTGCTGAATTTATCTGGCGTGCTCCGGCGTCTGGAAAAAATAGAACTCTTTAACTTGAATGGCTACGATGGGCGGATACGGCCTTTTCGTTGCTGTTCTGGATGTGGTGGAAATTGGGAGTTAGAGTAACGAGAGAGACGCTGCACTTCTGTCTGATAATCTCAGGAGCCGATGTCAAACTGATTCAGATTAAGAAAAAACAAAACAATATCTTGTCTTGCAGCAGGTTGCGCTTCTTAGCTTGTATTTTTTATGTCACTGATTTGAAATCGTTCTGCAAAAGCAGAGAAAACCCTCAGCAACCAAACGGATGATTTCTGACGCCTGAATCAGGTACTGGAGGATTGGTGTAGCAGCTGGAGGAACGGTCCTGTTTTTACGTTTACAGAGTTAACGCACCTTTGACTGTTGGAAGTCAGCAGGATGAGATTTTTGGTCAGAGGACGTTGAGAAGAAAAGCAAAGACAGAAGTCAGTGAACTTAACTCTAACTAAAAGTTCCTCACAGGAGCTTTAAGTTGATGGTTTCCTCCCTCATCAGCTCGTTCCTTAGTTGTTGTTTATTTCATCAAACTCTCTCTCCCTCAGTCTTCACTGTCCGCCCGTGTCCTCCTTTAACAAACATGGCGTGCCAGCTGTCGAACAGCTCTACTGTCACTGACATTGCGACCGTAGAGTCAGGCTGAATGTTCGTCCCTGCTGGCTGACATTGACCGACCGTGGACCCTCCCCCAGCATCCTAACATTGTCATTCAGAGACCCCAGAGCAGGAGGGTCAGAGTCCCTGTCCTGTCGCATTTTTCAGCTCTCTCCACAACACGAGTCCGATGATTGAGATTGAAGGTATTTAGTTTAAGTTTGGAATAACCTGTCACACTGTCATCGCGGCATTTCTCTGCTCAAAATCAAAGTTGGTTCAACAGAAGTTAAAACGTTGACGAGTTTGACGCTGCCAGTTTACAGACACATTGAGGTGTCGTTGAAGATCCGTTCTCCTCTACGGTGCGACTGTTTGAAGCCGGTTGGTTCCCTCTCTTCTTCTCTCTCAGGTATATGATGCAGTGGCCTGGTGGAAGGATCCTTCAGAGACATGAGCTAGACGCCTTTCTGGCTCAGGCTGTATCAAGTCAACTATACGAACCCGACCAGCTACAGGAGCTCAAGGTGAGACCCTCACCGTCCCGTTGTTCCTGCACACACTTTAAAACACCTTAATAAACCAAAGGGCCAATGGTGGTGGACGGCTCCTCTCTGGATCTTTTGTACCAACAGCATCAGACTGTTTAATTCTTCTGTAAAAAGGAGATAACTTTTAGAGACATGACAAATGAGACGACAGACAATTGAATTTCCTTTCGGGGATCAATAAAGTTCTTATTATTCTTATTTCCCTTAGTAAGTTCAGACTAAATCATGATCAAAACCTCAGCTGGTGTGCGATCAGTTTTTTCATGTAGAGCACTAACCAAATTGTTCTGCAGAAAACCAAAACAGCAGGTTTTATTCCCACATGTGGTGAATTACTTCTGATTAATCGACGCTGCAAAAGCTTCATGTGATTCATTGATTCATTCCTTCAGTGGAGAAACAGATCAGTGTGTGAAATCATGTTTCCTCAAACCCAGAGTTAGGCTGTCCACTCGAGGATAAAGAAAACCAGATGTTGTTTTATTTGTGGCAAACTTGACACTAAAACAACTCGATCATGGAGTCGACTTACATGTCATCATCTATTTCTAAAATATTCAAATGTTTGATTTATTATCAGCCCTGTGTCTAAAACTTCTTGAGAGAAGATACTAAACTTTTATTTTGATGTTTTTCTGTCTCATGTTGAAGCAAGGCATTAAACTCTGCTTTTATTTTGAAATACACTTCCTCTAGATCATGAGTTACAAAACTGAGTGAAACCAAATTTGAAAAATAGTGAGAAAGTGAAAATGTTCATTTTATGATTAACCCAAAAAGGTAAAAGCTCTGACTTTATTCTGGATCCACAACAAATCTCTCTGTGCTGTGTGTCACCTGAACGACCTCCACTATAAACCCAACCCTTCTTAGATTTATGTATCCTGTCCTTCAGAGAGCGGAGAAAGCGTTAGCACTTTCAGGGTGATCGAGCGAAAACCTTGAATGGTTTTCGAGCTCAGAACCAGCTTTAAAACCAAACTGGCGGCCCTGAGTCGTTCAGCAGATGCCTCAGACGAATGTTGTCAGCAGCAGCAGCTCTGAAGTGTTCATAAACGTCTGGAATGACTTGATTGCTGAAATGCGTTGAGTGTGTTTGCGGCTCTGCTGCTGTAAAAACGTCAGAGGTGTTTGTTATCGCTGCGGCTCACTCCGAGTAACCGACGGTTTAAATGCCAAAGCGGCTGCAGTGTTTATGCTCTTTAAGTTAGGTGTTAAAGTTCACTCATGTGCTCTGGCACTCGGCCATGATTCAAATATTAACTCATACTAAAGTGAGAGGTCACCTGTGTCTGTGCTGAACCGAAACACACTGATGGTGGATCGGGGATCATCACTCAGACCTGGATTAAAGCCTCCTCTGTCTCAGCGGCTCAGCTGATCGCTCCACACTCATGAGACTCATTTAAGTCGTTTCTGTGTTACAATCAAAATGAACTTGGAAGTGTCTAATGTGTGCGCCCACGTACCATGTGTCTGAGACATCATTATTCACAACTCTCCTGCTCTGATTCTTATTCATGCCCTCCTGCTGCTCGTCTCCGCCGTCGCTCTCATTTCTACATTTGTGTGTCTGCTGTCAGGTGGAGAAGGTGGACGCCCGTGGCGTGCAGCTGGCTTCTCTCTTTATGGCCGGCGTTGACACCGCGCTGTTCATTAATGATGTGTGCGGCCAGCCGTTGCCATGGGAACACTGCTGTCCCTGGGGCTTCTTTGACGGCAAACTGTTCCAGAGCAAACTGGCCCGGGCAGCTCGAGACCGGGCGGCCCTGCTGGACATGTGTGAGGGACAGGTACGAAACTGAGTGTGTGAGTTTGATGACCTGTCGATGGTGCGCTGTTAACCCAGGATTTGGTCTTACCCTACCTTCTGATGCAGATCCACTCATACAAACTAATAAACTGTTCAGGTCTCTGGTTGATTAAAGGTCCGGGTTTTTGTTTGCGTTGGCGTTCAGTGTCAGTTTTGTGTGTTTCTGCCCTGCAGGAGGAGCTGGTGTCCAAGGTGGAGAAGATGCGTCAAGCAATCCTCGAGGGCATCAACCTGTCTCGCCCTCCTCCTCCTCCCCCTCCTCTTCCACCTCCTGCCTTCCTCCCCCCAGCCATGGTGCCCCCTTTCTACCCCATGCCTCCACTTTACCCACCTCGCCCCATGGGCGGCATGCCCCCTCATCACCACCCGCATCATCCACATCACCCGGCCCAGCACAGACCCAGAGCCTTCCCAGGTACTCAGACTTTAATCTTCTCGTTGGTGTAACCCCCAAATATCCTGATCTCCGGACATATCGTCTGTAGTCCGTCAGGAGATGGAGAGGACACTCTGTGACTCTGAGTTTGTATTCACTCCTCGTCTTCTGTCTTCAGGCATTCAGTCCATCCCTCCTCAGGGAGGGAAACTGGAGATCGCCGGCATGGTTGTGGGCCAGTGGGCCGGGAACAAACCAATCCGTGGTGGGAGAGGGGGGTTCAACATGCAGGTGGTGTCGGTGGGAGCAGGGAAAGGGTGAGTACGACATGTGACTTAAAGCTGTTGGGATCGGGACCTGAATCTGACGACTAATCCTGGACTTGTTCCTGTTTTTACGACAGGAGGGGAAAAGAGATTCCAGCGAAAGTGAAGGGGGTAAAAAAGACACCTGCCAACAGATCACAGGTACGACCCCTAAAAGAGAGAAATATTCCAGACTTCCTGTTTTTCTTTCCCTCCGTCAAACCTCTTTCTCTCTCTCTCTCTCTCTCTCCTCGCAGACGTCGTCCTCCCCCACATCCAGCAGCCCCCCAAAGCCGTCAGAGGAGGCGGGCTCAACGCCAGAGGTTGCCACCCAGCAGCTGAACGGCAGCTCAGCAGCGTCCGCCATCGGTCAGCCCTTGGAGCTGACCCCCCTGGCCCAGCCAATCCCGTGTGCCTTAGCCAGCAGAGACAACCAATCAGAGGGGGTGGAAGTGGAGGACCCCTGTTGCCTTGACGACTGCCCGTCAGACGGAGCACTACAGAAGGAGGAGTGATGGCGTCCCTTCCAGGATGCACTGCTCTGAGAGAGTTCTCTGTGTTCGACTGCCTTTCCCTGTTTTTGTAGCCCTGCCTGCTAGCTGTGACATCATCACATGGAGCAGGAAGCGACGCGAGGCGCCTCCTCGCCTCCTCGCTGCCCCATGTGATCAGCTCGAGCGGTTAGCTGTTACTTCCTTTTTAGTTTTCTCATGTGGTTTTACATTGTTTTATGAAGAGAGGTTTTCTCCACGAGTCTGTAAGCGCCCCACTCCTCCAAAAAGAATCCTAAACGCCTCCCTCCCGCACTCAGAGTAAAATAAGCTTGAAGCCCCGCCCCTTCCATTATGACCCGCCACTCAAAGAGCCCCTCCCCCTTAAGTATGGGTATCTGTACAGTTTGAAATTGTTATTGTGTTTTTGATGGTCCCCTTTGTATGAATCTCTGCACACAGACGTAAAAGCTCGTGGTTACGGTGACAGATTGGATGTGGTTTCCATGGTTACAGCTTCTAGGCCTGGTCGCCACGGTCGGTCGTTGTGCTTTTTCGACGCGGTTTGTTGCCATAACCTTCTCGTGAGACACGAATCCAGAGACGTTCAAAGTTTTGACTCCGGATGTGAGTGACGTGCCGTTTTTTTCTGTGCAGTGACCCTCGTCCCCTCGACTCCGCGGGCTAGCAGCTCCGCCGCCTAACACACGCAGTGTTAGCACGTCCCCTTTTTGATTGATTGGTTGATTGATTGATTGGTTATTTACAACAGGAGCACTTCCGCACCACCAAGGTATTAGCGTGCTATCTTACTTTGACCTATGTAGCAAAGCCGAGTGCTAAGCTGTGCTAAGAGACCCCGTGAATTTATGCACCTTATGCCCCAAAGTATGCAAGATGTCCCCCTGCTCCTCAAAAAAAGTGCATTATTTTATGATCCTCCCCTCCCCCTCGTCCCTCTCTCCAAAAGCTTTGATTGTATTTTCCCAACAGAAGCACTTATTGTTGTATTTAAATGAATTTGAACAAGCCCCTGTACAGGTGAATCGACCGCGTGTGAGGGGTGTTCCCTGCGCATAAATGAATCCTTATTACATGTAGAACTACATTTAAAGGTAGAGATCTATTTGAGAGACGTCAGAATGTGAACAGAGTGGTTTCAGACAAAGAAGCACTTTGTTTTAAAAAACGTTTAACCACACTGGACTGTCCTCTACCCGGTGATAAAGAAACGATCAACTCTCGAAGCACCTTCTGGAGTTAAGGCCAAAAAAGAAAGACAAAATGCTGCCCAGCAAAAAAAAAGATGGAAATGAATGATGAGGGTTTGGGTGACAGAGTTCCCCTCAGACTGGCCTCACACATTCATCAAGAACCTTGAAAAGAAGCTGAAACGAGTCCTGACTTCGGGCAACCCTTTCAGATTTCTAAAAAAAACTTATTTCCAAAGTGTATTTTAAAAAGGCTGACCGCTCAGGCAGCCGCTGATAGAAATATATATATATAAAAATATATATAAATATAAAGGGGGTTTGGCAACAAAGCCTCAAAGATTCCTCCACCCTCTGGTGGTGATTAAGCAACCGTTGCCACGACAATAGCCCAACACCGCGAGCCGCTGCCCCCCGCACGGCTCCGGTGTGTCACTTTACAGACCAGCAGGAAGCACTTACCCGCCCCGAAGCCCTTCAGCCGAGCACGGCGGAGGCTTCGCGGGGCCGGATCACATGACAGGAGAGAGAGAGGCCTCATGGCAGACCCCAGTGCGCCGCTCACAATCCTGAGACTTCTACGATAATGAATTGTTTTATTAGAGCACTTATGTTTGTAGAGACAGAGATGTGTCCCCCATAGTAGGTTTCATCTGACGACGGAAATACAACTTTAGCACAAACTGCAAATGTAAAGAGCAGTGGAGCGACAGATTACTGCCTGAGAGATGCTGGCCATGAACATTCGAATCTCTTCCTGAAAGAGAGGCTGAGACGAGCTCGATGTGTATAAAAGTCAACAAGAAGCACCTTATTTTCTTACTATGTTGATGACTTGTGCTCAACCGTGTGCCACAGAATTGACATGGATATAAAGCTCTTATGAAATCGCCGCTTTGAAGGACAAAACCCCGACTATATATATATGTAAGTGTTAATGTAGTCGCGTCAGACATCCCCTCAGTTATGAACTCAGACCATTACAGTGAAACGCTGACAGTTGGCCCCCGGCCGGCCGAGAGCGTAGGCCTACGCTTGGACACGAGGCCGGGGCCGCCGTCTCTTACAACCAACACCAAATGAAATCCGATGTTCGGACTCGTTAGCCGTTCTTGGTAGGGATTACGCGCACACTCGTGTGCTGTAGGTGTTCGTAGGTTAAGAGTAGGAACCAGCGTCAGGATTAACACAGGACTGTAATACACAGACACCAAGACTAGGCTAGAGATTATAGCTCCACTGGCCGAAATACTAAGTCTAGATTTACTAGGAGTCATATACTTAACTGCTTTCAACTTTTGACATTAGTACAAATATGTGTATTACAACAGTACATTGTTAGAAGATGGCTTTTTTCTGCGGCGAGCCAGAGCGTGATTCGGTATAACGACGCCCTCTCTCTCGATTCGCTCGCCAGATAACAGTTACACACACACACACACACACGTACACGCACACACGCACATACATACATGAGACACAGGTGTTCAGTTGCGTTTGTTACCAGCAGCATCCTCTCTGCTTTCGTGCTGAAGTGATTTTGTGCAGTTTCAGTTCCCAGTGGAGTGGTCGTCAGTTCATCAGAGATCATTTTTTTGGTAACACATCCGACTGACTCCAGGATTTTTTCCAAGATCGCACGGAGGGATTTGAGATTTTAAAACGAGACACGTTCAAGAGGTGTGTCAGGGCGTAGGCACATAAACACACACACACACAAACACACACACACTCACACACACTCACACAGATACATAGATGTTAAACCCTGAGTTACACAGTAGCTAGTATGGAAAAAAAATCAAACACAATACATGATGTAGTGTCCCTCTCTTGTCCTTGTCTGTTTTAGTTCGATAGGTATTTGATCAGTGATTTTTTATGCTTGTTATCCTAACTCCCCGCCCACCTCCTGCTACGACACTTTCTCTCGCCTCTGCGTTCCCGAAACTGTTCATTCACTTCTTTTCTCTGCCTCCACTTAGAGAACATGCATCCAATCACACACACAGAAACATACACACACACTTGAACACACACGGCAGACACAAACATTCACACACAGACACAGACACACACACACACACAGATTAACCGCCCTCTCTCTGTGTTTCAGTTCTCTCTTTCACTCTCCCCTCTCTGCCTCTCCTGTAGCCCCTTAGGACCGTTTCTATTGGCCGTTTTCTCTTTTCTCTTTGGGCTGCCCCGCCCCCTTTAATCAACCCGACTAACAGTAAAGGTTATATTAACGTTGATAATCAGTTTCTGTATGTATCTAGCCAGAGTCTGGAAAAAAAAATCTGAAAAAAAAGTCAAAACGGTTTTATTCAATTGTGCAAACGTGTTTTTCTTACTATTTTTAATGTTATTACATCTTTAATCTAATCCTTCTACCATTGCTTCAGTTAGTACTGAAATACGCTTAGCCAACCTAGAGATTTGAACTGTAATGATTGCGATTTTCCTTACCTGTATTTTATATGGCATCTTAGACCACCGTTTATTCTGTACGTTAAGTAAATATTGCCCGTTTCGTTCGAATTGAAAAATCGTCGTCTGCACTATGTTTGATTCTCATAATCTCCCTGATAACGATATTTGTGGTCGACTCATTATTATCAATCGAAGCTGAACTCTGCGCCCTTGCACAAAGCAGCGAAACATCTCTTGTAAACACCTGAGAACCAAAGTACACCTAACGTCCCCTTTCACCCCACTATAACGCCCCTTAAGCCCCGCCCCCGACGCCCCTAAATGTCGACGGTCTGCCCCCCCGAGTAACAAGTTTTCTGATGAGTATGAGTATATATATAATGACATTACAGCACGTGTGATTTATTTGACAAGTCTGTGAGGTAACGGTGTTTTTGTACACTGTGGTTGTTGTGGAGACGCAGACAGACAGGGAAGAAGAACGGACGTGTTTGTTGTTTCGTCGTTCGGTTGTTACTTCTCCGTTGACTGAATTAAGGCTGCGTGAACCACTGACTTCAGATCCACACTCGAACACGGGAAGGACGACACCTGACCAACACGCGCTGTCAGTCTTTCTGGGGTTTTGGCGCCCTCTTTTGCATTTTATTTTACATGTTCTCGTGCTCTCCAACTTTGCCTTTAACTTCTCTGACTCAGATCGATAGAACGATGTACTGTAACTGAGTCTCTTTATGTGTGGGCACACAGGCTGTTAAGAGTGGGCGGATTTTCTTCGAAACGCTCGTCTGAGATTCACAATAAATGTGGAGATGTGGAAAAGCAGCAAGACGAGTCGGGCTAATAGGTCAAAGAAATCTGAATTAATTCATTCATCTGCAGCTTTTTTTTTAAAGGTTTCGAACCTGCTTGTCTTTCGGGGCTGCAACAATTAAATTGGACCGTACACACTTCATTCACAAGTCAAAGTCACTTGAAAAATGGCTTGAAACTTCCTCTGAAGCTCGAACGTTTGATAACTTATTTGCAGAGAAGTCCCTGCAGCAGTAAACGATATTAATCCAGGGTTTGGAGCTTCTTTTTTAAGTCTTGTTTCAGAGGAGACGAATTTCACATCCACCAAAAATCTCAGCCCAAGCGTCTGGAAGAAAATTCACACCCTGTTACTGATGAATAATAAAAACATCCTGCCTCACTGCCTACGCAAACGGGAAGCATCTCCTAAGAGCTTGACAATGTAAAGAGAACCAAAAGTCCCAGAATAGAAATGTACTATGTAGTGTTGTAGAAGTCAAACAGTGTTATTGTCTGCCATACAGATCGTGGAAAGGAGTCATCTGTTGTGTTGTACCTGTTCTGATGTATTTGCAGGATTTTCACAGCATCTTGTCCAGTTTGAAAAAAAAAAAAAGAAAAGGTTCCCTACTCTGTCTGTCTCTCTCTACACTGCCACTCCCCCCCTCAAAAGCCCCCCCCAGCTCCGGCATAATCCCCTTCCCTCCCCTGTTGCTGAGTCCCAGTTAAGGGGCTCAAGTTGAAGTCAGTCTCAAGTCAGCCACACTTGTACCAATGCATGTACTTCATTCAGCACCCAGGGCCGCCCAAAACTACCTGTGCAGCAAAAAGGGTTCAAATTTCTCCATAATACTATTGTTATAGAAATATTATCATCATCATTATTGCTGTTATAATTATGGTTGGTATAATTTGTCATCATTGTTAGCATTATGGAAGCACCAGACTGTTTGTGGAAAGACAAGAAAAGAAAGCTTTTTTTTTAATTGTCTGGCTGTTGGTGGTCTGATCTCACAGAGGGAGGGGAGGAAAGGTTCAGAAAGAGACAAAGATGGCAGTCATGTTTGTACTGGTTGGGAAATGACTTACAGTGCTGAAATAAAATTTATTCTTTTAGTAAAAAAAGTATTTCATGTGTGCGGTGTCCTGATTTCTAGGAGAACTGGAGCGGCTCTTTAACTTCCAAAATCAAACACCAAAATATAAAAATGTTCATGTTTGAGTTAAATTAGAAGGATGGTGATGCTCTGTCGTCTGAAAAACACTTCACAGGTTAAACCTTATCTGTGCGTAAACATAGTTACTTACTTCATTGTACACAAAGACAATTATGTAACAAGATAGAAGAAACTAGTTTGAATAGATAGACAGTGAATAGATAAACAGTTTAAAGGGAAATTTGACCAGTTCAAGAAAAAAAAAGGAATTCAATTCTCACTTTTTTCTAAGAATTTTGCCTGTAAAGTGAAAATTGTGACTTTAAAATCAGAATTCTGAGTTCAAAGGTGTAATTCTGGGTGTAAAGTCAGAATTTTAAGAAAAAAAAGAATTCTGTCTCAAATGTCAGAATTCTAAATCAAATCTTAGAATGATTAAAAACAATTTAATTACTTTTTTTTTTTAAACTTTTCTTTACAAACAAAACAAAACAACTTTTAGACCCATTGAAAACCACAGTTACTCTTTCTTTGGGATATTTAACAAAGTCGAAATAGCGACACCTGCTGGAGTAATCGTTGTTCCTTATTTCTATTGCTGGATAAAATCATGAAACTACGACGGAGTAAACAACAAACAACAGGTTAGAAAAGCTATTAGCTACGACTTTATTATCATAAGTAATGATTACTACTTAATTCTCGTAAATGATGATTTTATAACGACTTTATTCTCGTAAATGTTGATTTAATTACGACCTTCATTTAAGTAATGATTTTATTACGACTCAATTCTCGTAAGTTACGATTTTATTATGACTTAACTCGTAATTAGTGATTTTATTACTTTATTTTTGTAATTTATTTATTTTTTGTCAAGATATTTTAATGTTTTAATAATAATATAAATGACCGTTACTGTTTTTTAGTTAAAAAAAATCGTTACTAAGTTATTGATCGTTATTGATTTTATTTAGACCTTTTTCACGTAATTAATGATTTTGTTACGTTTTTATTTATGTAATTAGTGATTTTGTTACGACTTTATTTATGTAATTAGTGATTTTGTTACGACTTTATTTATGTAATTAGTGATTTTTTACTTTATGAAAAAAGTTTTTTTAAAAATGTGTAAAGATATTTAATATTTTAATAATAATATCAATGACCGTGACTGTTCTTTTTTTTCAGTTATTGATAAAAAATAAAAAAGTCTTCCATTGAAAACAGCCATCCCCTGACACGCGCGTGACGTAGGGCGGCCTCGCTCGGAGGGCGGTCACGTGATTTTTGGCGTGGTGAAGCGAGGCATCGAAACATGTCGCTACGGTCCCTTCCCTTTGGAAAGGTCGGGTGTTCGTGAGAACCGTCCGCCCCCCGGGTGGATCTGTACCACCGTTACGGACTCGGAGGAGTGAGGGCGACCGGGACGTGAGGGCCGGACGGCGGATGTGACAGCAGACGGACTGAGAGGTCGAGAACCGCCAAATCCAGCTAACTGTCAGCTAGCCTCCATACAGTGAAGGCTAACTGGTTAGCTCACCTCCATGGCAGGTTGTTGGTGCTGCAGTCAGGAGCTTTCACTGCAACAAGTATTGGTTCTTACTTCTATCAAACACAGATGGATAATCGATTAAAAAAAGCTTTATAGAGTCTTTTATCAGAGTGAGGTGATGAACAGGTTAGCCTTTTAGCCTCACCTGATTCAGACTCACAGAGAGAGAGAGAGAGAGTCTTAGCGGTCGCTGCATGTTTGCTGTCTGCTCTTCAGGTGTGCATGGAAAGGTGAGGTGAGCTGTTCCCTTTAGTCCCTGCAGACCCCCCCTCAAGGACAGGAGCGTGTTAGGAGGTAGGATACATCCTTTATGAGGGGATTGGTCACCTCCTCAGAGTCTAACTGTGTCCTTGAGATAGATGTGGATCTAGAGTGATGGGGATTCCTGCTGTACTCAGTGATCATGGATTTATGGTTTCCAAAAGGCTCTTTGTTCAGTATTTACCACTATAATTTGATTAATAAGTTTAATTTAACATGTTTGGACCTGATATATCACCCATGAATATTTTCTCTGCAACTGCACCATGACCGTAGGGCTGGGCGATAAAACGATAACTAATAATTAATTTCCCTCAATATCAATTTAAAACTTTAAAACATGATCAATAGGCTTTTCAATAGTCGGCATTCTGCCATGTTTGGTAAACTATACGAATAGTAGGGCTGGGACGATATGCTTTTCTCCCAATTCGATTCCTCTATGATTTTTTTGATGCAATGTTTAAATTGTGATTCTATGATGTTGTCATTTTTCTCGATTTTAAGTCATTTTTAACACCAGTGAAACAGCCTAATGATTTCCATATTTCCCCAAGAGACACACATCACATGTCAGTCATTTTTTAAGAATTATTCTTAAATTTGAAAAAAAAAAAAAGTCAGATTAGTCAGTTTAATTTCACATGTTTGGACCTGACGTTGTAAACACTGTATTGTATGGAAGCCCTTAGTGGGCATGCATCCATGCTCTTGAGTAACTGGATTGACCCGACTATCAGGTTGTTTTTCATATGAATACATCAGACAAAAATAGACTCGTCTTTTATTCAGGGATCAGCGATGAGAGTCGTACGGTAGTGTTGTGCTTCATGCCTCTGTGAGCTGGTAAAAATGACATCCTGCCTTTTTTTTAAGATCTTGACTTTGAACACTGAGGTGGGGCGTGTGAGAGGCTGTTCCTTCTTTACGACCAGCTGGACCTTGTAAACAAAACAAAACAGGAGGACACGTTCACGTCAATAGTTCTGCATGTATACGCGGACAAGAAGAGAAGTCCAATTTGGCAAAAAAAAAACGAATTATGAGCTCAGTCCGATTAAACTGTGGATGTGAAGGCACTGAGTGTCGACCACAGAAAATAGCTGTAGATTTGTCTTCTCGTCATCCCTGGATTTCATGTCTAATTATGGAGAGATGAGGCTGTGAAGCGTCCTTCATGGATGATAATTCTTTAAGTGGTTTCTCATATTAAACCCTTTTTCTTTACCATTTCTTGACACAAAGAAACTGAAAAGCTTCCAAACGTCAGATTTAAGGACGGCTGACGCAGATGTGTTCGAGGAGGAGGAGGATGAGGAGGAGGGGAGCTGTGGGATGAGGTAGTAGTTTGTATAGTTTTAGGATCACACCAGATCTGGGAGATAACTATACAGCCTACTGTCTTTCTCACGGCAACCAAGTCATCATCTACATTCATGACGGAGACCGCCAGCCTATCCACGTCTTGTGTTCAGTTGCCACGGTGACTGAAGCCTCTGTTGCTGTTGGTGACCAACATTGGTCCTGAATTGCATCATGATCATTGGATTCACTCGGCTGGTTATTATCAGTATCTTGCTGCCTTGGTTGTGTTGTAGTTTTCTGACAATCTGGACACATTTTAGAAAATATCACAAAAAAATCAGACGTATATTTTTGAAAACATTTGGCACAAATATAAGCAACGACACATGACAGTATTGTTTGTTGATTTTTGGACGAATTGATGCAAATGTGCTTTTTTTTGCAGATGTGTTTTTAGCTGTGCTGTGGTGAGGTAGTAAGTTGTGTTGTTGTGGGGTGTGGGATATTATGGCCCCTATTTTGGAGATACAACTATACAACTTACTGCCTTCCACAATGTGGCAGCTTGATGCGCTTTGTTCAGGCTCTGCAGCGACTGCAGATCGTTTTACTTTCTTGTTTTTAGTTCTTTCCTTGTTGATGCTGATCTAACGTCTCAAAAGTTTATCTTTGAAGATGGTGTTTTGTATGATTTGTTGTCTTTTTAGGGGTGGTATTTTGTGTTTTCAAGCTTTAAAAATAAAGTTAAAATGCTGGATGTCGACACTAAAGGTCCTTACACACCGACGTGAATATAGAACGTGAAATTACGAAATATTCAGAGGCGAATTTTGACACATCAAGCGCGATGCAATTTTGTGACTTTCCGGGGGGAAAGTCCCGCCTTCTTCGCCTCTGATTGGCTAGAAAAGCTGGAAACGTCATCACACGCTCAAGCTAAACGGTCAGCACCTATAGCAAGTCAGAGGCGATAAGATAAGCACATGAAACCATGGTAACAACCGTTTACAAAGACGTTTATCAAACTGTTAAAGCACACAAACCATCGTCATCTGAGAAATCCGACGCTATGACTCTCCACAAGTTGTCCTTCAGGTCGTTATCTTTGTAATGTTTGTGTCTTTTATCAAAAATCACTCTGTTCTCCGACACGTAAGCAATCAGCCAGTCGGCCATCTTGGATATATCAGTGAATCTGACGTCGCAACAACACGAAATCTGATTGGTCAGAAGTGGACACACAGTCTGCGAAACTTTAGAAAAATCGATTGTGATACGAAAAAATACATGCTGCAATATCACAGGACGGGAAAACGTTGCTGATGTGAATGCTTGTATTGACAGGATACGGGTTCGAAAATAAAATAGTCATGTCTGAAATAATCGCACGATAAAAACGGTCCCGGTGTGAAAGGATCTTAAACGTGGGCACAAGGTGAGACCTCCAGTTTGTCCAAAAATTACACGAGTATTTTGTGAGAGAAGCAGAAGAATCGCTCAGATCGTGACATAAATCGGTGATTTTCAACATCCGTGCATCACAAAGAAAACACAGAACCATCCCTCTGTGCTCTTTGTTACTTTGGACTTTTTTTTCCTTTTGGTCAGATTTGAGGTCCAAAACTCACTTGATATGATATATAACTTCAGTTTTAAAAACACGACTTTGTTACAGGGCGACTGGAGGAGTGGCTGGATTGCTGGGAACAATATCCCCTTTTAAATTTTTCTTTATAATCTAAAAGACACAAACTGAGAAATGTGATCTGCATGTATTGATGTGCTGTTTAATTATTATTTGATTGTAAAAAAAGAAGAAAAACATAAAATTCTCACGTTTTCATGAATCAGTTCAGGTGTGATTTTGTGCAAATTGACGATTTCTTTTTGTATTTATTGTAAAAAAAAAAATGACGTGTGGATAAATTCGACTCTTCTTTCTCATCCTTTCTCCTCTTTTACTGTCTGTAATCACATTTATTTATTTATATGTTTTTTACTTGTATCTCTCAGCTGCTCGTCTTTTTATCTGTTTTTATCCTGATGTGACGTCTCTCATTTCCCCTTTTGTTCCTTTTCTGTCTTTTTTCCTCTTTTTGGGAATGTTAAATGTCCTAAATTTTCATTTTTTGTGTTTTTTTTGTTTGTTTTTGCCCTTTTATTTGCCATGATTGTATTATAAAGGGTCCATTTCTCTATTATTTGTTTTGCTTGTTTTGTCAAAACACTTTGTAAACTTTTGTTTTTGGAGGTACTTTATAAATAATCTATATGTTAATTCAGTTGACTTGATAGTGAACTGTTTGAAGATCCATAATCTGTATAAAAGCAGAGATTTAAATGTGATTCTGCACCAACTACAGGAACAAATAAAGTATAAATCTCGTATTTAAATGTCTTTTTTTGGAAATTTAATCTAGAATTTGCTCAAACTCGTGTAAAATCCATTTCCATGTGCACCACAGACAATAATTACTCTAAAAAAAGACTTTAATCAGCCATAAAAACTCAATTTCTTAAATTATCGGCGCTGATTGAGGGAGTATTAGTCTCCTGAGCTGACCCCTGTGAGCTGAAGAGCCGCTTTGATTGGTCAACATCCCACACTGCTCAGCCAATCACTTGATACTATTAGGGGGGCGTTCTCTAAGACGCCCACCAATTGGTCAAATCAGAAGAAATTGGGCGGGGCCAAGCGGTCTTCCGGATTTTATTCCCCACGCTGTGCCCAACCAGCCAATTGTATCAGTCGGCTCAAGGGATCATAGATTGTATAAACAGAAGACCTCTCACTCTACGGGTATTTACAAAACTACTGTAACAACAAGATATCCAGATAGAAACGTGTATTTACTTCTTCAAAATTAGCATTTTTCATTCATAAAAGAAGATAGATATTTGATAGATAATCTTGTGTGTATGAATTACAACAATTACAAACCAAACACCATCCAACCGTAAAAGCATTTCAAAATTACTGATCAGATTCTGATCATGTAAACAGTGTATATAGATTTACGTACACCCTTTAACCCGTTCAATACTATTCAAACATGACGCCTCTCTCCCTCTCTAACCTACTTGCGTATTTGTACTAATGTTATCATATATATCCTGGGAAAGCATGAAAAATTTCACATCAGGTTTCTACAGATCTTCTACAGAAGTGTCAAAGTTCAGAAAGTTTTTCTGAGGAGTATAGTATGGTGGCCGAAAACTGCCACTGTTGCAAAAAAAAAGAGGAAGAAGAAGTCACAACGGAAGTTACTGATGGTAAAAAAAGGAAAGTAAAAGGAAGAAACCGAAGCATGCTGCAAATGGAAAAAAAAGGGTGCAGATTAAAAAAAAAAAGCTACAATGGAAGTTAATGACGCGAAAAGTGGTGATGCAAAAAAAAAGAAAAGAAAAAAATGACCTACTGGGAAAATAAAAGGATACAAATTTTAAAAAGTCACAACAGAAGTAACTGATGCAAAAAAAAAAAAAAATACACAACAAAAACAAGTTACCCACAGCAAAAATAAAAGGGTGCAAATTAAAAAAGCCACAACAGAAGTCAATGACGTAAAAAAAGGGGGAATGCAAAAAAACAAACAAAAAACAAGTTACCTACTGCGAAAATAAAAGGATGCAAATTTAAAAAGTCACAACAGAAATACTGATCCCCCCCCCATACACACACACACACACAAAAAAAAACCGAAGTCCGCTGCAAATAAAAAAAGGAACAGTGCAGATTAAAAAAAGAAAAAAAGACACAATGGAAGTTAACGCAAAAAAAAGCAATACCACTTTTTTTCTTAGCTTCTGTTGTGGCTTTTTTTTTTTTAAATCTGCACCGTTCTTTTTTTTATTTGCAGCGGGCTTCGGTCTCTTTTTTTTTTTTTTTTTTTTGCATTTTTTTTTTTTTTTTTTGCAGCAGTGGCGGTTCTCGGCCACCCTAGTACGGGGAGGATCTGTGTTTAAAAAGTACTTTAAGCTGAAACTTTGCCTCTGTTATGAGAAATAATTTATTTTACTACCTCTGTCCAGAAGGAGGCAGTGTTGCACAGATGATGCTTCTCTCAGGACACAGAAGAAGAACAACAGCAGCTCCGTCCAGGATCTCGTCTGTCAAAATTTACGATCTTTGCTCTGACGTCACAGTCTTCTGTCCGAGCAAACATGGCGAACATTCGGTGTGTCAAGGTGAGCATGAAATATCTCCATCCGATCACTGCTGCGCGCCGCGTGTCGTTTATCACTCATTTACCGGGGACGTGGCGCGTTAGGCTCCGCAGACACTGTCCTCGTGGGTTTTCCGTGTCACTGTCCTCGTGTTTGTTTGCTTCCCTCGTGCAGGAGTTTCATTGTATGTGTGTGTGGCTGATAATGTTGGGAGTCAGTGAGTTCACTCTGCTGTGTCTGCTAAAGAGACCTGAGAACGGTACTGGACCGGTCCACCTGAACCACCAGAGTGATGGAGTTTATCGGTCACTTTAGAGCTGATCCGGCCCTGCTCCTAGTTTCTGGACCCCTCAGTCAGATCAGTGCCAAATCCCTCAGACCAGGATTAATTCTTCTTTGTGTAAAACAGATAAAGTTTCAGCTGTTCTCTCTGTTATTCTTACTGCACATCAGTAATTTTACTCTTAAGTTTCAGGGCTGCTTGATGTCACATACAGGGGCTCATCTAAACCCTTGTTGGACTGGGGTGGGGTGGCCCAGCTGGAGGAAGTTAAAGGGATATTCGGTGTAAAACGAAGTTAGGGTCAAACACACCGTAACACCGAGTTAGACCCCCCCTCCAGAGATGAATGTTGCCGACCGCTTGCTTCTCTAGTTACACCAACTTTAGTAACGACCACAGGATAGCAACACAGAGAGCCACGCCCCCAACCAAAACGCCACTCTATAGCCACAAATAATGCTCAGAACAGCACCTAACTTCATCAACAGGACATATAGGGTCACAGACATAGTACTAGACACCAAACATCTTTTTAACTTTGACTCATTTCTTTAGCAAAGAGACTAAACACAACTCACCTACTCTCTTCCAGCAGCCGCAAGACCTCAGGCCAGTCCATCACGGACTACAGCGGGGTGACGCAGCTCAAGGAAGAACATTGATGATCATTTCTTTATAATTTCCTTGAAGTAATAATCATTATATTAATCACCCTAGAGGCGAAGGAGGCGGGACTTTCCCCTACCGTCCCACAAAAAAAAAATGTCGTGGCTGTGACCCTATATGTCCTGTTGATGAAGTTAGGTGCTGTTCTGAGCATTATTTGTGGCTACAGAGCGGCGTTTTGGTTGAGGTTTGTTTATGGCTCCTCAGACTGCTGTGTATTGCTATCCTGCGGTCGTTACTAAAGTTGGTATAACTAGAGAAGTAAGCGGTCGGCAACATTCATCTCTGAAGGGGGTGTCTAACTCGGTGTTAACCACAACTTAATTTTACGTCGGAATATCCCTTTAAAGAAAGAAAATGTAGGTTTCCAGTTTTAAAAAGTGTCCTTAGCCATGAGTGTGAATTCATCCATCAGTCGTGTGTTTGTGTGCGTTGACTAGGGTATGGTTGGCCTGGTGACGGGCGGCGCATCCGGTCTCGGTCGAGCCACCGTGGAGCGTCTAGTGCAGAATGGAGCGTCTGCTGTGATCCTGGACCTTCCCTCCTCTGATGGACCAGCTCTGGCAGAGAAACTGGGAGACCGCTGTGCCTTCGCTCCTGCAGACGTGAGTCCAAAACCGAACGGACTCAGATGATTCCTTTAAATGTATTTCATTCATTGGAGCTGTGGTTTGTCCTCCCTCAGGTGACATCGGAGGCAGACGTGCAGGCAGCGGTGTCCCTGGCCAAAGAGAAGTTTGGAAAGCTGGACCTCGCTGTGAACTGCGCCGGCATCGCTGTGGCCTTTAAAACCTACAACTTCAAGAAGGACATACCTCACAGCCTGGAGGACTTCCAGCGGGTTATTAATGTAAGACGGACACACAGATGCAGGAAAAAACATGCCGCCTGCAGCTGTCTGACTCTCCTCTGTGACCTTCCTGCAGGTGAACATTGCAGGAACCTTTAATGTGATTCGTCTCGCCGTGGGTGAGATGGGGAAGAACGAGCCCGATGCAGACGGACACAGAGGTTGCATCATCAACACAGCCAGCGTAGCGGCGTTTGACGGACAGGTCATTCATTAAACTCCCCAAAAATCAAAAGACCCTGAGAGGTGTTTGACGCGTTTGTTCTAACTACTGCTTTATTACCTCTGTAGGTGGGCCAGGCGGCGTATTCAGCTTCCAAAGGCGGCATCGTTGGAATGACCCTCCCCATCGCACGAGACCTGGCGCCCATGGGCATCAGGGTCTTAACCATAGCACCTGGTTGGTCCACATGCTTAAATAGTAAAAACTGTATGAGGAGAGTCTAAAAATAGGAATAGTTGGATTAAAGGACAGTTTCCCACTTTGCTTTAGTCCACCTTAAACGGACTCAGAGGAGTGAAAAGTTTTTTAAATTTTTTTTAGCATCACAACTTTTTATACTCAACAATATTTTATTAGTGTAATACAAATCATACAAAGGAAACACATCACAAACACCCCCTTTCCCTCCAAACTCTGTCTACTGCTGGATAATCCTATTACTGTGCTTCAATAACAAATTCTGGAGCTAAAACAAGAGTATTAAAAAATAAAAAAAAACAAGTAAGTGCTGGAATTCAGGTTTTGTAGATCTTGAAAATTTAAGATGTTGAGAAATAAAAAGTAAAAAGAGAATAAGTTAAATGAACTTCTGTATGTTAAGAGAAAAACAAATGTAGACAAGTCGCTGAGAACTAAAAAAGTCCATAACAGAGAGAAGAATTTAAATTGTGTGATTATAAAGACAGATATATATTTTTATAAAAGAAAACAACTGCTGATTCAAAATGATGAGAGTTTCTGAATGTGGTCGAGAAAAGGTTGCATCACAACTTTGTTTTTTTTTTGTTGTTGCTTTTTTGTTAATCTTTAGGAAACGCATTACATTACATTTTCGAAATGAGCTTTTTTTTTTTTATTAAACATTATTTTAAAGTTTAAACATCTTATTTCTTGATTTTGTATTTTATTATAATGAAATACTGAGTCTAAGTTTTTTTCTTCACTTCTAACTTTTCTTTTAACTTTTATTCTTTACTGAAAAAAGTTTTTATAAAAGTTGCACTTGATCGTGTTGTTAATTATTGTGACTTTGCTGTATTTGTGTTTCAAACGATCGACCTGCATCTGTGAATAATTCTGATTTCCTGTCCCCCCTGCAGGTCTGTTCTCCACTCCCCTCCTGGCCAGTCTTCCAGAGAAGGTCCGCTCCTTCCTCGCCCGTCAGGTGCCCTTCCCATCGCGCTTGGGAGACCCGGCAGAGTTCGCCCACCTGGTGACGTCGCTGGCTGAGAACCCAATGATTAACGGCGAGGTCATCAGATTGGACGGAGCCATTCGCATGCAGCCCTGAGACTGATGGTTTGTGTGTGTGTGTGTGTGTGTGTGTTTTTGGCCACGGTAACAAAAGTGTCATTCATGAACTGCGTCAACAAGGAGAACACTTTGATGACTGAGTGTTTGTGTGCGGCTGTGTATTGTATTAATGTCGTAGAGAGCTGCAGACGGTAAATATATGAACACTGTAATCACAAACATGAAACTTCTGTAAGAATGTGAAAACCAGACTGTAACACATTCAGAGAATTGCAGTAACTTTTGCACTCCACTTAGGTTGTTTTGTAACTAATCCAGATTATAATAAACCTGATGGATTTGGTTAAACGCTCTTTCAAGTCTTTTATTTCATTCTTGATCCTGTTAATGATGAATCTGGTTTTAATCTCAGTTTAACATCAGTGTTTCAGTGTCAGTCGCATTTTTGATCATCAGCATCATCACTGATATCAGAAACTCTGATAAATATACCCTCAGGTACTTTTTTGGTAAGAGAATGAAGAATCAAACCGCCATATTACTGCCAACAGCCAACACTCTCTCCTGATTTGCTGAAATTGGCAACCTACCTGTACCAGTATTTTCTGTTTATTAAGGAGCTGGAGAGACAGGGAGACCCCTGTTACAGAACAGCAATGATATCAGATTATAGAGATTTACCCTTTTGACGAGAGAGAGTAGTAAAATTAAATTAGGGTCAAACACACTGTAACACCGTCGGGAGATGAATGTTGTCGACCACTTGCCTCTCTAGTTATCAGACAGCGACACTAAGTCTGGCCAGAGGTCTCGTGTGGACCCATCCAAGATGGCGGCCGCGCTGATACGTGAGCTCCAGTAGGCAGCGTCAGGCTTGGAGGCCTCTATGGAAAGAAATACTGCTGATACCCTGCTATCGCTAACCCGGATATAAACCGGAAGTTGAGTTATATCTGTGTGAATTCTCCCCTTTTTTTAAAACTTAACAGACATATGGCGACTGTAAGCTATTTCTTAGACAGAAATTTAGAAAGTTTCCCAAAAATTTACATGAAAAAGGGTCAGTCCTACTGTCAGTATTTTCCTCTGTTTTGTTTCGATCAATGTTTATTTTTCCTTCACCGGATATCCGTTTGTCACGTGACTCAGAGCCACGGCCTACCGAGGGTATAAGTAACCCCCACTGCTAGTTACGCCCAGGTGTAAAACCTTAACAACGCCAGAGAGCCGTGAGTGGACATATTTATCAAAAGACTGAAAATAGAGTAAAGGAGAGCGATATAAAACCAGGACAACATATTCTGAATCACCGCGCATCGCGACTTTTGAGGTCAGTGGAAGAGAAGCGAACAGAAGACGCTAAGTGGATAATGCTAACGCTAACAGGCTAGCCGCACTCGTGTTTTTAGCCTGATATGCTAGTGAAAAGCTAACTCCTCTAATACCTAACCGTTTATTCAATAAAAATTAATGAAATGGAGTTGAAGTTGTCAAATTAAAAAACTCTTTACACATATATGTCTTAAATTTATATGATTTGTCTGTTGTATTTTATGGTACAGGAGCCCGCAGTGATGTTATTATTTATGTTTTAAAAGTTTATCAGTGTTTTAATTACTGGAAAATGAATAATTGCGTTGTAGATGAGAAACAGGACATCAGGGCTACGATTTAATGAATTTATTCACCAAAAATCACAAATCAGCTGACATTAAAGTGTATTTTATTTAATTTGCTGCATGAAAAAAACATGAACAGAGGTATGGTTGACTTTTTTGTCAATGTCTCTGTAAATTAACTCAGTCTTAGTTTTTTTGTCATGACTTACAGTATTGCTAAAGCAGCTGTATTTTTATATAATGTTGTTTTGAAACCAGATAAATATTAACAAAAAACAATCAGTTCTTAAAGTAAAAATCAGTAACATTATACTAACAATAATAAGAAGTTTTCATGTTTTAAATCTTTAAATTTAGCCGTAAACTGAAGTGGTTTCCTAAAAAACTCAATCATATCTTACTGTCCACCAGAGGGCGCTGTTTCTACACAAAAATGTCCTGCTATAAATAAAATAAATTTGAGATAAAAGTCTCAACTTTAAAGAGATTATGATTTTGAACTCTGTCTTGTTCACTGATTAAGCTCTTAGTTCCCTGTATTTGTAGTGTTTTCTTTAGGGTAATGCTAATTAAGACGATTTTACTAAATCACGAAAGAATCAACACCAAATCAACATCAAAGACATCAGGGTAAAAAAACTCCTTGACCAGTGAAGTAGCCTGAAAGCTTCTCTGAGCTCTCACCACAGTCCAGTTTGACATCCTCAGCACAGATTTTTGTCTTTTGCTGGGATAAAAAAAAACAAAAACAAACTAATCGTCTCTCTTCTTTTCTTTCAGGACTCTTCGTCGGTGGATCCTGGAGTTGGGGGCCTAGTTTAGTTTAGTTCCTGGTTGAAGTGGTCGTTAAGTTTAGAGTCTGAACTTATGATTTTACTTTTCACTGAGTGTTCAGGGACTTGAGTCACAATTAAAAGTGAAGATTTGAGACACTTTAATTATTTACTTAAAAGCTTTCAGGTATCATTAGTCAGCAGTTCATTTAAAATAGTTTAGATTAAACTTTTTTCTAGTTGAAATTATTTCAAGACTTTCAATCGTTGCTTTTGAATGGAACTGTTGGTTCACTTGTGTGATGTCTGGCATTTCCATGAGTTTATAAATAGAAAAAACACAAACACACTGTGACTCTGTGTCTTTTTATTCTAATCAGACCCCCCTCCTCCTGTCTCCCTCAGGTAGAAGTTCATCTGCTTCATGATGTTGAGTTTAGTTCCTGGTTGAAGTGGTCGTTAAGTTTAGAGTCTGAATTTATTATTTTACCTTTTACTGAGTGTTTAGAGACTTAAGTCACGATTAAAAGTGAAGATTTGAGACATTTTTATTTAAAAGCTTTTAAGTATCATTAGTCAGCTGTTAGTTTTAAATACTTAAGATTAGTTCAGGGAGGGAGTCACCTCACCCAATGGCGTTCTCTAGAGAGTCAGATCCTTTTGGAAACCTAGACCTGTACCTGTCTCTGAGGCTCAGAGGGGAAAAGACTGATTTAGACTCCTGAGGTTGAAGGTCCTGGTGAATTTTTAAGTCCAGTGTCTTGTGACGTGAGCAGACAGAAAACCTTTCACAAACAGAATCCTCCTGAGTGTCCCCATGGCTAAGTGGATAAGAAGACTGACTAGAACTCCCAAGGTTGTGGGTTCGATCCTTATCCAGGGCGAGGTGAATTTTGAATTTTCATACTTTTGTTAAAGTATGAAGATAAAAGCGGGCGTACCTCATGCCCTAGTGTGGATGGTATCTAATGGCGCCGCACAGTAGTCTACTGGCACCCAATGGGTGCCGGTTTGATCCCAGCTCATGGCTGGAGAGTATTAGCGATGATCAGATTATCATCATTAGAATTGATGATTATTATTATTGTTTGTCATCATCAGAAGTGATGAATGTACTTCTTCTTGCTAGAGAAGAATTCTCTATTTATTATCATCATTTCATCACTTTAAACTTCCTGTCCTGAGTGGGAATCGAACCGGGGTACCCACATTGGGTGCCGGTAGACTACCGCACTGCGCTACAAGATACCATCCACACTTGGACATGAGCTCCGCGCGCGTTTATCATCGTCATTTGGCTCCTGGACTTTAAAATTCAACTAGACCTCCTGGATAAGGTTCGTACCCAGGATCTCAGGAGTCCCAGTCAGTCTTCTGATCCTCTGAGCCATGTGGACACACAGAATAGATTTGTTTTTTTCCTATTTCACTGTCCTCTCTAGACACTAGACTTTAAAATTCAGCACACCCAGGGTAAGGTAAGGCTTGAACCCACGACCTCAAGAGTCCCAGTCAGTCTTCTTATCCACTGAGCCATGTGGACACACAGGAGGATCCTGTTTGTGAAGGGTTTTAGTCGCGTCTCCTCTCCAGACACTGGACTTGAAAGTTCACCAGGACCTGGATAAGGTTGACTTAATCTCTAAACACTCAGTGAAAAGTTGAAATAATAATTTCAGACTCTAAACTTAACGACTACTTCAACCAGGAACTAAAGTCAACTTTATGAAGCAGATGAACTTCTACCTGAGAGAGACACAGGAGGAGGAGGGTCTGATTAAAATAAAGAGACACAGAGTCACAGTGTGTTTGTGTTTTTTATTTATAAACTTGTGACTGAGCCAACAACACATCTCGACCACGCTGTCCTCTGCAGGTCCCACGAAGCGCTGAGACTCCGGTCCTCCTGCAGACACCTGAGGATCAAACACTAAGAATAGAGGACTTCAGGACCTGAAATTTTGATATAACTTGTTTGCTGCCTGAAAAACTTGTGATTAACTACTGCACATTAAAGTTTTATAAAGGACCAGGTCTGGTGTTTTTATTGATTTAAAGCAGAGACAATCATAAACAGTTACAAATAAAACCCTCATTTGATGAAAGTCAATAAAGGATGGTTAAAATTTAATTATTTTCCTTTTGTTTCACAGTTTTAGCTTCAATATCAAATGCTGTCTAATATATTTAAATGACTTCCGAGCAATATAGACTCAGGAACACAACTGGTATGAGTGGATATTTTTAACATACTAGGACATTTTTATCATCCGGATCTATGAGATTTATTTTCATCCTGAAATAATACATCTTTTTCACCCTTAATACTGACATTTTGGTCATAGTATACTATGAGGTTTTTTTTCTTGGGCCAAAATTTGATTTTTTCATTTCATGCTAAAATATGACATTTTTAACACCCTTTACTATGGCAATTTGCTCAGACTACACTATGGCATGTATTATCACTCTAAAATCCGAATTTTTTTTTCATGCTAAAATGGGAAATTTTGGTCATAGTATACTATGACGTTTTTTTCACGGGCATAAATCATATTTTATTTTTTTATGCTAAAATATGACATTTTTAACACCCTATACTATGGCAATTTGATCAGACTACACTATGGCATGTTTTATCATCCTTGAATCTAAAAAAAAAAATTATGCTAAAATCTGACATTTTGGTCATAGTATACTATGGTGTTTTTTTCTCGGGCCCCCAATTTTTTTTTTTCTTTTCATGCTAAAATATGACATTTTTCACACCCTGTACTATGGCATTTTGATCAGACTATACTATGGCATGTTTTATCATCCTTAAATGTGAAATTTTTTTTTCACCCTCAAATCTGGAATTTTGGTCATAGTATACTATGACGTTTTTTTTTTTCATGGGCCAAAATTTAATTTTTTCTTTCATGCTAAAACATGACAATTTTTACACTCTATACTATGGCATTTAGATCAGACTATACTATTACATGTTTTTTCATGCTAAAATCAGATTTTTTTTTTCACCCTAAAATCTGACATTTTGGTCATAGTATACTATGACGTTTTTTTCCACGGGCCAAAATTTTATTTTTCTTTTCGTGCTTAAAGATGACATTTTTCACACCCTATACTATGGCATTTTGATCAGACGACACTATGGCATGTTTTATCATCCTAAAATCTGAAAAAAAAATTTATGCTAAAATCTGAAATTTTGGTCATAGTATACTATGACGTTTTTTTCTCGGGCATAAATTTTATTTTATTTTTTCCTGCTAAAATATGACATTTTTAACACCCTATACTTTGGCATTTTGATCAGACTATACTATTGCATGTTTTTTCATTTTAAAATCTGAAAAAAAAATTTATGTTAAAATCTGACATTTTGGTCATAGTATACTATGACGTTTTTTTCCACGGGCCAAAATTTTATTTTTCTTTTCGTTCTAAAAGATGACATTTTTTACACCCTATACTGTGGCATTTTCATCAGACTATACTATTGCATGTTTTTTCTTGCTAAAATCAGAATTTTTTTTTCACCCTAAAATCTGGAATTTTGGTCATAGTATACTATGGTGTTTTTTTCTCGGGCCCCCAAATTTTTTTTTTTCTTTTCATGCTAAAATATGACATTTTTCACACCCTGTACTATGGCATTTTGATCAGACTATACTATGGCATGTTTTATCATCCTTAAATGTGAAATTTTTTTTTCACCCTCAAATCTGGAATTTTGGTCATAGTATACTATGACGTTTTTTTTTTCATGGGCCAAAATTTTATTTTTTCTTTCATGCTAAAACATGACAATTTTTACACTCTATACTATGGCATTTAGATCAGACTATACTATTACATGTTTTTTCATGCTAAAATCAGATTTTTTTTTTCACCCTAAAATCTGACATTTTGGTCATAGTATACTATGACGTTTTTTTCCACGGGCCAAAATTTTATTTTTCTTTTCGTGCTTAAAGATGACATTTTTCACACCCTATACTATGGCATTTTGATCAGACGACACTATTGCATGTTTTTTCTTGCTAAAATCAGAATTTTTTTTTCACCCTAAAATCTGGAATTTTGGTCATAGTATACTATGGTGTTTTTTTCTCGGGCCCCCAAATTTTTTTTTTTTCTTTTCATGCTAAAATATGACATTTTTCACACCCTGTACTATGGCATTTTGATCAGACTATACTATGGCATGTTTTATCATCCTTAAATGTGAAATTTTTTTTTTCACCCTCAAATCTGGAATTTTGGTCATAGTATACTATGACGTTTTTTTCATGGGCCAAAATTTTATTTTTTCTTTCATGCTAAAACATGACAATTTTTACACTCTATACTATGGCATTTAGATCAGACTATACTATTACATGTTTTTTCATGCTAAAATCAGATTTTTTTTTTCACCCTAAAATCTGACATTTTGGTCATAGTATACTATGACGTTTTTTTCACGGGCATAAATCATATTTTATTTTTTTATGCTAAAATATGACATTTTTAACACCCTATACTATGGCAATTTGATCAGACTACACTATGGCATGTTTTATCATCCTTGAATCTAAAAAAAAAAATTATGCTAAAATCTGACATTTTGGTCATAGTATACTATGACGTTTTTTTCCACGGGCCAAGATTTTTTTTTTCTTTTCGTGCTAAAAGATGACATTTTTCACACCCTGTACTATGGCATTTTGATCAGACTATACTATGGCATGTTTTATAATCCTTAAATGTGAAATTTTTTTTTCACCCTAAAATCTGGAATTTTGGTCATAGTATACTATGACGTTTTTTTTTCATGGGCCAAAATTTTATTTTTTCTTTCATGCTAAAACATGACAATTTTTACACTCTATACTATGGCATTTAGATCAGACTAAACTATTACATGTTTTTTCATGCTAAAATCAGATTTTTTTTTTCACCCTAAAATCTGACATTTTGGTCATAGTATACTATGACGTTTTTTTCCACGGGTCAAAATTTTATTTTTCTTTTCGTGCTTAAAGATGAAATTTTTCACACCCTATACTATGGCATTTTGATCAGACGACACTATGGCATGTTTTATCATCCTAAAATCTGAAAAAAAAATTTATGCTAAAATCTGAAATTTTGGTCATAGTATACTATGACGTTTTTTTCCTCGGGCATAAATTTTATTTTATTTTTTCCTGCTAAAATATGACATTTTTAACACCCTATACTATGGCATTTTGATCAGACTACACTATGGCATGTTTTATCATCCTAAAACCTGAAAATAAAATTTATGCTGAAATCTGACGTTTTGGTCATAGTATACTATGACGTTTTTTTCCACGGGCCAAAATTTCATTTTTTCTTTTCATGCTAAAATATGAAATGTTAAACACCCTATACTATGGCATTTTGATCAGACGACACTATGGCATGTTTTATCATCCTAAAATCTGAAAAAAAAATTTATGCTAAAATCTGAAATTTTGGTCATAGTATACTATGACGTTTTTTTCCACGGGCCAAAATTTCATTTTTTCTTTTCATGCTAAAAGATGATATTTTTCACACCCTATACTTTGGCATTTTGATCAGACTATACTATTGCATGTTTTTTCATGCTAAAACCAGATTTTTTTTTTCACCCTAAAATCTGAAATTTTGGTCATAGTATACTATGGCGTTTTTTTCTCGGGCATAAATTTTATTTTATTTTTTCCTGTTCAAATATAACATGTTAAACACCCTATACTACGGCAATTTGATCAGACTACACTATGGCATGTTTTATCATCCTTAAATCTGAAAAAAAAATTTATGCTGAAATCTGACGTTTTGGTCATAGTATACTATGACGTTTTTTTCTCGGGCATAAATTTTATTTAATTTTTTCCTGCTAAAATATGACATTTTTCACACCCTATACTATGGCATTTTGATCAGACGACACTATGGCATGTTTTATCATCCTAAAATCTGAAAAAAAAATTTATGCTAAAATCTGACATTTTGGTCATAGTATACTATGACGTTTTTTTCCACGGGCCAAAATTTTATTTTTCTTTTCGTGCTAAAAGATGACATTTTTCACACCCTATACTTTGGCATTTTGATCAGACTATACTATTGCATGTTTTTTCTTGCTAAAATCAGAATTTTTTTTTTTCACCCTAAAATCTGAAATTTTGGTCATAGTATACTATGGTGTTTTTTTCTCGGGCCCCCCAAATTTTTTTTTTCTTTTCATGCTAAAATATGACATTTTTCACACCCTTTACTATGGCATTTTGATCAGACTATACTATGGCATGTTTTATCATCCTTCAATGTGAAATTTTTTTTTCACCCTAAATCTGGAATTTTGGTCATAGTATACTATGACGTTTTTTTCATGGGCCAAAATTTTATTTTTCTTTTCGTGCTAAAATATGACAATTTTCACACCCTATACTTTGGCATTTTGATCAGACTATACTATTGCATGTTTTTTCATGCTAAAATCAGATTTTTTTTTTCACCCTAAAATCTGAAATTTCGGTCATAGTATACTATGACGTTTTTTTCTCGGGCATAAATTTTATTTTATTTTTTCCTGTTCAAATATGACATGTTAAACACCCTATACTACGGCAATTTGATCAGACTACACTATGGCATGTTTTATCATACTTAAATCTGAAAAAAAATTATGCTGAAATCTGACGTTTTGGTCATAGTACACTATGACATTTTTTTCTCGGGCATAAATTTTATTTTATTTTTTCCTGCTAAAATATGAAATGTTAAACACCCTATACTATGGCATTTTGATCAGACTATACTATGGCATGTTTTATCATCCTTAAATGTGAATTTTTTTTTCACCCTCAAATCTGGAATTTTGGTCATAGTATACTATGACGTTTTTTTCCACGGGCCAAAATTTCATTTTTTCTTTTCATGCTAAAAGATTATATTTTTCACACCCTATACTTTGGCATTTTGATCAGACTATACTATTGCATGTTTTTTCATGCTAAAATCAGATTTT